AAATAATTTAAAACAAATCAAAATTCCATTTTATTTTTAGACGAGATTGTTTTTGCTGCAGTAGGAATTGCGATCAATACGTCGTTTATTCAACTTAGATACTCTCGCTCAAAAATTTAGCATTGTACGAAATAACGATCACAGTACACATAAAATAACTTTGGTTTAGTGAGTTCTTAATTTCTAGTTTAGGACAGTCGAAATATTGACAATGCTAAGTTTGGTTCGTACTATCTAGAACCAGACGTTTGCAACTATTTGTTATATTTTATAGTATTAGCAAGACTATGTAATGTTGTTCTTCACTGTTTATATTATATAATATATCGATGATCCATGTAAGGCTATACGCGTTCACTCGTATCCAAAGCCTAATTGAGATATCAAATATGTTGATAATCGTTGTTCAGTGAATGTTAGAGAGCTCTATACTTGTTTATAAAACTAATTTTTTTGAGAAATAGGAATTTTGGAAGAATCTATAAAGACTATGCAAGCCCAATCACTTTCCTGCAATAAGTAAGTAAAGAGATTGACCTTGTCATCTGAAGACCGGAGATTCTAGTTTGACCAAAAATAGACCCTAAACCAAACACAAGACTTTTTTTTCCCCTTGTCTGTTTCCGCGTCTAGCAACAACATTTCGGTTCATGTAAACCGTATTGAACCGAAAACCACAGGTGGACCCATTTTTTTCTTAATTTATACTTGTTTAATTTTATATGTTTTTGGTTTAAAGCAAGTAAGTAGACTATAAGCATTTGTCATCTAAATTTGTATCTCCACAAATTTGCCCATAATATAGTTTAAGCAACAAAAAAAGATCATGGGTTATATACATATATATAAATAAAGAAAAGTCTACCTAAGCCCTCCTCAAAACGAAAAGTCTACCTAAACCTTGACAAGACAATCATCGATCTTCTTCTTTTGTTTGCTAAAAGCCTAAAACTGACAATCAATCTTCTAGAGCAAAATTTGTTTTTCTCTTAAAATAAAAACTAAAAAAACTATCCTCGTTTCTGGTCATAAGAGTCATACATGTGATTATGAGTCAAAACAAATACACGACTTGTTTTTTATCGATTCTGTGGGTGAAATGCGAAGGTGATGTTTGATGCGAGTTAGAAATATAATTGTTACATGCAATTTTGTAATATAATTTTCAAACTATTATAACTGTTGGTAATTTTGTCGCAGATTATAAATCGACTCATTTATTTCTTTGATAAGTTTACGTTACTTTTTTTTTTTAATAAAAAGAGCCATAAATAATAGAACTTGAACAGGGAAATCAGTTACAAAGTGGACTCATAACAATTAAACCAATATTGCACACACAAAAAAACAATAAAACCACTATATATCGGACATGACATTCATTTTGAATTTTTAAAAAGCCAAAAGAGAATTGTTTAATTTTGAGCACATATTATTAAACTTCTGACCATATCTAACCATTTTTATTGAATTAATATTGTTTGACAAAGGAAATATTTCTGTTTATTATTATGGTCCACAGAAACAGGGTCATACCTGGATCAGCAGAACCGTGTACGGAGCTGCACACAATCATGCCAAGTCAGCAACAAACTATCTGACGTGGCACTCATGACCTCTTCTTAGCTTTTGACTTCCTCAAGACTAGACATATTCAAACTCTTTATTTGCATTTAGTTGCACAAAAATAAACACACAAGTAATAGTAATTTTATAGTATTTTATTAGTTTATATTATAAGATAAATAAACAAATAAACAACAACGTGAGCATCACCTAGCGGGTAATATATATATGATTCATCATTTAAATTTTGTTAATCATAAACGTAAATTAAAAAAAGTGAGAGTAACAACTAAATTTGGAAGTCGTAAAATAAAAATCAAGTCTTTTCTAAGGACTAGAAATTTTTTTATCTGGGTAAACCAAACCACACCTTGGTTAGAAAAATAGACATGAAAAAAAACAAATATAATAATCAAAAGTATACTAAAACAACCAAGTAGCCAAAATTTACCACTTTTCAAGTAGGAAACTCTCTGCTTTCTTCATTTGACTTTTCTCTTTCCCTCTTTTATACACAAATGACAAATCATATATATACAAGCATTCATGTACCTTCCCTTTTCCCCTAATCATCACATCATCATTGCTCTTCACTAAAATCATCATCACACTCACATATACACACATATCTTTCTCTCTTTCTATTGATACATTTATTCTTCTTATAAACTAGACTCTATGGATAATAGATCGCCAAGATCAAGAGATATATTGGGCCCGAGACCAACGCCATTGAAAATCAATAAAGAGTCCCACAAGATCATCAAGAAGCCACCACTGGCGCCGCAGCCTCGGATGCAACCGCTTCCACCGCAGATACATCAGCAAGAAACGTTGCAGCCGCCACCACGCGGTCCGGTGATCATATACACCGTATCTCCCAAGATTATCCATACGCACCCTAATAACTTCATGACATTGGTTCAACGTCTCACAGGCAAAACCTCAACCTCCACAGCTTCATCCTCCTTTTCTCCATCCATGTCAGCACCAAACGACATGTCAGTATCAAAATACACGTCAGCAACGATGGAAGCATCCCGTGGTGTGATATCTCCGGCAGCTCGGTATGCTGCGATGGAGAGAGCTAATGCCTCGAACGACCTAGGGTTTGTGGGTGGCGTAGAGACTACGGATCAATATTATCACCATCATCATCATCATCAAAACCAAGCGATCGAACGGCCAAGTTTTTATCCTGCGGGGATTTTATCGCCGAGACCCACTTCTCTGCCTTCGATATCACCTGACTTCTTTTCTACGGTTGGACCGACTGAACCACAAGGTTTGTCGTCGTTTTTCAATGAGTTCAATTCTATGCTTCAGACCAGTCCTTCCACGATACACTCTCCTTCTTCCATGGACCTTTTCAACAACTTCTTTGATTCTTGATTGAGTTGTTGTATCAAGTTGAACTAGTTTCCAAGTACTAGAGGGAGAGAAAAGGGATAATATATTTTTGACGTTTTACATCATTTTTTTTTCCAGAAACACTCTGGTAGAATTAGAGGGTTACTGCTTCTGCATGTGGTGATGATGACGTCATTTGTTAGAATCAATTTGGCAATTTGATGATAGTATGTGTATTCGTGTTTGGTGGGCGTTTCAAAGTTTTAAACTTTATCTTTAATGACTCTTGTCCCTTCTTAGCTGCTATGTGCTCATCGACTAATCCAATTGGAGGCATTTATTAATTTACTGTTTGTATAATAAACCTTACGAATATGGAGTTTGTTGGTAACTTGTTGGTTTATATACTTATGGTGGGATTTGAATACCAAATATAGATCGACTAATCAAATCAGTGGACTTGAAGCACTTTCACATGTGTAATTGACTTTGTCGCCAAGAAAAAAAAAAGAACAACAATATTATAGAAAATGAAGATATTGAGTGCAGAGTAGTGACAGGATGAAATAGCGATTGGGTAAAAACATGCGGGGCAAATTGCTAATTGTATATAGGTGTGAGTTGGATTTGCTACCATCCGGTTTACAATTTCTCCCGTACCGGCTGATTTCTTATGGCTATCGTCACACGTTGTATTTCTCGTACACCTTAACTCTGAATCTCTAACAACCATGTCTCTGCTTGCTTGATGCTCCTCAAATCTTCTTCGACTGCAATTTTATTTTTGGTCTAAGACTGCAATTTTGTTATTGGATTATATCCAGACAAGTGGTACCTCTGCTCGCATCGCATCTTAATATTTTCTTGTAACTAGACTTCATTAGTCTTACTCATATTTTGTCTGCTTCATAGGGTGCCATGAATCTCTTTTTAGTTGATAAAAAAAACAAGAAAACTCTAGGTGAATTTAGGTAACGTATCTTTCATCATTCAACAAATCCCGCTGATTATTTCTACGACAAATCTTCTAGAAAATTCATATTTCTAATTTTATATCCATTAAATCCCACCACCACATATTCTACTAAACATTTTAACAAAATTTTGTGAATATGTAAAACTTTATATAGCACCATCGAACTTGTAGAAAATCTTATAACTAAATCAAACCCATAAATGGAAAAATTACTACTCACAAATCACGTTTGCTGCTTTTGGGCATTTTCAGTAAACAATCTAACATAGACCCAAAAGTACTTCCACGGTGGTGAAATGGGCCACCAGGATCTATGAGTTTACAGGGCCGTTAATTTGGCGCCACAATAGAGAACCGTTTGTTGTTGAATAGACCGGGTCTATAAAGACGGGCCGGGTCATCCAGACCCGGGTCGTTCACTTCGAATCTGAACTAACCATCATCACACTCATATACTCAAACACACACACACCCATCCATATATACACATATCTTTCTCATAAATTGGATTCTGTGGACAAAAGATCGCTGAGAGCAAGAGAAAACATGCCTCCAAGACAGATTCCACTGAAGGAATCTCAAAAGATCACCAAGAAACCAACCCTAGTGCCGCCGCAACAACAGCAGCTAGACCACCAAGAACCGCCACAACAGCAGCTACACCACCAAGAACCACCGAAACAGCAGCTACACCACCAAGAACCGCCGCCACGTCGTCCGGTGGTCATTTACACCATAACTTCCAAAGTTCTCCATGTAGAGAAGGGAAACTTCGCGGCGATAGTTCAGAAACTCACCGGAAAACAACCCACCACATCTCCATCTCCATCGACGTCACAACCAACGGTTGATGCATACCATGGTTCGCCATCTCCGGAGTCTCGGTTTGCTGCTATGGAGAATGCTAATTTAGCGATCCAACGGCCAATACCTGCTGCGATTTTATCACCGGGCCCAATTTTCTGCCGTCGTAACACCGGACTTCTTTTTCCCGGCACCAACTAGTACTAATCCACAAGGTTCGTCGTCATTTTTCTGTGATTCTGTATTTGAGTTTTGATTTCATCTTTGTTCATATTTACAAGTAGAGAGGGAGAGAGCGAGGATTATGATGAGTTTTTGTGAAATGGGCCAAAGGCCCGTAAAATTGGCGCGAAAATGGATCGGGTCTTTAATAGACGGGTCGGGTTACCCAGATTCGGACTGAAGCTTGAAAAGCTGGAAAGAAATAAAATTTCAGCGAATTAGAATTTCGATCTGGACAGAAGAACGAGCAAAAATCAGCTGCAATCGAAGCCGAATCTTTCTCTTTTAATTTTGAAATTAGGGATTTTCTATTTCCTCATTGCAGACTTGGAATCCTTGGATTACTTGATTCCGCCACCGTCCATGGCAGATGGATACTGGAACCAGCAGAGACATCACCAGCCTCCGATGTCGTCGATCCCCCACGGTGGTCCTCCGAAACGTCACCGTTCTGACTTAGGTAAGCTAAAATTCTCCTCCTTTTTTTTTCTTCTTCCGCTCGGTGTCTGATTTACAATTTAAACCTCAAGGAGCTTCTCTCTGGATTCAAATCTCATCTAGTTCTTGTGCTAGTGGAGCATTGCTGATTGAACAGCTTTTAAGTTTGCCTCTTTGAGTTGAAAACGTTATAGATGAGCTGCTTTGTGCTATACACAGAGTCATGTCCATATAGGTTTATACATTAACATACCTATGTATGTGTTAACAATCTGTGAACTTGAAATGTATTATTGTATATGATTCAGGGCATGATATGCACAGTTACTTGTCACGGGACGAGGATCGATTTATCCCTCATTCAGTAACAGATACCAGAACTATTGGGTCAGCTTATGACCTCTACCTACAGAGTGTGGTAAAGTTCTTACATTCTTAAATGTGTGGCCTCTTCCTCGTCTTGTCTTCGTTTCCTCAGTGAACCGAGTTCTTCTCTGTTATGTAGCAAACGCCTGAAGAAGTTGGTCCATTTAATGGTGTTGGCATGGGAAGTGCAGGAGGTAAAAACATGATGCCTAGTCCTTCCATGGGTGAGCACATGACTGGGCGTGGTGGAGTTATGCCTCCGGATTTTGGGCAGCATGGTCGGGCTATGGGTTTCGGTCAACAAGATTTAGTCGGTAGGCCTGCCCGGGAACTGCAAAGTCTACCTCCTGATGCATCCAACACTCTTTATGTTGAAGGGCTTCCTTCTAATTGCTCAAGGAGGGAAGTAGCTCGTATCCTATTATTTATGATTCTTTTTTCGAAAGTTCTTACACCAATCTGTCACTTAAGAATGTTTGAGCTGTTCACTGTTCTTTAACTCTATGTCTAGATATATTTCGGCCCTTTTTCGGATATAAAGAAGTGAGACTTGTGACCAAAGATTCAAAGCAAGTAAGATTCACTGGTTTTGACTTGAAGCATTGTTGTGAGTTTCCATTATTACATTAGTTTTTTTTTTTTTTAAAACTTAGTAAAGTGTTTTTTTATGCAGAGGAATGGAGATCCTATCGTTCTTTGTTTTGTTGATTTTGAAAATCCTGCGTTTGCAGCAACTGCTCGTATCGCCCTGCAAGGTAACTAAGATTCTCTCTGCTTACACAATTGGGAATATTTTGGTCGAAAATATACTTGAGTTTATGTTGCATTGTGTCTTGTAATATACCATCTTCATCAACATGTTGCGGTTTCTTGAAGAAAGACACTCGACCTCAGAGTTAACTGATGCTACTGTGCTTTTGACAGGCTATCGAATGGATCAAGATGAACCTGATTCCAAGATTTTGCAGATTCAATTTTCCAGAAACCCAGGTCCAAGACCAGGACAACGCGGAGGAAGGAGGTGATGAGTCGGTGACATTCGGGGCGCATCAACCAAATCGTAACTTATAGTTTCTCTATAACCCAAACACACTTGATCACATGTTCAAATCCTGTAGGAGTCCTCTCACTCAAAGCAATAGAGATGTACGGACACAAGAGTCTATAAAATGAGCTGATGTGATTGGAATCTAAAGTCTCTCTCACTCTCACTCACTCTTCCGTTTTTCCATCTTCTTGATAGATTTAGTGCATGATCTTATGAATACTTGTTTGTCAAAGTCCAAAAGTTTGTAACAATCTTTTCCTTTGTATGTGGGAATTATACGGAATGGGATTTCGATTTTGTCCTCAGGGATTAGTAGTTGTATTTGTTCATTGTAGATTTGGGACAGAATCCAAAACACTGGATCATTTTTACCATCTTTTTTTTATATAACTATACAAAAATTATTTTGAGATTTTTGTTGTTGTTACTTGTTGTGACTCTGCTTTTGTAGCTTTTGCATTGTAAAGCTATGGCGTTCATTTCGAGTGTTTGTGTGCTTTTGTGTTTATGTTTAGTGTATTTTTTTCCCAAAAGTAACCACACAAATTTGAGGATTTAGAAGAAAAAAAATTTGTTAACTTACGATGTCGAAAGCAAAATTCGAAGTTACGGCATATGCGTTTAGAATTAACAGAACAATTTTTTTTTTTTAAAAGATGTTTCATACTTAAAAAAATGTTAAATTATATTGTGACTAACTCAAATAAAAGTAAAAATTGTCGCTGTGAAAGAATCAAGTTCTATTTGATTTCAATGGTCTTCACTTTGTTAAAAAAACGTTAGACGGTACGCAGACGAACGATCTAAACATGCAATTTTTTTTTTTTTGGGTCAAATAACATGTTAGGTTTAAACAAACAAATTGTTATACGCCTAAATTATATACACTGTTTCAACCGCTTAAACTCATCTAAATTGTCAAAACTTCTTCTGCAGTTAAAATTTGTTGCCTAAGGTATAATTGCCTTAGTGAGAATTTTGTCTATCGGTCGCCTAACTCACAGTTTGTTGAACTCTTAACAACCTAAAACCAGGACTGGTTTTGCTTTTTTAAATAGGTATTAATTTATCTTCTAGAGCTTTCAGTTGCTTTTGGTTCCTGGTAATATTATACTATAATTTTAGAGTTAGAACTTTATAATTTATATCTCGCGGATGTTAAAGGTTCTAGTAAATAAGCAACTAGCAAATGAATTAAGAAATCAATGACACTTTCTACCCCCCCAAAAAAAAAAATTCAATGACACTACCATTTATTTGGTTGACCAAAACTGTCACTCAGTCAATACTCAATACAAATGGCATCAGAGATGGGTAGAGAGAGAGAGAGAGGTGAGTACGTATATTCGATATCCAAAGAGCAGATGCTTTTTTTTTCGCGTCCGAGTTTTAACTTTTCTAGCTTTTGGGTTTTTCATCATAAATCATCAAGAAGCTTTATGTTCCTTGTCCACGTTAATAATGTAACAACGTACATATCAATCTTTTTCTCTTTTGTTTTTTGCATCTTTTACAAGCAGTAGATTGCGACTTTTGAGACAAGATCTGATTTTGTAATTAAATATGATCGTATATATATTGCCCATGTCCTTTTACCTTAAGATTGGTAGTATATTGGATCAACTAATATTAGCGGGTAAAGCCTTCAAAAAAAATATATATATATATCTATCACGTAAAAAAAGTACGCCATATTTGTAACTTTGTATAGATATTGGGAAATTGGCACCAATGATCGTAAAAAAGTTAAAATTCAGTAATAACCATAACAATTGATGTACTATAGTATTTATTGTATTTTTTACAATATATACGAAAATATTATTTTTTATTTTAACGATCTTTTTTTTTCTTTTTTTTCTCTCTTTTGTGATTTTCTTCTCTTCTCTTTCCTTTCATTTCTTGATTCTGATTTCTGCTTCTCCCCTTCTTCTCCCCTCTCTTCTCCTCTCCCTTCCTCCTCTTTCCATACTATACAAATTATATTAAACAATTATTTTTGTAAATAGTATAGTATGACAATAAAAATATTCAAATACTATACTATATTAATTTTGTCAAAAACAAAACATATATTATAACATAGTTCAGAAGAAAATATAGATAATATGTGTTTCTATGATATTCTCACATAAAGAAAAAGGAGATTTTAATAATTTTTATGTGGATCATGGTTAGTTTGCATATTATTTGAATATTATGATTATATTTTTAATTGTTTTTCAAATATGGTTATAGAACAAAAAATAAAAAAATAAGTTCTATAGAGTGGACGTAAAATTTAAGAGAGTTAGTATGAACAAGACGACGATGAGAATAATATGTGGTGAACATTAGAAGTAAATTTTTGTCCTATATATATCAATTAAATGTTTCTCATGAAATGCTGAACGTACTCGATAAGAATTGTATTCACATCACGTACTGCAAACATTGAAATAAGTAAATAAATACACACCAATCGGTATTCAAACAATGCAGTATTGCTTTTAGCCACTGGTTTGGAATAATATGTTAATTTATACATTTGGCTTTTAAAATCATTGATTACCTGCCATGATATTAGTTTAATGACTTATTAAAATATAGCATTATAATGAAGATATTCTTGGCTTGAACAAAGACTAATGTTAGGAGACCGATCGAACGGATTATGGATCATTCATGATTGAGGGAAGAAAGACAAGTTGTTATACAAATAAGTATAATATAAAGTTTTAATTAGTAAATTTTATAGAGATCATTGATTCAAGTGGATCGAAAAGTCTATATTCTATACTCTACCTAATCTACATTATTATATTGGTTAAATGTGATAAATCAATTACCGATTAGAGTGGTTCCAAGAGATCTTACACTGGAAAAGACCCTCTTAACTACTTTCAATTATTTTTTGTTTGGGCACTCTTGTATTTTTAGAAGTCTCCTGGAAACAATGACATCTACATTTGTCATAATGTAAATTTTTTAATTTGCTGAACTCTAGCTAGTTTATCAATTACTATTACATACTATGAATTAGCTAGTTGATAAACTCTACGTGATAATAAAAAAGGAATAGCCACTTTACACAAAAACAACAAGTTATATATAAAATTAGCTAACAAAGAAAATGGGATCAGAGAGAATCAAATCATGACGTCTAGGGATTGTGCGAGTGTATTGTAACTATTTTGTATAAAAAAAACGCATGAACGTTGAAGTTTCTGATGATTATAGTACTATTATTAATTCTTTGTCACCATAGATGTCAAATTATTTTCATCTATGACGATCGACGAAATAATAATTTCGTCCCCAGCAGTTTCTGACGCCCCACAGGCCACAGTGTGAACTGTAACAGACCTGACTACTTTACTAGGAAAAGACAAATCTAACTGAGATGAAAATAAATATATAAAAAGGTAAATATTTGTTATATATCGTTGTCCCCTTCTTAATTAAGAGTGTATATGGTACATACTTGAGAGGAAAATATTTTATTTTAGACCCACTATTTTTTGTGTTATCACATGTTTTGTTTTTTTTATCCTTAAAGTTCTCACGACGTAAGGTGGTAGTTCAGTTACTTTGCATTCGTACCCTGTTCTCACTTATGTAACTTGTAATATTTTCATTTATTAAAGTATGAATATGAGTAAAATTTGTGGTCAAATGGTAATAATCGTGGTTGGAATTACATTTCATTATCTTCAACTGTGGATTCTAGACGATGGTGCCATGTGTATTTTTTTACTGGACTTGTTTTGTATGCAATTATGCAAATTAGTTCGAATCGATGAGTATATATATATATATATATATATATATATATCAATATATGCATGTTAGTATGTTCTTTTTTTTGAACATTGCATGTTAGTACGTTGAATCTCATTATTATTTTTTCCATGAAAATTTATATCAAGATCCAAATCGATTATACTCTTTCCATTTCATAATAATTTTTAGTGTTTTACGATAATTCTTTTTATCTTTTAAATAATGCCGTTTGAATTTTAATATTGTTTATGTAGGAAATATACAGCTAAATGTTTTTACCAAAAAGAAGAAGAAAAAAATATATACAACGAGTGATGTAAAATAGAACACATTTCTAACAGTAACTTGTTTTTGTACGGGTATAATAAAATATTTTGATTTGCATCGGATCTAAAACTTGGGATCTCATATAAGAGATATTGGAACGTCGATATGTTTTCTCGTCATAGTGTGGAAAGTGGGGTTAAAACTTAAATCTAAGGGTGTGTCGGCAGAATATGTAGAAGATATTTTCTACTTCTTAAAAAAATTTACATAACTTTTTTTACCAATGACTTTTCAAAAGTGGACATATGACGTTAAAGGATTCTTCCAATATCAATAATCAAAAAAAAAAATAACTTATATCATTCTGTATTTTATGTAAGATATTGTATACTCCTGTTATTATAGGAAACATTTGTCAGCATAGAAAAGCCAATCATAAAAAGACGTATATCAGCCAAGCCGCCTGGTCCCATCCAAAAGAATCAACGAACCTTTCCTAACGCTTTCATAAAGACGAGCAAAATAGTACTCCAACATAATAATCAAAATTAATAAACGTTTTATAGAATTAATACATGTTAAATATGATTAATAATAATCAAAATGAAAGATGCAAATATACAAATTAAAATTAGTATAAGATAAAACTTAGAGTGAGATATTTTGGGGGCGTAATGAATATAATAAATAAAATAAAAAATCAAGCCGCATTTAAATATTTATTGGGGTCCGGTATTGGAAGCATATTGTTTTATATAATTCAGGTTTAGTAGAATTGTTCCTTTTTCTAAATAAAATTTGTCAACAAGATTAGGAGGACTTTAGACTTTTGTTTGCATGAGATTTTTCTTATAAGTAATGGAATGGTATCAATAAGAGTAAGGTACATATATTTCCGAAAACGATTAAAAAAAAATAGCTGTGAACTCATTCAGTTTGTGTTCCAATACTTTCATCATATTAGTCAAAATGTAAACCAAACCTTCAAAATTTATATATATATATATATATATAAATATATAACATATCCAGTATTAGTTTTTTCTCAAAAATTCTAACGCTGCAATCTCTAAGACGTGGACTATGTTTTCTTTTTTATAAAAAAGGATAATCTCTTAAACTATGTTAATTTATTTACAATCTTTTAAAGTTATTTCACCAATTAATATATAAATAAATTTTACAGTTGAACTAATTAATCGTCTACAATAATACTCTATATAGGTATAGTAGATATTTGAAAAGACACATTGATTATAGACTGCATATTGGGACACATTCGGCGACCCGACAAAACTGTCTTACGACAAATAACGATTATGTACGTGTTTCCAATAAATACTTACATTTCTCATATGTTTATTGTAGATGTTGATTGATCGACGTGTAGTCTTTCTTTTTCATATCCTCTGAAAGTGATGAGCTTCGGTTATATTAAACTTTCAAAAAATATATTAACAAAATTACACGTAGCTAGTAGCTTAAGGATCGAATATGTTTTAAAATAAATCATATCGAACAAGGAGGCCATGTTGCTAATTTGACTCATGAATATATAATGCAATTACAATACTCCAAATTTATTCAGTTTTTTAGACTGATTATATCAGTGATAATATTTCTTCTTCGAACAAAGTTATGTTAAGTCAGTGATGATCATAACACTCTATGTCAAAACATCATTAACCACACTTAATAAAATTATATGACAATTGTAGATCTCGGAAGTTAGTTAATTTACAAATTAATTACCATTTTAAATAATTACCATTTAATTAGGTAATGCTACCACCATAGTTTGAATATACATTATTTTTGGTATTCGGTTAAGAAAAGTTAGATTTTCAGTTTAAGAAATTATATTCAAGCTATGGATGTAGCATTACCTAATTAAAGGTAAAAATTTGAAAATTATATGGCAAAAGAATGATTAATTAAAGATAAGTTATAACAATGCACAAGTAAAGAAAACATAAATTCAAATTTTCCCTAGGAAGTACCTAACACGTAAAAGAATAGTCAAGTAACATCTAAATTAATTAATTACCGCCGTATCCGTACATTTTCAATATTTTAAAGCAAGAAACGCATAAATATTCGATTCGATATTGTAAGGTCTTTATGTTCTTACGGAATTGCTATCCAGTCAATTATGTAACCTCATTACACATCAAAGCTACTTTCTCGCTACTGTATATTTTAATAAAGGAATCTAAATATAGAACTATATGATCATGAAAGGTAATTATTGTCGTGTTACTTTACAAATAGCCAAGCCAGTATGACGGTGATTATTCTTGCAATTCGTTGACGTCTCACCAAAAAAATAAAGTCAGCTTTTACGAAAATGTTATAAAAAAAATGCGAAGTTGTTAATTTGTCCAAGTCATAATCCAGCTGGTTACTTATCTAATTCGATCAATATATTTCAACTTTTATAATCTAGATTTCTTTTTTATTGTCTTATCTTGATTCTTGACCAAGTTTCGGCTATTAATTTATTGAAAGAACATTGGCATTTGATTCCATTGCCATCCTCATATTCAGAAAATATCGGTCGTAATAATTCGTCTACCATGTTTTTTCTTACATCCCCTTACGTCCCATGTTAGTTAAGATCATATCAACGTTTCCTCCTCTTGCATAATTTACTGTATATAATTAAAATACGAATAGAAAGGACAAGATACGTGTTCTAAATGTAAACAAAGAAAATGTAATGCAAAACTCCAAAAGGAAAAATGGAAGAATCACTGTCATGGGCAGGATCGATATTCGTGTGTATGACGGACCACCTTCCCTCTTATGTTCCTTCCACATTTCAAACTCGGCCGCCTTGAGTCAACGCGTTCTTTGTTTTTTATTTTTTTGACTCATATATTTTTCTATTGTCACTAACCCTATTTTGTATATATTGATGAGAAAATTAATGAAAAAATGATGTAGGTACAGTCTTTTGTTGAAAAAAAAAGAGAAAGACATAAGTGACTTACAAAAATGATGTAGGTAAAGGCTTTTGATGAACATGTAATGTTACTTAGCGGCGGTTTATAGGTTCATTATTAGTCGATATATAGGTCTACTAGATGGAAAACAAAATTATCCGTAACTGTATCTTCATCTAGGTAAAAACTCAAAACTAAATTTTAAAGTTTTTCGTCTTCGATTGTGAATTTGATATACGTAATAATACATCCAATAGAAACTGATTTCTATTTTCTAGGCTTGACCTATATGCATTAACTGCAATGCTGTTGAGATATAGCGCATTTTGATTAGATATAACTATTCACATTGGGCTGATATTAATTATACTGAAAATTGGATTGTTTACATTTTGTGGTAAAAGTGTAAATTAAGAATTGATGTGGTAAGTGGTAACCATCTTTGACCGGTAGCTACTGAGATCGAAAATAACATTTTTTAGCTAAATCTAGCTGTGTTTGATTATTGATTGATCAAATATATTTAATGAAAATAGATGTGGCTGATCCATTGCCGATAATCAATTATGCATTAGGCAGATGATCTGAAAAGATTAACTTAACTTCGATTGGGAACTCAAACTAAATTTTGCAGCTTTATCTTTTAGTCTAAATCACTAAATGCAAAGTATATTCGTTTCCCATCATTCATATATATGACTTGTATAAGACAATATCACAAAAGATGCATGCACGTTAACCAAAATAAAAGATGCATGTAACCGAAAAAGAAAAGTAGAAAGAGAGCGACAACTTAATAACTTAGTTAAGTAAAAACATGATAAATAAATTCGAAATTAGTAGTTTTGGATCATATTTCGTTTTGCATAAAATTGTGGACCATACTATTATGAAATTTATATTCCCTGGTTCTAGCTCGACGTACAAATATTCGATATACAAACATTTAATATATGAAAACAAACATATTTACAGTTTCACAGTTATTATATTAATTATGTCCTAAAAGTGTTAAAAGTAAAGTTTTCCCATGTGTTGTTATAGTCTCACGTTTACATGTAACGTACTCAGAAACGATTTTCTAATGTTTACCTTTTTTAAATTAAGATGGCCATCTATAATTTTCTATCACAACGTTCTACAATTATTATTTATGTGCTTTTGTAAACCTGTATCATTGTTTTCTCATGTAAATTTTTCACAAACCTACCAAATATTGAGAATCATCAAAAGGACCATAAAATTTTCGTGAGATTTCGGAAAAGGAGACTGGATCTAACGATATATTTAGAAATCACGAGATTCGATACGTTGTTTGAACATGGAGAACATGTCAATCATCGACGGCTTAAATAATACTAATGAAAGTCGGAGAGACCAACACCACTTTGTACTCTATAATAATTAATAATAGTAATAATAAAAATAATATAGGTTTGGTGTACATAATTGCTTGTGCTTTTTACATGACTTAATTTACCATTTTTACAATGAGGTATCAAACGAAAGAAAGTGAAACTGAAAACAGCTATATAAAGGGTGTGAAGGGAGACATTAAGAGCAGAAAGCAAAGCAACAAAACAATCAATGGGGTCTCCAATGGCCTCTTTAGTAGCAGCTTTGCTTGTTTTAACAATCTCTCTCACCTTTGTATCTCAATCAACCGCTAACTACTTCTATTCTTCTCCTCCACCACCGGTTAAGCACTACGAATACAAATCCCCTCCTCCTCCGGTTAAGCACTACTCTCCACCACCGGTTTACCACTCCCCACCACCACCAAAGAAGCACTACGAATACAAATCTCCTCCTCCTCCGGTTAAGCACTACTCTCCTCCACCGGTTTACCACTCCCCACCACCACCAAAGAAGCACTACGTGTACAAATCCCCTCCTCCTCCGGTTAAGCATTACTCTCCCCCACCGGTTTACCACTCTCCACCACCACCAAAGAAGCACTACGTGTACAAATCCCCTCCTCCTCCGGTTAAACACTATTCCCCCCCTCCGGTTTACCACTCTCCACCACCACCCAAGAAGCACTACGTCTACAAATCTCCACCCCCACCGGTTAAGCATTACTCTTCCCCACCGGTTTACCACTCACCACCACCACCCAAGAAACATTACGTATACAAATCTCCTCCTCCTCCAGTAAAACACTACTCACCCCCTCCAGTTTACCATTCCCCACCCCCACCTAAAAAGCATTACGTGTACAAATCCCCTCCTCCTCCGGTTAAGCACTACTCTCCTCCCCCAGTTTACCACTCTCCACCACCACCAAAGAAACACTACGTGTACAAATCTCCTCCTCCTCCGGTTAAGCACTACTCTCCTCCCCCGGTTTACCATTCCCCACCCCCACCCAAGAAACACTACGTCTACAAATCTCCACCACCACCGGTTAAACATTACTCTCCCCCTCCAGTTTACCATTCCCCACCACCACCAAAGAAACATTACGTATACAAATCCCCTCCTCCCCCGGTTAAGCACTACTCTCCTCCTCCGGTTTACCATTCTCCTCCCCCACCAAAGAAACATTACGTATACAAATCCCCTCCTCCTCCGGTTAAGCACTACTCTCCCCCTCCCGTTTACCATTCCCCACCACCACCAAAGAAGCACTACGTATACAAATCCCCTCCTCCTCCGGTTAAACACTATTCTCCTCCCCCGGTTTACCATTCCCCACCGCCACCAAAGGTAAAGTACGTGTACAAATCACCTCCTCCTCCTCCAGTCCACCACTACTCTCCTCCACACCATCCTTACCTCTACAAATCTCCTCCTCCTCCATACCACTATTAGAATTCCCTGTCACGGTAATTACTCTCTCAGAACTTACATCCACACACCTCGTTAAGTTAACAAGTAAAAGTGGATGTATGCATGACAATTGACAATAATTATAATGTATATACTTTGCAGGAGAACACGATGTACACAAGAAGACACAGACAAGACGAAACCGTTATGGGTGATTGTAATAAGAGAAACATAGATTGAAAGAGAGAATCCAAGCAGAGAAAGCTTTCTCATCATTTTCGATGTATTTTTAGAGTTTTATTGCAATAAATTTGAAACATGTGTATGTTGATCAACTAATGGTCCTTCATGCACACAATCAGTAGTCATATATAAATGTTTGTAAGTTTACGTCTTGTTGATTTTTTTCATGTGCAAGTTTGCTTTGTACAATTAATAAATAATAAGTTTGTATCTCCACAATTTCTCATGCATGCATGCATGGTCCATTACTTATTCTTTAGGGTCCAACTTAAAGAACACAATTATATACAAGTCCATGGCAAATAATATCTACAAAAAAATAGTATTACAAAAAGAGGTAAATCTGACCTACTTTCAATCTAACCAAAAAGGTTTTGTTGATTAGACAGTTAAAGAGGTGGACCTTCAAACGAAATTAGGGAACGAATCAAAATTTTCTTCGTTTCATTTTCTTTCTTTTGTTTCTTTATTTATATTCTTCCTTTTGTTTTTTCTATTTGTTATTATTTTTTCCCTGGACAATTTTCTATTGAGCTGCCATAATTTTTAATTATCTCCAGTCTCCACTAGAGAATGAACCACTTGCTAACCTAGTTTCTCGACCTTCTTATTATTTTCTTTTCGCGATTTTCATATCGCTTTCGCTTTTATTCATGTATCCTACGCTTCGACTCTCAAAGTCAATAATATAAGTGATAAGCTCGATATTTTTTTTAAATCATGTACCACTTTTCTTAGTTTTATTTTAGGTTTGATCGGTCATCTTTTACCAATAAAAATGATTTTTTTTTTCTGTTATGGTTGATATCTCTATTAGAATTATTTCCTTCCTACAAACGAGAATTGAACTAGGAGTTTAATGATGCACGACTTTAAGAAGGGTGGAACATCTTGGTTTTAAGAGTTAGTGTCCATAGTAAAAGTAATTTAAAGGCATTTAAATCGCCATATGGAACCTGTAAGAAGTCAAAAGGAATCACGTAAGTAAACACATAAACTAGGTTACTCTCTCTCTCTCTCTCTCTGCAGATAAAAAAGAGAGTTACTTTAGCCGTAATCAGCTGCAACAACACCAAACCGAAGCTGTACACATCTGATCTTTCACCATATTGCCGTGGGTTGGTCAAGCTCAATGCCTTTATGATTAAAAAAGTGTGTAGTAGTCACAAAAGAAATAGAGAATATAATGCTGGAGAAATAAAAAGCCTACTTCCGGTGCGGCGCTGTCCATCTGCACCATGTACACATTTTGGAATCATTCATCTCAGGAGCCGCATAATTGTCAAGAGCAGTACCCACCACTTAGGGAGTGGTATTCAACCCAGCCCACGTCACGTACACATCATTTGCAATGTCCACCTTGACAACCTATAAGACCATCTCCATTGGTAAAACTTAAGTTGGGGTTCTGAACAATATTTTTAGTATAAATTTTCTATCATTCTAACTTAAGAACTTTACTAAAAGATTTTATATTTTTTCTCTTCCATTGGTAGAGCTCTATTAAGAGTTCTAAGAAATAAAAAAAATTAGAATTAGTATATATTCTCCAAATGTACTTTGTTCGACTATGAAACAATACAAATCAGGAATTGGACCAAAGATTGCATTGTTTTGCAACAACCTAAACCAAAAGCATTAAAGCTTAATAAGAAACAATCGCAATAACTACAAAACACGAATCAAACATTGCAAAGAAAACTATCATAACTTACATAGATTACAGGTAAGTGAGGTTTCCGATTGTAGAAGACAATGTACCAGACAAGCTTTGGCTACGAAGTCCTCTGTTTTATCAAAGTTTCCAAACGCTCTGCATCAGTGACACTTAAAATTGATCTGAACGACTCAATTGCAGAAACATAGCTTTGAGGTGCATCATCTGAACTTTTCGTTTTCTCTTCCTCCTTCACATCCTGAACAGATGAACAACATCGCATGGGCATAAACAAAAACCAAATAAACATGAAATCGAAACAAATCCTTCAAGTGAACTTCATAAACCACAAATACAAACAAATCATTCATTTTTTTTTATCCAATTCATCTATGATCTTCACCCACAAAGAAAACAACATGTGGCATGTGCTTCCGTTCACAACACTACAAATCACAAAAATACCAAAGAACTTCAAATTTTCACAAAGGTTGCATCTTTTCGATCCATTTTGTTAACCATAAGGTAAATTTAAGATCTAACCACATCAAGTATCATCCTTTAACCAAAACCTAACTCTACCAAAGAGTCATCAAGTTCACAGAAATTGTAGAATCACTAAGCTCTATCAAAGTTTTCCATTCACTTCTCACAAGCTAAGAAAATGTTACTCTCATTATATGGCTGATTAGAAAAATACAAATTGTCAGCATAGAAAACATTTCCTGATTATGATCTTTGTTTGAGAATACCGCGGAAGCCCGGGAGCTGGCGAATGATACAGGAGATACCCATGTCAGATTCATCTACGATTTTCATACCATCAAGGCTTGAAATCTAGTGCCTGCACCTTCGTCAACGGTCTCTAGAAAGAGGATGGATAAATCGCGACCGGAGGAAACCACATACCGAAAGGAGATGGGTTGCGAGCAAGAGAAAGAGAAGGATTTTTAACAACGGCGAAGATAGACCGGACTCGACCCATCCGACTACCACAGACGGAAGCTAGCCTAGACGCTGACCTACGGACGTAGGAAAATTTGGGTGCAGCGAGGTTTTAGAAGCGGAGAGATTGAGGTGCCGAAAGGAGTTTTTTTTTTTGTTAAAATTAGTCCACCCAATATGAGGTTGACACGTATGGGTTTTTAATCAGTCTTTAAAAGTCTTAGTTTGTATACGGTTGTTAGCAATTTTACACAGTAATGAATTGTTTATTATTTTTTTTTAACTTAAGAAACTTTTAAAAACTTTCTAAAAGTCACCGATAGAGGTGCTCTAAGGAGGATATGGGAGCATGCAAGTTTGTATGTACAATGCAAATTTCTTGATATAGTATCTTAACAAAAAAATCAATAAAATAATAAAAAGTAAGAGAGAGGAAGAATGATTGGATCTTAAATTTCTTGTTTAAGAAACTGTTCTTAAGCTTTTAGAAAACTCATTTAATATGTGTCATCTTATTATTGGTTTGGATTTTTTCATGATTTAAAAATTAATATTTGTTTTAAGATACCATATTAAGATTCATAGCGTTGTAAATGCTCTTAAAGCACCACCAGCCGCAAGATTCAAATTGAGTTTCTAAACTATAAAAATATTAATATTTTGATTTTATTTATTTAAATAATTAAATTTTAGTTATAAAAAATAACTGACCTAATAACTATAAGACAACAATTTTAAATGGGTGGTAAATAGTTATGAGAAGTTCTCATATGAGAAACGTTTCTTGTTTTTTCTTGTTCTCTTTCATATATATATATATATATTTTTTTTTAATGTTTAGATATTTAGCTGAGAGACTCCTGATAGAGCTGCTCTTAGAATAAGAGAAAGAGTATTCTAGCTCTGTTTATTGAAACAGTTTACTTACATTTTTATCTATTAGAATATTCCCAGAGTTCAGATTTCTCAGGTGGATCTTGTTCCCGTGCAGGCACTCGATTCCTTTAGACACACCGATGACCAGCTTCAACCGTCGAGAGAGTCTTAAGACATCGTGGTTTCTTTGCACGTAGTCAAAGAGGTTGCCACCATGCATAAACTCTACACTCAAAGGCAAATAAATGTAAAATGGGAAACTATATGCTAAGAGCATGATTAATGGAAAGCTTTTGTGAAGCTCTAAAAAGAAAAAAAATATTTTAATGACGTGGCGAAACTGAAGCATAAAGACGCCTCTCTGCACAGAGATTGAAGCATAGAGACGCTTCTAATTTTTAATTTTTAAAATTAATTTTTTTAAGAAAATTAATTTTTTTTAATAATAAAAAATTTTAAGAACTTTTTCCCAACTCTCTAATGCTGATGCTCTAAGACTTGGAGAACTGTATGGACCTGTAATCATTGTCAAAGGTGGTGTCTTCTGTGTTGGCACCAAAACATCGTATAACATTTGGTTGTGGAATTCTCCTGAAATCTATCTCTAGATCAGACAAACACAATACCCAACCCCACAACTACAAACGTTGTTTTTACCTCAATAGTTTCATCTTTCTCCGAAATGTTGATGGTTCCCAAAACCACAAAGTGGGTTTTACCTCTCTTAGAAAAACGTCTACATGCCTATAAAATGAGAAGTTAGAATGTATACTTAAGAGTTAAAAGGGGGATGAATCACTCAAAAGACTCACGTATGAGAATATGTGTTTTCTCCATAAGCTACAACCAGATTTTAATTTTCCTTCTTCATATACCCTAGGAGGATATTCAGCTTCAGGTTTTAAAAGCAAGTTTAAACAATAAGTCAAGGAGATCTCACTAGCTCAGCGTCAACAATTGCAACTCTAAGCGCATTTGATAAATTTTCAAAGTTTTGCCAATCGAAAACTACAAACAAGTTCAAGGCACAGTACCCATCCGTCGTGATAAACAATTCCTTAGGCAAAACCACAATTCTGTTTTTATCTAGGGCAGATGCAAGATATGAACACAAAGAGTGATGTATAAGAGAAATTTGAGTAAATTAAGAAACTTCTGAGAAGTCATATCTACCTTAGTGTGTGATAGATGCTAGCAAAAGCTATTTTGTAATTGGCATCTTGCTGCCATATCTCATGCGCAAGCATTCCAGATTCTTTTAACAGTTTCAAAAATAGGTGGTGTACTAGTAATTATTCAGGATTAGACACTCTAGGTTCATATGTGGAAGATTAGGAGTCAGCAAATAATTAAGAATCTATCTTTCTACAACATAAAACGATCATCTTTCTTGGAATTTGCACAATGTTGGTACAAATAAGAGTCAGCAAATAAGAGTTGTTTTTTATGAAATTTATGAAAAACAACTCTCAGTCTTATGAAATTTATCTAAAATCATGTCAGTTATTGGTGACAATTTAAACTTTCCTTTTTAATCTCTTTCAAGTTTTAATGGAGTAGAATCCTACTTGTTTTGAAATTGATAACACTTGTATGATTATTAAAAAAAACTCAATTGGATTGATAATTGGCTTTTTCAAAATCGTATTCTACTTTAGAGTTCATTTTCTTGTAAATGGAATAGTAAGTTCGTAATACTATAGTTATATGTTTTAGACCATAAAATTTTGGTGGTTAAACTGATCATCGAGATACATTAATAGATGTGTTTGTTACACCTTCTTGTTATACCAATAAAATGTTCGTGCGTACGGTTTATGCATGAACAATAGCTCATTTAAACTTTGGGCTCAGGAGGGGAAGTCAATAGCCCATTTAAGCCCCAACTGAATACAAAATGGTGTTCTTCTTTATTTTTTTTTTTTTCAAAAGTAGAAAAATAGCAAACCCTAGAAACAAACTCAGAGCAGCGACGACAATGGCGGAAAGTAAAAGCGATCCCACACTCGAGTTCGGATCTCCCTATTATATCGATCCAGATTTTCACTCCACCTACAGTTTTCAAATGGAGAAACTCAGCCAAGCCGAAGACAACTACGTCTTCTGGAAAATTCGTTTTCAGGCTCTCCTTAGGCTCGCGGACAAAATCGGGTTCGTCGACGGTACCATCGAGAAACCGGATCCTTCCTCGCCTCTCTATCAACCATGGGAACGATGCGACTCGATGGTTACGTTATTGCTGTTGAACTCGATGACCGAGAAGCTTCAAAAGCGTGTGATGTTCGCCGGAACGGCGCAGAAGGTTTGGGAAAAACTCAGACAGATTTTCGTCCCTAACCTCGATTTGAAGATCTACGAGCTTCGTCAGAGAATCGCGATGCTGAGGCAAGAAGGCGACTCGGTGGCGAGATATTTCGGGAAGCTGAGGAGAGCTTGGGCGGAGCTGTCGGAGTATGATCCCGCGCCGGAGTGTGCCTGCGGCGGTTGCCGGTGCGAGATCTCGAAACGAGCCAAGGAGGCGAGAGAGAAGGAGCAGTGTTACGCGTTTATGATGGGTTTGAACAATGGCCTAAGGTTCGTGAAAACGGAACTCAGGCTTATGAAACCTCCTCCGTCTCTTGACAAAGCGTACGCCATGGTTGCCCAAGCGGAATCGGTGATGAAGAATGTTGTCGCTTGAAGAATTTTAGGAAGCAGGTCGACGATCATCACTTTCTATCTGTTTTTCATTTTGTGATTTCTTTAAATCGTGTTTCTTCTTTACTGGTCAATGTCATATGGAATCAGATCGCAACATGCTTTGTTATCTTTTGATGCTTTCTTTAGACATACAGATTCATAAAAATCTAAATCTTGAGCAAGAACTCCAAACTATCTAGGACCACTTAAAGATAAACACAATGATTGATGATATAACACTACCATACAGTTATTGAATGCATTGCTTTACACATTGGTTTTACTAGGAGGAGGAGGAGAGAAGAAATTTAATCGAAGCAGACAGAATGTCGCCAACGGTCGAGCGACTAAGTGAGAGGTGGGACTAAGGAATTTCAGCGGCCAGCTTCAATGTCCAGTACTGCTACATTCTTGACGCTGTCATAGCCAGTGCTACTGGTTTCTCCTTGCGCTGATAACATTTCTACGCCGAGCAAGTGCCCCATCTCCATAGGCTCAGGATACTGATCCGACCACTGATGTTTGGTTTTTGTAGCTCTCAAGCCCTCAAGCTCTGCAGCTACTTCTTTCATCTTTGGCCTTTCTTCTCCCGTCAGTCTTATGCACTCAACGGCAATTCTTGCAGCTTCCTGGATCTCCCTCTGATTATCCCCGTTCCACAGTTGGCCGTCAATCACCTCATGCAACCTTTGCTCTTTCATAGCAGAAGCAAAGTAACTCACCAGATGTTTTGACTGTTGTAGCCTTTCGAAGCACACTGCTTTTCGACCTGAGAGAAGTTCCATAATGACTACCCCAAAGCTATAGACATCGCTCTTTTCGTTTAGCAACCCTGTGTTGTAGTATTCTGGGTCTAAGTATCCTAGAGTGCCTTGCACCATTGTTGCGAGCTGCTCTTTATCCATGGGTATCAGCCTTGAAGCACCAAAGTCTGCTACTTTTGCGGTTAAGTTTTCATCCAGCAGAATATTAGCAGTCTTGACATCACGGTGGATGATTGGAATGGAAGCAGAGGAGTGAAGATAGGCTAGAGTTCCAGCAATTTCTATGGCTATCCTCAGGCGGTGATCCCATGTAAGAAAAGAATCAGACAAGGAACCGTGCAAGTGGTCGAAAAGGGTGCCACTGGTAATGAACTCATAGACCAACAAGGGAACTTCAGTCTCTAGACAGCAGCCCAAGAGCTTGACCACGTTCCTGTGGTTGATCTGTGAAAGCACAAGCACTTCGTTGATGAACTGCTCCACTTGGCTGCTGTCTCCAAGTCGAGCCTTCTTTATAGCAACTATTGAGTTGTCTGGCAATATCCCTTTGTAGACTGTTCCTTGGCCTCCCTGACCCAAGATTCTGCTCTCATCATAACCATTGGTTGCTGTTTTCATGCCTTTCTCAGTAAATATTTTTACATCAACATTTGAAGGCCCTGAGAGTCTCTGTATCAGCATGCCACCGCCATTTTGCTCGAAGAATTGTTGTCTGAGCTGTGTGTTTTTCCTGTGCTTCATCCTCTGTTGTATACAGCTAGCGACAAGCAGGAGGACCAAGATGCCGATGGTGGTTCCTGGTCACATCACACATAGATGGTTAGACTGAGTTGTTGTAGAAAAGAAAGAATAGTGAAACAGCGAGGGAAGCTTACCGAGAAGAATTATAGTCCATCCAAAGTCTTTGCGCTTGCAACTCATATTTGTGGTATCTAAGTTGTAACCAGATGGGCACTTACAACGGAAGCTCCCAGGCGTGTTTTCACAGGTACTCTTGGGACCCGAACAGTTATGTATAGGGATAGTAGTACACTCATCGATGTCTGACACAAGTAAAGAAGGCGTAAGATACAATAAGAAACGTATGAGGAAGACTAGGAGCACTCGGAAGAAAGAAAAAGGAATGAATATCAAAGTCACCTTGGCAACCGTCGCGAAGGTATGGATTCCCATCATAACCTTGTAAACACTTGCAGTTATAACCCTCTCCACGAGTAGAACTGAAACATTCGCTGTTCACACCGCAGATGCTTGTGTTTCCAGCTTGCTCGCATGTCTTTTTGCCAATAGACCAATCTAGTACCACCGGGAACTGCGTGACATTCCGCATATCCTTAAGATCTTCCAAAGCGTCGAAGTGAAAAGTACCATTTTCGGCGAGAAAGGCGTAAGCACAAGGATTAAAGTCATTGACAGAAGTCATGTTATCCAAACGAGCCGGGCGAGTTTGGAATTCATAGCTATCCAACTGGACAGAGACGTCTGTTCTGCAGCAACCTTCACCGTTACAGTCTCCCTTTCCCGCCGGTAGAGAGTCACATGCCGACAAGCATCCGGTCGAGTAGTTTCGGGTTCCAGAAATGGTCAAAAGTGCTAAAGCGTTGCATCCTACTAAAGTGAACTTGTTGTTGGGAGAGAGAGATAAATTACCAAGCGTGTAAGTGTGGTAGATGCCATGACTCACACCTCCCTCTCTACTGTAGCAACTGTAGGAGATATTGTTCCAGACGCGTAGCTCCCCGCTGTGAGAAATCTTGATTACTTTATTGCCACCAAAGATTAACTCCTCTTTCTCGTTGCAGGTGAGATTGAAACTACGTTCTCCTCCTTCGTCATAGTAACAACCTGTAGATATGCCAAAAGGGTACTCGATTGTGACGTTGCCACAACGAGTTTTGCAATTCTCGCGAGGTTGCCCATTGATCAGCTGCGTATATCCAAGGTGGAAGAAAATAGCCACCAAGATCAGACCCTGCAACTTCATCTCACTCCTCTCTCTTTTTCTCACTTGTTTTTTTTTGCTTTTTTTCTCTCTCAATTTTGTTGCTTTTTTTGAGTTTGATATACACTCCAGTCTTGAGATGTTCTCTTGACTTGTGTTCGTTGACCCAAGCTGTGTGATTGGTGAGCATCAAAGTAACTGAGAATAATTGAATTGTAAAGAAAAATTGTAAATTAAATAAAACCATTGAAAAAGAAAAAGGTGGAGCCATCGTTGTTTCTCAAAAACCACGAAGGAAAAAAGGCTAATCATTTTACCCTATGTTGAACAGTACTCTGGAGTATTATTTGGGTACAGAGGAGACCATAACAAGTCAATGTAATGCAAATGCCAAAGAAGGAGACCATAACAAGTCAATGTAATGCAAAGGCCAAAGGATGGGGTTTGAGTACACTTTAGTAAAGTGACTTTATAGTCCCATTCAATATGTCTCCTTCATTTAATTTTGTAGGACACAGAGACCAGCTAGCTGTTTGGTGGTTACTAAGAAATATTCAAATGTGAAGAAAAGTAAAATTGGGATGACTAGTAGTGTGACTTCAAGCTTCTACTAGTTGTAAACTAAGACGTGTATAACCTTAAAACCAAAAAAAAAAAAAAAACTAAGACGTGTACGACGGGATGATAGATAATCCCTGCATCTTTGGGCTCAGGAGGGGAAATCAAAGGCCTATTTAAGCCCAACAAAAGAGATCAAAAAGAGGAGGGAACCAATAAAGAACGACTTTATTTATTCTCACAAACAAAAGAAATACATGTGATTCTATGCTGGACTGACAAATATCAGCGGCCAGATTCAATGTGTAACCTCGCTACATTATTCATGCTATCATAGCCACTGGTTGTGGTATCCTCTTGTGCTGATATGATTTGAACACCGAGCAAGTGCTCAGTCTCCTCAGGGTATTGATCCGACCACTGATGTTTGGTTTTTGTGTCTCTCAAGGCCTCAAGCTCCGCAGCTACTTCTTTCATCGTTGGCCTTTCCTCTCCGATCAGTCTTGTACACTCAACAGCAATTCTTGCAGCTTCCTGGATCTCCCTCTGGCTGTCCTCGTTCATTATTTTGCCGTCAATAACCTCATGCAACCTTTTCTCCTTCGTGGCAGAAGCAAAGTAACTCACCAGATGTTTTGAGAATGTTGGTCTTTTAAAGCACAATGCCTTTTGGCCAGAGATAAGTTCCATGAGGACTACCCCAAAGCTATAAACATCGCTCTTTTCATTTAGCAGCCCTGTGTTGTAGTATTCTGGGTCTAAGTAACCCAAAGTGCCTTGAACCATAGTTGTGAGCTGCTCTTTATCCATCGGTATCAGTTTTGAAGCACCAAAGTCTGCTACATTTGCGGTTAAGTTTTCATCCAGCAGAATATTATCAGTCTTGATATCGCGGTGGATGATTGGAATGGAAGCAGAGGAATGAAGGTATGCAAGAGTTCCAGCGACTTCTGTAGCTATCCTTAGATGGTGTTCCCATGTAAGAAAAGAATTAAACAAGGAACCGTGTAAGTGATCAGAAAGGGTACCATTGGTAATGAACTCATAGACCAACAAGGGAACTTCAGTCTCTAGACAGCAGCCCAAGAGCTTGACCACGTTCCTGTGGTTGATTTGGGAAAGCACGCGCACTTCGTTGATGAACTGCTCTACTTGGCTACGGTCTCCAAGCCGAGCCTTCTTTATGGCAACTACGGAGCTGTCCGGTAATGTCCCTTTGTAGACTGTTCCTTGGCCTCCCTGACCCAAGATATTGCTCTCGTCATAACCACTAGTTGCTTCTTTCATGCCTTCCTCAGTAAAGATCTTGACATCAACATCTGATTGCCCTGCTCCTGAGAGTCGCTGCATCAACATGCCGCCACCATTTTGCTGGAAGTATTGTTGTCGGAGCTTGGTGTCCTTCCTGTGCTTCATCAGCTGTTGTATACAGCTAGCGACAAGCAGGATGACCAAGAAGCCGATGGCGGTTCCTGGCCACATCACACACATAGATGGTTAGACCGAGTTGTTGTAGAAAAAGAAAGAACCGTGAAACAGAGAGGGGGAGCTTACCAAGAACAATTATAACCCATTCAATGTCTTTGCTTTTGCATCTCATAGTCGTGGTATCTAAGTTGTAACCAGATGGGCACTTACAACGGAAGCTTCCAGGCGTGTTTTCACAGGTGCTCTTGGGATCCGAACAGTTATGTTTATGGATAGTATGGTTACACTCATCGATATCTGGCCCAAGGAAAGAGAAGGCAAGATGCAACAAGAAATGTGTGAGGAAAGCAGTTTACACATTGAGAGAAAGAAACGAGAACATGAAGTACCTTGGCAGCCGTCTGGAAGGTATGGGTTCTTTTCATAACCTTCATAACATTTGCAGTTGTACCCGGTTCCACGAGTAGAATCGAAACATGTGCTGTTCCCACCGCAGATGCTTGTGTTTCCAGCTTGCTCGCATGTCTGGTTTCCAATAGACCAGTCCAGTACCACAGGGAAACGGGTTTCATTCCGAAGATTCCAAAGATCTTCTCTAGCGCTGAAGTGAAACCTACCATCTTCAGCAAGAAAGGCGTATGCGCAGGGATTAAAGTGTTTCGCAGAAGTCCGATTCGTCAAGGGAGCTGCGGTAGTTTGGAATCCAGAGCTATCCCACGGGACAGAGACGTTTGTTCTGCAGCAACCGTCACCATTACAGTCTCCATTTTCCGCCGGTAGAGAGTTACATGCTGTCAAGCATCCGGTCGAGTAATTTCGGTTTCCAAAAGTGCCCAGAACTGCTAAAGCGTTACAGCCTACTAAAGTAAACTTGTTCTTGGCAGAGAGAGATAAATTACCAAGCTTATAAGTGTAGCCACGGAGATTACTCACATTTACTTGGCTATTAGTGCAAGTGTTGAAAATATTGTTCCAGATGCGTAGCTCCCCGCTGTGAGAGGTGTTGATCACTTGCAAGTTGCCAGAGAGTAGCTTCTCTTCCTCGTTACAGGTGAGATTGAAACTACGTTCTCCGCCTTCGTCATAGTAACAACCAGGAGAAATGCCGAAAGGGTACTCAACCGCGACGTCGCCACATCTAGTTTTGCAATCCTTGCGAGGCTGCGTATATGCAAGGAAGAAGAAAATAGCCATCAAGATCAGGCTCTGCAACTTCATCTTCTCCCTCTCTCTCTCTCTCTCTCTCACTTTTTTGACTTTTCTCTCATCTCTCCGAGGCTTCTTATAGCTACAGAACAAGCGCCAGTCGTGAGATGTTTCCTTGACTTTGTTTTCGCTGACCCGTAACCATTTTCCCCACAAATTGCAGGAATTTTTGAAAATACGTACTATTCAACTACAGAGACCAGACTGTGTCAATGTAATGCAAGGAGGACGTTTAAGCATGCATCCTTTTCCCATGTAATATTCCATATTTCTTTGTCTCTTTCGTTTAATTATTTTTGCAGGACTCAAAGAACACGACGATTGCTGCTTACAATGAATCTTACAAGGAATTTTCCTTTTCCTATACGCTTATTGGCCTTAGCAGTAAACATGTCAACTATTTAACTTCAATCTCTATCGTCTCTTACTTTTCTTGATTACAAGGCAGATAAACCCTTTTCTTTACAGTTTCCCACCTTAGAATAATTTATTTTTGGCCCTATATTGGAGATGACTTGGAGAACAAGGTTTGTGACGTGTGGATTACGTCGGAAGAAGACGTTCGCAACTTTATTGTTGTGTAACAGAGTTGAGTTGCATCTTTGGGCTCAGGAGGGGAGATCAAAGGCCCATTTAAGCCCAACTGTTTCATTTAAGCCCAACAGTTTTACTAAACAGCGAACCTCTTTTTCATTTTGAGTTTAGAGAGATTGAAAAGTCGAAATCGGAAAGGATAAAAAGCAATCCCTAAAATCGAAAACTCAGAGCAGTGACAATGGCGGCAAGTGTGAGCCTATCTCCCACACTCGACTCCAAATCACCCTATTATCTCCATCCAGATTTTCATCTCGGAATTTGATCCATTGATAAACTCAGCGAAGACGAAGACAACTACGTCATCTGGAAATCTCGTTTTCTCGATTTCCTTGAACACACGAACAAAACCGGGTTCATCGACGGTACCCTCGAGAAGCCGGACCGTTCCTCGCCGCTCTATCATCCATGGAAACAATGCGACGCGACGGTTAAGTGCTGGCTGACGAACTCGATGACCGAGAAGCTTCTGAACTCTGTGGTGTTCGCGGAAACGGCGCATAAGATGTGGGAAGATATCAGACGGATATTCGTCCCGTGCGTCGATCTGAAGATCTACCAGCTTCGTCAGATAATCGCGACGACGAGGCAAGATGGTGACTCTGTGGATGTGTATCACCGGACACTGAGCCAAGCTTGGATGGAGTTGTCGGAGTATGATCCCGTGGCCAAGTGTGATTGCGGCGGTTGCAAGTGCGAGACCGCGAAACGAGCCTGGGAGGCTAGAGAAAAGGAGAGGCGTTACGCGTTTCTGATGGGTTTGAACAATGGCCTAAGCTACCTGAGAACGCAAATCATGCTCATGGATCCTCCTCCGTCTTCTTTCGGGGCGTACGCTATGGTTCGACGGGCAGAATCCAGGATGAAATCGAGCACGCGCTGATGAATTTAGGTCGATGATCGCACCTTTGTTTCGATTATACTGTTTCTTCTTCTTGAGTTGTTTTTTTTTAATTCTGAAGTTCCCGCTTAAATCCATGAACAAAATCTCTTAATACTAGGATCGTCTCTACTGGTTTAGCAAATCAATCAAAGGGAGTTAGTTACAAACAGAATAATTGATGATCTCTGCAAGAATCTCTCAAACGTAAAAAATGTTCTTGAATGACTATTTTGTTACTCTGGTTTTTAGAATGTTTAGGAGAACAACGAAATGGCTTTGCTTTCTCTCTGTATAAACAATATATACATACTTGACAATATCAGCGACCAGCTTGAATGTGCAACGTTGCTACATTCTTGATGCTGTCGTAGCCAATGGTACTGGTATGCCCTTGTGCTGATAAGATTTCAACACCGAGCAAGTGCTCGGTCTCCTTTGGCTCAGGATACTGATCCGACCACTGATGTTTAGTTTTTGTGGCTCTCAAGGACTCAAGCACTGCAGCTACTTCCTTCATCCTTGGCCTTTCCTCTCCGGTCACTCTTGTACACTCAACAGCAACTCTTGCAGCTTCCTGGATCTCCCTCTGATTGTGTTCATTCATCACTTGCCCATCGATAACCTCATGCAACCTTTGCTCTTTCATAGCAGAAGCAAAGTAACTCACCAGATGTTTTGACTGTTGTGGCCTTTCAAAGCACAATGCCTTTTCACCTGAGAGCAGTTCCATGAGGACTACCCCGAAGCTGTAAACATCGCTCTTCTCGTTTAGCAACCCTGTGTTGTAGTATTCTGGGTCTAAGTAGCCTAGAGTTCCTTGCACCATTGTTGTGAGCTGCTCTTTATCCATCGGTATCAGCCTTGAAGCACCAAAGTCTGCTACTTTTGCGGTTAAGTTTTCATCCAGGAGAATATTAGCAGTCTTGACATCACGGTGGATGATTGGAATGGAGGCAGAGGAATGAAGATATGCTAGAGTTCCAGCGACTTCTGTAGCTATCCTTAGACGGTGTTCCCATGTAAGAGATGAATCAGACAAGGAACCGTGCAAGTGATCGAAAAGGGTGCCACTGGCAATGAACTCATAGACCAACAAGGGAACTTCAGTCTCTAGACAGCAGCCCAAGAGCTTGACCACGTTCCTGTGGTTGATTTGAGAAAGCACGAGCACTTCATTGATGAACTGTTCTACTTGGCTGCTGTCTCCAAGCCGAGCTTTCTTTATAGCAACAACTGAGCTGTCCGGCAATATCCCTTTGTAAACTGTTCCTTGGCCTCCTTGACCCAAGATTCTGCTTTCATCATAATTATTGGTTGCTGTCTTCATTCCTTCCTCAGTAAAGATTTGGACATCAACGTTTGATGACCCTGATCCTGAGAGTCTCTGTATCAACATGCCGCCACCGTTTTTCTCAAAGAATTGTTGTCGGAGCTCAGTGTCCTTACGGTGCTTCATTCTCTGTTGTACACAGCTAATGACAAGCATCAGGAGCAAGAAGCCGATGGTAGTTCCTGGTAACATCACACACATATGATTAGAGTGAGTTTTCTTTTTCAGAAAAGAAAGAATCCAGAACATGTTAGAGGAGCTTACCAAGAAAAATCTGAGTCCATCCATAGTATTCAGGCCTGCCTTTACGAATGCAGCTATTGGTTGTGGAATTTAAGTTGTAACCAGATGGGCAACTACAGAGGAAGTGTCCCATCGTGTTTTCACAGGTGCTTGAATCTGAACAGTTATGTCTATGGATAGTACTGTTGGTAGTACACTCATTGATGTCTGGCACAAGATGCAACAGAGAAATGTATCAGGAAAACAATCTAAACCCTCAAAAGAAGAAATCAGAGGCAAAAGAAAACATATTTGAAGTACCTTGGCAACCGTTTTCGTCTGAAAGGTATGGATTCCCATCGAAACCTTTCTTACATTGGCAGACATATCCGGTTCCACGAACAGAATCCGAACACACGCTGTTCTCACGGCATATGCTTGCGTTTCCAGCTTCCTTGCACGACTGTTTACCAATAGACCAATCAAGTAACACAGGGAACCTCGTGACATTCCGAAGATTCTCAAGATCTTCTGTAGAACTGAAGTTAAACATACCATCTTCCACTAAAAACGCGTAGCTGCAAGGGTTGAAGCTATGCACAGAAGTATGGTTGGAAAAGCTGTACGGTCTGACTCTGAAGTAGTTTCTCCCTCTAGGGACAGAAGTCTGGCAGCAACCTCCACCAGAACACGATCCATTCGTCGCCCTGGGGGAAACACATGTCGACATGCATCCAGTTGAGTAATTCCCGATTCCTCTAGTGTTGAGAAACGCGTAAGTGTTGCAGCCTACTGCAGTAAACCTGTTCCTGTCGGAGAATGTTAGATTACCGAGGCTGGACCACCGGTTTTCACGACCAATCTGTTTCCCTTGCTCGTCGTAGCAAACGTAGGATCTACGATTCAAGACTCGTAGCTCGCCGCTGTGAGAGATGTCGACCACTTCATTGCCGCCAAAGATTAGCTTGTTTGTTTCGTTACAGGTGAGTTTGAAGCTATTGTCTCCTGCGTAGTAGCAACCTGGAGAAATCCCAAAAGGGTACTCGATCGTGGTGTTACCACATCTGTCTGTGCAACCGGGCAAAGATTTCCCTTTGATCAGCTGAGTATACGCAAGTGAGAAAATTGCCACAAAGAAGAGACCCTGCACCTTGTTCATCTTCTTTCTTTCTATATTCCTCTGTTTTGAGGTTTAGTCTCATCTCCTTGACGTGTGTTTTCTCTTTATAAGAGATAAACATCAAGTCTTGAGATGTGTTTCTCTTTACTCGTTTGCGCAGACAGTGTTCCTATCCCAGCTACACAAACAGGACCATTTCAAAGTAATGCAAGGAAGACCTTCAAGTACGCTCCATATCCCAATCCAATGTCTACGTTTGACAGAGACTCTGTTTTTTTTTTTTTTTTTTTTTTTTTGGTAGTATTAAAAGATTACGAGGGTTGGTAGTTGCAAGGAATATTCAAACGTGGAGAAATGGTAAAGATTCAGACAATGTATGCTTAATTTTATTATTATTATTGAATAGGAAAGCCATCTTTAGCAATTTAAAAAAGAGTGGTCAATCTTCAAAATTCACTATCCTCTCTTCTTTCCTTGATATTACAAAATGAGATCAGAAAGAACATGGTTCAAAAGTCTTCCCTTGTGTAATGAGTTGTTTAAAGAAGAAATCATGAGTTGGTATATAAATATAGTATAGTCACTTTTATGTGTAATATATATTTGTATGTAAGAGCCCCATTTACATTTCTAGAACGGAGCCTGAGCAGTCTGAGAACACGAATCTTGCTCTGCTCTTGGATTCACCTTTGTCTCTTTATCAATCCTATGCTCTGACCAAACAAGAAGAATCGATTCTGAAGTCGACCAAATGGTCAAAGTCAATCAAGTTTTCTTTGGATTCTAGAGTTTCTTCTTTGAGTTGTTTTTTTTTTATTTTCCTTTTTTTTTTTGACCATAACGATATAGATGCTGAATGTATATCATTGTATTAGAATTGTTACATATATATACTGATACACGTAGGGTACTCTAGGTTATAGCTATAGACATTTAGATCCTTTCCATATATGATTACAGACACCCTCAATAAACGATACACTAGTTTCATAAAAGATTCGGATTCATAAATTCTTATTTTAAGTAACAAACTCAAAAGTTTCAAATACAAGAAATCTGGAGGATTATATACAACATGATAGATGATTTAAAAAGACATAACAGTTCTTGGATGCCATGTTTGATTCAATGTTTTTGGAGGAGATTACAAAGGATATAAGAAATCAAATTAAAAAGAAACATCAGCGCCCAGCTTCGATGTCTAGCCTTGCTACATTCTTGATGCTGTCATAGCCAATGCTGCTGGTATCACCTTGTGCTGATAATATTTCAACGCCGAGCAAGTGTTCAGTCTCCATTGGCTCAGTATACTGATCCGACCACTGATGTTTGGTTTTTGTGGCTCTCAAGCCCTCAAGCTCTGCAGCTACTTCCTTCATCCTTGGCCTTTCCTCTCCGGTCACTCTTGTACACTCAACAGCAACTCTTGCAACTTCCTGGATCTCCCTTTGATTATTCTCGTTCCACACTTGTCCGTCAATAACCTCATGCAACCTTTGCTCTTTCATAGCAGAAGCAAAGTAACTCACTAGATGTTTTGAGTTCTGTGGCCTTTCAAAGCACAATGCCTTTTCACCTGAGAGCAGTTCCATGAGGACTACACCGAAGCTGTAAACATCGCTCTTCTCGTTTAGCAGCCCTGTGTTGTAGTATTCTGGGTCTAAGTAGCCTAGAGTGCCTTGCACCATAGTTGTGAGCTGCTCTTTATCCATCGGTATCAGCCTTGAAGCCCCAAAGTCTGCTACTTTTGCGGTTAAGTTTTCATCCAGGAGAATATTAGCAGTCTTGACATCGCGGTGGATGATTGGAATAGAAGCAGAAGAGTGAAGATAGGCGAGAGTTCCAGCAATTTCCACGGCCATCCTCAGACGGTGTTCCCATGTAAGAGAAGAATCAAACAAGGAACCGTGCAAGTGGTCGAAAAGGGTGCCACTGGCAATGAACTCATAGACCAACAAGGGAACTTCAGTCTCTAGACAGCAGCCCAAGAGCTTGACCACGTTCCTGTGGTTGATCTGTGAAAGCACAAGCACTTCGTTGATAAACTGCTCCACTTGGCTACTGTCTCCAAGCCGAGCCTTCTTTATAGCAACTACAGAGCTGTCCGGTAATATCCCTTTGTAAACTGTTCCTTGGCCTCCCTGACCCAGGATTCTGCTTTCGTCATAATTATCGGTTGCTGTCTTCATGCCTTCCTCAGTAAAGATTTGGACATCAACATTTGAAGGCCCTGCTCCTGAGAGTCTCTGTATGAGCATGCCACCGCCATTTTGCTCGAAGAATTGTTGTCTGAGCTGTGTGTTTTTCCTGTGCTTCATCCTCTGTTGTATACAGCTAGCGACAAGCAGGATGAGTAAGAAGCCGACGGTGGTTCCTGGTCACATCACAGAAGAAAAGAAAGAACAGAGCTGAGGCGTTTGAGGAAACATAGAATACAGAATGAGTGAAAAGAGAGCTTACCAAGAACAATCCGAGTCCACTCAAAGTATCCAGGGGTGTCGTCAGGCATGCAGGTATTATCGGTGGTGTTTAAGTGGTAACCAGATTTGCACGTACAAAGAAATCTCCCAGGCGTGTTTTCACAGGAGCTGCCAGTCGAGCAATTATGTCTGTGGATAGCATGATTACACTCATCGATATCTGGCAGCGTAAGAGGCAACAAGAAACGTAAGAGGAACACAGCTAACACTCAGAGGAAGAAAGAAAAGAAAACAATCTCAAGTAGTGTACCTTGGCAAGAGTATGGAAGGTATGGATTCCCCTCGTAACCTTGTGTACATTTACAGTTATAACCGGTTCCACGAGTAGAGTTGAAACATTCGCTGTTCCCACGGCATAAGCGTCCGCCTCCAGCTTGCTCGCATGTCTGGTCTCCAATAGACCAATCCAGTACCACAGGGAACTCCGTGACGTTCCGAAGATTCCTAAGATCTTCTCTAGAGCTGAAGTTGAACATGCCATCTTCAACAAGAAAGGAGTAGGCGCACGGGTTGAAGCCATAGACAGAGTCCATGTTCGCCAAGCGATCTGGGATAGTTTCGAATTCATAGCTATCCAACGGGACAGAGACGTCTGTTCTGCAGCAACCTTCACCCTTACATTCTGTATTTGCCGCCGGGAGAGAGTTGCATGCTGACAAGCATCCGGTCGAGTAATTTCGCGTTCCATAAGTGGTTACAAGTGCATATACGTTACAGCCTACTAAAGTAAACTTGTTCTTGGCTGATAGAGATAAATTACCAAGCGTATAAGTGTGGTATCTGATATCACTCCCATTTTCTTGGATATTGTAGCAGGTGTAGGAGGGTTCCAACTTCACACGCAGCTCGCCGTTGTGAGAAATTTTGATGACTTCAACGTTATTGCCAAAGATTAGCTTCCCTTCCTTGTTGCAGGTGAGATTGAAACTACGATCTTGGGCATAGTAACAACCTGTAGAAATACCGAAAGGGTACTCGAGTGTGACGTTGCCACAACTAGTTTTGCAGCCTGGAATGGATTGGCCCTTAACCAGCTGCGTATAAGCAAGAGAGAGCATAACCACCAAGAACAGAACCTGCAACTTCATCTTCTCTCTAGTTTTGTTCCTCTTTTTTTTTTTTTTTATCATCTCCTTGAGGCTTCTTACAATTTGGTGACAACTGACAAACCTTAGTCTTGAGATGTTCTCTTTATTCATTATTGCAGCAGACCGGTTCTCAATATTCCGAAAATTGTACAAATCTGTAATATTATAATGCAAGCAAGACCATATCAATGTAATGCGAGGATGAATTTCATCCATTTAAATAATAATATGTCTACATTTGCTTCCGTGTAACAATGACTCTTATTTTTGTAATATTCAAAGATTACGACGGTTTGTTGTTGCAAGTAATCTTCAAATATGAATAATTATAGAATAGAAACCCATTTGACAATAAAAAAGAAGAAGAAGCAGACATTTGAACTCCCTCTTCGTCAACTGCAGTCACTCAGCCTTGCAGACTCATTCTCAAGTTTTCCCTCAAACTGTAGAAATATGCAAATACTATAATCCAGCTACTTTAGTCAAAGTGAAGAATGAGTCTTTATGAAAGGTAGCGTTTCAGATATATCAAGGAGGAATTTTTATCTCTTGATTATGTTTCATAAGTAATAAGTTATATCCCAATTCAGGAGTCTCTTTCATTGACATAGTTCAAGATAAAATGATCCTCCTCTGTATTTAATGCTCTGTGTTTACCAACAAGACGCTGAAGATTATTTTTCTTTGCAAAATCTAAAGGTCTACATATGGTCACAATATTCTCTCTGCTTTCTTTTAATGCTTTCTTTAGATCCAAGTTTTCCTTCTTCATTGCATTTTTTAATGATATTCAGAACTTTGAAAAAGAGAACACCAAAACGGTTATAAAGTGTCGAATAGCAATTGAGGAAAGTTATATACATAATGGTTGATGATCTGACGAAACTAAGTATGTATAAAGCACAAAGGTTTTTTGAATGCCATGTTTTGTTATATGCTCTGTATTTTTAATCAAATACTCTGTTTTTAATTTAAGAAAACTGAAGCAGTACTTGTAGAAACAGTTTTTATTTTATTTCAATAATTTTACATTCATTTCCACACAAAAATTAAATTCTTAGGATGAGAAGGAGGGAGAGAAGAAACATGATCAGATCAAACGGAATTTGACTAACACTCAAGCCATTTAGTGGGAGTTTTAAAAAAACTATCAGCGGCCAGCTTCAATGTCCAACCTAGCTACATTCTTGATGCTGTCATAGCCAGTGCTGCTGGTATCACCTTGTGCTGATAAGATTTCAACGCCGAGCAAGTGATTACTTTCCTCTGGCTCAGAATAATGTTCCGACCACTTGTGTTTGGTCTTTGTGGCTCTCAAGGCCTCAAGCTCTGCAGCTACTTCCTTCATCCTTGGCCTTTCCTCTCCGGTCACTCTTGTACACTCAACAGAAACTCTTGCAACTTCCTGGATCTCCCTCTGATTATCCTCGTTCCACACTTGTCCGTCAATAACCTCATGCAATCTCTGCTCTTTCATAGCACAAGCAAAGTAACTCACCAGATGTTTTGAGTTCTGTGGCCTTTCAAAGCACAATGCCTTTTGACCTGAGAGAAGTTCCATGAGGACTACACCGAAGCTGTAAACATCACTCTTTTCGTTTAGTAACCCTGTGTTGTAGTATTCTGGGTCTAAGTAACCTAGAGTGCCTTGCACCATTGTTGTGAGCTGCTCTTTATCCATGGGAATCAGCCTTGAAGCCCCAAAGTCTGCTACTTTTGCCGTTAAGTTTTCATCCAGCAGAATATTAGCAGTCTTGACATCGCGGTGGATGATTGGAATTGAAGCAGAGGAGTGAAGATAGGCGAGAGTTCCAGCAATTTCCACGGCCATCCTCAGACGGTGTTCCCATGTAAGACAAGAATCAGACAAGGAACCGTGCAAGTGGTCGAAAAGGGTGCCACTGGCAATGAACTCATAGACCAACAAGGGAACTTCAGTCTCTAGACAGCAGCCCAAGAGCTTGACCACGTTCCTGTGGTTGATCTGTGAAAGCACGAGCACTTCGTTGATGAACTGCTCCACTTGGCTACTGTCTCCAAGCCGAGCTTTTTTAATAGCAACTATTGAGTTGTCTGGCAATATCCCTTTGTAGACTGTTCCTTGGCCTCCCTGGCCCAAGATTCTGCTCTCATCGTAACCGTCGGTTGCTGTCTTCATGCCTTCCTCGGTAAATATTTTTACATCAACATTTGAAGGCCCTGCTCCTGAGAGTCTCTGTACCAACATGCCGCCACCGTTTTGTTCAAAGAACTGTTGTCGGAGCTCTGTGTTTTTCCTGTGCTTCATCCTCTGTTGTGCACAGCTAACGACAAGTAGGATGACCAAGAAGCCGATGGTGGTTCCTGGTGACATCACACATATATGATTAGAGAGAGTTGTCCGTTTTAGAAAAGAAAGAAAACAGAACAAGAGTGAGGGGAGCTTACCAAGAAAAATCGTAGTCCATTCAACGTATGCAGGCGTGCCGTTTGGCATGCAGCGCATATCAGTGGTATTTAGGTGGGAACCAGATGGGCATTTACAATAGAAGCTTCCCGGCATGTTTTCACAGGTATTATGATCAAAACAGTTATCTCTACCGCTCGTACACTCATTGATGTCTGACCCCAAGGGAAGAGAGCGCAAGAAAACGTATATAAGAAGAGCAAACAATCAAGTGCAGTGATAAAAAGAAAACAAGTTGAAGCTACTACCTTGGCAACCCTTTGGAAGATATGGATTCCCATGGTAACCGTCTTCACAGTTGCAGACATAACCGGTAAAGCCAGTAGAATTGGAACATATGCTGTTCGTGCGGCACAAGTTTCCAGCTTGCCCGCATGTCTCTCCTCTAATAGACCAATCTAACACCACAGGGAAGTTGCTAGTCTGCAGGTAAGTGTGATCTTCCAAAGAGTTGTACTTAAACGTGCCATTCTCGGCGAGGAAGGCGTAGACGCAAGGACTACTGAAAGGACGCACCACAGACTCCATAGTGTCCTTGGTAGCGCGATATACCTTGACGATGTACACACTGCTCCCTGCGGCGACGGGGTTCTGACAGCAACCTTCACCATTACATTCTCTGTTTTCTAACAGGGGTTTAGCATCGCATTCTGACATGCATCCAACTAAGGTTTCAGCAGTGTTGACAAAAGCGTACGCGTTACAGCCTACTACAGTAAGGACGTTGTCGTCGGAGAGAGTTAAATTACCCAGCTTCTCAGTATAGTAGTGAATGCCCTTAATAAATCCCTGGCCGTTGAAGCAGACGTAGGATGGAGGGAACAGGATGCGTAGCTGGCTGCTGTGAGAAATGTTGACCACTTGAAGGCCATTAAAGAGTAGCTTCTCTTCCTCGTCGCAGGTGAGCTTGAAACTAGGATCTTTGTCATAGTAACAACCTGTAAGAATGCCGAAGGGGAACTCGATTGTGACGTTGCCACAACTAGTTTTGCAATTCTCGCGAGTTTGCCCCTTGACCTGCTGCGTATATCCAAGGTAGAAGAAACTAGCCACCAATATCAGACCTTCCAACTTCATCTTCTTTCTTTCTCGCCAAACTTGTTCCTCTTTGAAATGTCTCTTAATCTCTCTGATGCTTCTTATAAAGAATAAAAAGGTAGGGCTCTTCAGATGATCCGTTTACCTTTTTTCGCTGACCATTTCCCTTTTACTTTGTTTCACAAATCAACAATACTAAAATCCATCGTCCTATCACATAGCGAAGACTTTTTCGACCAAAAGAAGATATTTTCTACATGTTGTACATTAATACAAGGGGGGCGTTAAAGAAATGGTAAGAATCTGACGACGTGCTTGAGATATTACAGGAAAGAAAACCCATTTGACAATTTTTGTTTTCTTTAAAAACAGAACCATTTGATCTCTCGTCAACTTGAGCCTCTGTCAAAATTAATCGGTCGCAAGCCAGATTTATGTCGGAGCCCCTCAGAGAGACAGTGAAAGCTTGATTTGCAGAGCGTGGGATACATGACACAGAACCTGCAGACTAGAAACTGGAGTTTGTTTCAAATTAGAGTGTTACAATATCATCAACATTGTATAACATTTCAGTATTTTCGTCAATATTTTCTATTGCATAACTTAGATCACAGTTCAGGAGTCTCTCTCATTGACATAGTTCAAAATAAAATAAAAAGGCTCCTTTTGCAAAAACATTCAAATTAGATTGTATGTGAAGAACAAAAAGGAGAGGTTTTCAATGGAATAAAATAGATAAAGAAACATTTGTTACATCCAGGAAAATAGATTTTGTCAAAGAATAATACAGCAGGATGATGAATATAAAGGTCGATAAACCTTAGAATTAACCACTCTCTGCTACATGAAACCACAATGATCTCTCACATCAAAGTCTCGAGATCATTCAATCAAAGCAAGCTTATAACAACAGAACACAAGTCTTGGTTTTGCGAAGCTATATATACCAATCAAGAAGAGAAGTGAAAGCCAATCCCGTTATAATTCAAGACCCAGTTCCCTTTGTTTCAACTCCAATCCCATCCGATCATTCTCAAGTTTCAACCTTTCATTCTCCATCCTCATTCTCTCCAGTTCTTGATCCCTCTTCTTACTAAACCTCTGCCACCTGAATCTCTGTTTCTCCAGTTCCAGCAACTCAACTTGGATCTGAAGCTTCTGCTCTTCCAACTGGAGAGTCCGAGACTCGATCCACTGCTTCTGCGTCGAAGCTGCTCTCCCACTCTCTGCCCCACCTTGACTCACATCAGCAAGAGGAAAAGCCAACTGAGTCAAAGACCCTCTATTGCATTCCAGAGCACCAACATGATTCGGATGGTCACCATCTTCATGGCTATGGCTCTGTCTTATCTTCTTCAAAGGACCACCACCACCACCTCCGTAATGAACCCCTCTACAATCACCATGCGAGAAATGATGCTCCTCATACTCATCATGCTCATCGCCTTCCCCATCATGATCCTCATCATCACCATCCTCCATTTGGTGTTTCCCATCGTTATCATGATCATCTCTGTTTCTAAGCGCCAGCTGCAGAGAACGCTGCAGAGCAAGGTCATGAGGCAAATGCAACCTGTTCCCATTGTGGTACGAACACATCTCCTCGTAGAAAAGATGCTTCGAGCTCATGATCTTCCTAACATCATCTTTCTCTTTATCGTTCAAGTAACCAATCGAATCCAAAAGCGCCGGGTTCTCAACAACCTGACAAGAAGTTCCTCTGCCAAGCATATCGTTAAGCTTCTTATACCGTTTGTTCAAATCGTTGAACTTATCCTCACATTGCTGCGGCGAGACGTGATAACCTCTCTCAGCCATAACTTTAGAAACCGACTTCCACTTCCCCTTCTTCTGCAAAACAGCAAACTTTCTTCTGCTACCACTGTCCATAGTCGAATCTTCGCCTATATAAGACACAGCGGTTATCAACATCTTCACCATCTTATCTGTCCACTTCACTCTCTGCCACGGAGACCCTTTGTTTGATTTGTTAGCTTCGTTGTGACCATCGCCACCTTCCTCAGTGAAACTTGGCTCATCGTCATCACTCACAGAGTTCTTCTCCCTTTCGCCTTTGTGTTGCTCGGCCATTGACATGTTGTGATGATGATCACAGGTTTGACCTGTAACCATGGTAAAAGGAAGACCTTCGTGAAGTGGTCGAGGGTTTGGATTGTGTCGATGCTGATTCATGGACTCTGGATGATGAACTCTCATGGAACCTTGCAAATCGAATCCTCCGTACGAAGAAGCTCCACCACGAACCACACCTCCTCCTTGCGCAAAATTCCCATCCATTTCTCTTCCTAAGTGAGAAAACTCATCAGATAGATCTCAAAAGTCACGAACTTTTCGAGAAAATCGAAGAGATTTGAAAAGCATAGACATAGAAGAAGAAAAACCCAGGAAAAATTTAGTACTGGATCTCGTGGAAATCGAAGATCGAAGATCGAAACTTTAGTAGAGAAATCAGGATGAAGAAATCACGAGGTGACTATGAGAAATGAATAAACAATAAAGAAAGTAACTCACAGAGACAAAGTTTTGAACTTGCTTCGTCTTCTCCGTTGAGCCTCTCAGGGTTTCTCTCTCTTCTCTTTCTCATTAAAACATATCTGTGTGTTGCGCCAGTTAAAAGTTGTGTATAGGTGGATGCCAAAAGCTCTTCTTATTTTTGTAACATTAGAAAATTTTCATTTCACGTCCATACTTCTCGTAGGTTTATTATTTTTTTAACCCCACTTATATTTTTATATCATAAATTTAATTTATTAAAATGACAAATTGATACCTTGTGATTCGACTTAGTATAGTTAAATTCCACTATCATGATGGTTCATAATCAAATTAATCATGTGTGAGGTTAAGATTAGTTTTTCAAGCTTCTAGATTATTTGTATGGATAAATACGATTTGTTCTCGTTGTAAAAAAAAAAATCTTTAAACAAGAAGAGAAATTTGCACACACAAAAAAAGACAACAGAAAAAGAAGCAAATTGATATATATCGATTGAACGGCTGAGATAAATCGATCTGTGGTACATGCATTATGCAATACGTTTTAACTTTTCACTGTATTAGTAAAGCTGATGATGTGAAATGACACATACCGAATCGATCAAAGAAGTAGTCAAATTTGAAGAATCAATCACCAATGGCAATCGAAAATTCCAAAACCATCAAATAATTTTGAATTTCCTGTTTCAGATTTAAGATCATTTAAGCTCTTAAGCATATTTTATAATCTCGTCCCTCGAAATGAGGAAGTGGTGTATTTAAACAAAATGTGGAGTAAATAAATAACATTTTCACTTATAAAAACTTACAACGGCACGTTACGTTTACGTTTAATAATTCGTTGAAAGAACATGGGCGTGTGATGTGAAGCGAACCATTCTCGTGACCCGAATAAAAAAAAAAAAAAGATACTACTAAACCTTTTAAACCGAGGAATCTGACGTTGACCGGACAAAGCCTGTGATACCTGACGCAGCAGCAGAAGGTTCTCTCATTTGATACGAGGACGAAGGATTCGAAACATGGATAAATTTAACTCGAATTTTAGAAAACCTTATTGGGCCAGGCTTTTTAATTGAGAGCCCAAAATGCGAGCCCGAAACGAATTTAAGAGCGGAACTGTGTAAGATCTTCTTGGCTTCAAAAGTCTTAGAAACCAACGGTGGTGATTGCGTGAGCTCAGAGAGATATCGGCGACTATTCGTTCTTCTCCGCAATTCCAAGAACCCTCCGAGAAGTTTTAACAGAATGTCCGTCGAAGAAGACGCCACCGTTAGGGAGCCTTTGGATCTGATTCGATTGAGTATCGAAGAGAGAATTTATGTCAAGCTCCGCTCCGACCGTGAGCTCCGCGGCAAGCTTCACGTTCGTTTTCTTTCCCCATTTGGATTCCATATTTTATCTTGATTTCGGTTTTTAGAGTTTCAATTTCGGAAAATTTCACGAGCTTTTGGCGTAGAAACCTCAATTTTCGAAGAATTTAGCTGACTTTGTTAAAATTCAAGATTCGAAGTCGCTCAGATTTTTTGTGTGTGTATGTTCAGGCTTTCGATCAGCATTTGAATATGATTCTGGGTGATGTTGAAGAGGTTATTACGACAGTAGAAATCGACGACGAGACATACGAAGAGATTGTTCGGGTATGTAACTCAAACAAGATTGAATGATCTAGTGTTATCTAGTAACAGATGACGTTTTCGGGTTCAAAATATTTCAGTTTTGCGTTAAAAGCTGATCTTGAATTATGTTTATAGTTAAAAGTAGTGCTGTTTACATAAGATGAACTTATGAGCTTGTGATGATGTGTGTTGTGAAGCTTATGATTAGACTAGTGCTACTATGTTCTTCGATTCCACGTTTCATTTTTTTTAACTGTACAATCATATCTTCGTCATTTTATGCTGATGGCACTTGCTTATTTTCAGACAACGAAGCGAACAGTTAAGTTTCTATTCGTGCGTGGGGATGGAGTGATATTGGTGTCGCCGCCTTTGAGGACGACATGAGTTCGAGTTCATATAGAATGTTCTTGTGGACTTGGCTTCTGATTTGTATTGCTGTGTTTTGTTTCTTTGCCAAACATTTAAACCAAATGTAGCCAAAAAAATTGCATTCGAACCCTTATTAACATGCTTCGTTATAGTAGAAGTGTTGTAACATAATACCTCATATTCTCGACTCCTACCGTTTATGTATGAAGACTTGTGTTCTTTCTCAAATTCGATGATTTCAAACGCTAGTAGGAAAAGGGATCGATTACTTATTTAGATATGTAATCCATGAAAGACATTTTGATCAATTGAACCATTATATGGAACCACGGTTGATGAGATGAATTGAGGATGAATACAAAAAGAAGAGAGTATTGATATCAAAAGTTGGAAATGGAATTAATCACAGTAACAAGGAAACAATGCATCGAGAAGTAGATAGATATGTCTTATCTTCGTCTGGGTCTGGTTTGAGCCGGAGAGCCCATTGATGGTGACTCTCTGTAGTTTCTGCTGGGAGAATCCATTGATGATCTGGAAGACGAGTAGGCAGCTTTGGTTACTTGAGGCGTTGAATCCAACGGGACTGTCTCAACGAAGCATGCGCTATTCAGACGGGTCTTCTCTAGCTCCAGTTGAAGCATTTCACTTGTACATTGCTGTGCAAGAGCCTAATAAAACAGCAACATTAACAAAAACAAAACCGCTTTAGCTAATGGTAAATATCATCAAATAGTGGTGATTAAGGAGAAATAGTCTTACAATGAGATCATCTGGAGATACGGATGATTGTTTGTCGTCTGAAACTGCATCTTCGCTGCCACGTGTTTGTTTCCGGTGATTCCCACCTGCGTTGTTCTCAGCTGTGTCGCTGATGCTCTCTGTAGCTTTCTCCAACACAGCTCCTTGGAGAGACTTTAGAGATTCAGTTGCATCGGCCGTGAGATATGGATTCAGTATAGTCTCGAAATACTCGAGCTGCATAATCAGTTTGTGAAAACATATTATATAATCTTTAACTATTATAAACCACTCGGTAAATATGTAGCTGAGGAGAATTAACATGTTTACCTCAAGCATCAGTTGGCAGAAACCATTTGCATCTATTGAACCAAGGTCGTCAGATCTGTTTTCTTCTAGAAGACTGAGAAAAGTGTCGATCAGACCTTCCACCAAAGTGCCAAGGATTTTGTCCAGGAGAGGTTTGGAACCAGCAAATACCTGTAATTTACAGTTCTCAGCGTAAAATTAACGGGTTTTTTGCACTAGGAATACTCAAGTCTAGTGGTCAGAAGATTTGGTTATAGAAAGTTTGAATGTCTTAACGAAACAATGGAACTACCTCTGCATGGACAGCAACCAGAATGTGCAAGAGCTCGACAGCAGCATCTCTTATGCCCTGAAGGAAAGGTTTAGTTATTGGTTCTCCAGAGAAGACAAGGGGCTACAAAATATATTTCATTGATTCGTTGAGAGTGAACTTGCTACTTACTTTTACTGGAGGCGCTGCACCCCACTGAATACCAGAGTCCAGCAAATAATTTGTTGCAGCTGTTCTGATCAAGCTTGCCTGAGGTATAAGATATATAGATGCGCATTTAAAAGGACTAGATAAAAAAAAAAAGAACATTCCGGTTTCAATTGTTCAGTGGAGTTGCATCAATTCTCTAAACGCAGCGATAACATTACTAAACCAACCTAGCAGATCATAAGTTACCTTAGCAAAAGTGTAATGTTCGAGGACCTTCTCTCCAAGACCAGAGAAAGACATTATTAGATCTTGAAGATCGCTGGTGTCTTCATCATTTCTCCTGCAACATTTAAGAGACACAATTGACTGACCAGTACGCTACAACGCCATATACTTATTCTCACGATGCAATTCATAATTTTGAGAAGGAAAATTCAGACATTGGTACTAATTAGCATGGTCGAGGCATTTAACCCGATGACTGAGTTTGTCATTCAGACAGTGGTACTAATAATCATGGTTTAGGTATTTAAGCATGACTGAGTTTGTCATTCAGACAGTGGTACTAATAATCATGGTTTAGGTATTTAAGCATGACTGAGTTTGTCCAACTTCTCTACCGGTTAGAGCAGAGCTAGGTAAATCTAGAGATTAAAAAAAGCACCAAGGAAGTCAAATAAGAAAGGAACTCACCTAGACTGTAACCAAGTGTATTTGTACTTGTTGTAAAGCTCAGAGGCAAGTTCGTCTTTGCAATAACCTATATTACTTAAGATCATCAACAACTGCCTATGGGGATCAACAACACTTTCAGGAGCATTTATTGATGGTATGTCCTGGTGGTCGTTGGAATATCCATTTTGCCAACTCTCTTGCTTTGAAGGGCCTTGAGAAATGTCAGCACCAATTTGCTCCAAGTGAGCTAATATATGCAAAAAGCAATTAGCATATCATCATAATCATCGTCTAGTGTGTGCATCTGACTCTATCCGCATAAATGTTTCCTTTACATGTACTATCACGGAAGTTTGGTGTAAAAGGCTTACCAGCAAAATCCAGAAAGCAGTTCAAAAAGGCAAGTCTAACAGATATTAGAATTTCCTCAATATGGGCAAACATATCTTCTGATCTACTAGCTTCACCTTTCAAAGACAGAATCATCCTGGAAAAATCATATCCATAGATTAGCAGCCATATAAGGCAAAACGGCTATTAAAAACACGGAAGTTTGCGGTTCATTTTCTGAGCATATCATATTCTTAACGACCAGAATCATACAATGGCAATTTGGCAACTGCCATGTTTTTCTCTAACTAGGGAGAGAAGTAGAACATCAAAATCATAGAGTACTGAAATCATAGCTATCTAGAACTCTTAAAGTACACAAGGTTAAGTATTTGTATATACATGTAACTGCAAGATGCTAGAAACTTACAGATTGATTTGTTCCATCCCAGAAACGATAATTGAACGAAATGCAAGGGGCAGGTAAGATATGGAATATGGAGATCTATTCCTTTCGAGAATAGAAACGGGGATCCACGTCTCCTCCTTTGATATTCCTTCTGTAGACGCCCTCATCCAAGAGCAAAGCCTTTGGATGTATATTTTAGTGATTTCCACCTTAACTTTTCTTAGTGCCATGACTGCCAGAACCAAAAAGTGTATACGGAATCTCAGTATAGTTTAGCGAAACAACAAGCTCAAGCTTCAGGAGAAATCTAAGTACCAGCACTAGGGGGAGCTGACTCTTTCGCCTCAAAAGCTTGGCATGCTTTTGATACTTCTTTGATGGTGTCACTCATATATGGGTGGAGAATGTATGATTCGTCAAAATCATGAAACGTGCTTTGCACCTACACAAGCAAAAAGCAGGGGGACAAAAGTATTACAACCAACATACGGAACAGATAACAGGGTTACTCTTTCCAGCATGGCAAAGAAAAGCTCTATTGAAAAGATCAGTTGACAAAAAAGAGAGGCAGGGAGATGACCTTTGCTTCGTAAACAGAAATGGTATTGCGTATCATCCCTGCAACTTCTTCCAAAGAATGACTTGAATACCTTGCCTCTTCCACCTTCTCCTCAGCTTTGCTGGCTGAAGTATCATTAACTTGGGAAGACTGAATTGGTAGATTTCAATAAAAGTAAGATTTGTCTCCATTTGAGTAAAGAAAGAAATAGGTACTACCCTCAGGTTAAGAAATTTATAATACACAGGATTAATCTACTGCAAGAGCAGAGCACATAGGAGTATAATGTACCTTGGCAAATTTCCCAGTGAAAACAGAAAGAGCTGTTTTCCAAAACGCAGGGAGATGATATACGATTACAGCAGTTAATCTTTTGATATATCTTCCCCTCAAAGCATCATTTTCTTTGCCCGCTGACTCTACTGGTGGTAGGTCAACTTGGAATTGATTATCTTCCATAGAAGACGTGTCACCTGACTGAAAGATTATAGAAAGTTCAAATTGTTATCCTCTTTAAACCTGAACCTTCTTTATATTGCAATTAAATAGCTGCCCTCACAGTTGAACTCACAAGTTGAACACCATTTTGTTGGATTTGTCGCCACTTCGCATCAGAGAGTGCTCTCTCGTGCACCTGGTTGCGCAAAATTTCCATCCTTGCTTCATGATCAAATGTGCACTTTTCAAGCAGCCCATGGATTCTATGATTCTGATAAACGAAAGAAACAAACCAAACCTTATTTACATACTTTCACAAATAGTCTGAGAAACTACATATAGTGTGTGTTTCTAGACCACAATCATGAAAAAAAAAGAGATGCATAATAGCAGAGGCTAACAGAGCCACCTTCGGATATTAAAATAAAAACTACAAGGAATCCAATCCAGACACTACTCAGCACTAGCGTAGGAAAGCCGTAGAGTAAAGAGCAACAACATCTAATGCACTGACCTGAACATTTAAGTAATGCCAAACAGGATCCGATTCGGGCTCTAGCTCCAGCAAAAGCCTCACAGTGTTTTCCAGCTAAATTAAGCAAATAAATTTTAGCGTCAAGCAGAGGAAGAGAATGAAGAGAGAAGATACATGAATTTCTATTACAAACATTAATTGGTGACTCAAAGTCTAGTCTTACAAAAGGGAAGCATGAAAACTTCAATAACTGTACACTTGGGAACTGATAGCGTCATAGCGATATTATAGCAAAAGCACCAGGCAATCCTTAACTTATTTGAATGATGAAATGTTCATTCCGTTACTACATTACATTAGAATGGAAGAGGTAATAGTTAACTTACAGTCGTCAAATCTATTTTCGGATCTTCCATAGATCTGTAAAGGGTGCCTTTAAACTCCTTCATCACTTTCTCAACCTCCTCCAGTACGCGCTTGAGTATATTTACCTGTAAGAAACGTGTTACTCTATGCTTTCAAGAGCTTTGTAACATGAGTGGTATCTTTCTGAAGAGTGACTAATAAGTAATGAGGCAAGCATACATGTGAAGGGAGAGCAATAGACTTCGCCTTCTTGTATTCCCGAACAGCCAAATCATACTCGCCTTTGCTAATACTGCTACGAATTATACTGGGTAAATTGAAGAGTGTACGGAATCTCTGAAGCATTCCTTGTACAGACCTGATCTTCTCAGCTTGGGCCTAAGAATAATGGTGAAATAAGGCAAAAGTAGATAGCAAGAGGCTAACACTAAAAACCAATAGTATGTGACCATGCCAACCTGTCTCTCAAAAAGTGGCTCAAAAGCAAGATTAGCCCGTGATGTCACACTCTTCATACAGTTGAACAAATGAGTAGTTCCCGATCCTTCTGGGTCATCTTCGATCCGTTTCAGTTTTGATTCAATATCTGTAAAGAAAGGCAGTTAAAATACAGTTAACAAGAGAGAAGATTACAGTTAAAATAAGCCACCCAATTGAGTGTAAATGTGTAATAATACATACCGTCAATTGTTGTCTTACAGGAGACAAAGCAGTCAAAATTATCTTTCACCAGTTGTTTCCTTTGTAAATTACGGCCCTTTAAGTCACTTTTCAGGGCAAGGGCACCAGACTCCAAGTCCGCTGCAGTTGTCTCTTGATGAATGCGAGAAAGAAACAGCTTGGGATCGAAATGGTCAGAGATGTACACCAATTTTTCTGCAAATTGTCAGACGAGTATTGTTAAAATTTACAAAACCGGAAGTTGGACATCGAGTAAGCCCGCAGAACGTTCGAGTCGTTTGTAAGAGCTAATGATGAAGGCCAAGTTGTAAGTATGGTCATGAAAAAAAAATACATACCCCGAAGTGCATTATCCACTCTCTCAGCTTTTGAAAGACTTTCTGATGACTCAGTGATCAATCTCAGTGTCTTGTTATCAATTATCCTACGGGGGTATACAAAAAGCCATGTTTAGCTATGCACTACCATATCATGTTCTCAGAGATAAGAGTAAAGTATATGATTGACCGTTGGAGGTGAGAACACAGAAACAAGAGGAAGTACCCTAATTTTAGTGGATCAATGCATTCCATGCCACGAGGGAATGATTGCAAACTGGTAAGAACCCCTTTCTTGCCAGCTCCAGATACCTTCCGCTCAAGCTTCTCAGTCACAGGTGGTGCTGTTCTCGACTCCCGCATATCACGAACCCTACGGGCAAGCTGCCAAATGTCATCAGCATTATAGTGAAATGTTCATAATGCTACGATCCTTTAGGATCTCAGAACTATTCTATGAATGAAATATTAAGTTCATACGATTGATGTCGCATACAGAAATTTTTCGATTTAAATCCTAAACTCGATCAAAGAAGTAAAGATTACTTAAGAATAAATACTTCAAATCAAAACGATGCAACAAACACAACAACAGCCAAACGAAAATTCAAATTCTTAGCTCGAACGTATCACGCATACACTTACTAAAAAGCAAATTGAAGTCAGATAAATCCAGACGAGATAGGTACGTACCTCAGCTTCGTTTACTCGTTTCCAGCAATCGGGCTCCAATCCATCCCAAGCTCCATCATCTTCCTTCCGCGCTCTTCCTCTCTCTCTGCCACTGGCGCCTCTTCCTCTTCCCCCGCCATCGTCAGCACCACCTATTCCCCGATCCTTCTCCATATCCTCATCCCCGCTCGAAATGCTGAGCAATTCAACCTCCGATTCATCGTCATCATCCATCGATGGCTTCCTTGCCGCCGCCGCACCTCCCATCGACTTCTTCGGTGGAGGCGCTGCCGGCTTCTTCTGTTGCCGTGGCTGCTGCACTAAATTGGCGACGGGCTTGCGGGAACTGGCGGAAGGAGGCTTCTGATAGGTAAGATCTCTCTGAGATTGCTCCTTCAACGCCATTTGAAGGAGCTCATCCTCGTCTAGATCGCTGTCGCTCGACATTTTTCCCGCTGAATCAGATGATCGTCTCTGTCTCTTCCTCCCTTGAGCTATCGCAGAGATCTGTGCATATATTTTTTTTCACAAATCAGTTTTTGAATTTTGTTTGCGACTTTTTCTTTTTCCGTGTGGCGAATTTTTCTTCTCTTTGTTATTTTTTGTTTTTAACTTTTCCAGTGTTTTATTAATGGAAAATAAATGCAAAATAAAACATCAATTAAGGGGAGTGTGAAACGCCGCCGTTTGGCTATTTAACCTAAACCCAAAATCCTTCTTCAACCTTTTTTTGCCCTATAAATACGCGACAACCAAAAAAGCGGTCGAAACCCTAAAATCCCAAAATTCTCTGCAGCGAAGAACCTTTTACATCTTTACTCATCTTCCACAAACCCTAATCTTCTTCGATAACTTCTGTGCTGTTCCGTAAATCTTCCTGGTTTGTTTTTGCCTAATATGAAGAGAAGCCGATCAGATAAAAAAGTAATCTTCTCTCCATCTCTCGCTCTGATTTATTGAAAATTTTATTGAGCTGTTGATTCGAAGGTTATTGTTTTAGCTGTTTAAATTCGATATCTGATTGTATTGTTCTTTTTCGGTATTGGGTGAATCACAGGCTCTGTTTATCTTCGAATTTTATCAATGGATCGGAAGAAATCGAGTGCGTGGTGTGGAGACGAAGATCATCCCTTGGTCTCGTCGTTTATGGGAGGTGAAAAGTCTAAGAATAAATCATCTGTGATAGAAGAAGAGGGATACATTGGTCTGGAGCTATGTAAAAAGCCTATGCAGCTTGAGGAGAATCATGAATCTTCTGAATGCAATTCAGAGGAGATTGATTTTTCTGGGGAAAGTAAGATGAAATCGAAGAATAGGGGATCTGTTGGCTCTACTCTTCTTGATGTTGAAGATTACAAGGAGGAAGCTAATGACGTCACAAAGAGTGAGGAGATTGGAGAAACCTCAAAGAGTAAGAAAAAGAAGAAGAATAAGAGTGGAAGGAGTGCACATGAAGAAGAGGATTTGGACAAGATTCTTGCAGAACTTGGGATAACTCCTGTTGAAGCCCAGCCTGAGACAGTTACACCTGCAGATGTTGCTGTTGAGAAGGATGGAGAAGAAGAAACTGTTGAGTCGGCTGCGGCGAAGAAAAGGAGAAAGAAGAAGGAGAAGAAAGCAGCTACTTCTTCTGTGGAGGCTAAGGAAGACAATCAAGAGAACTCAATATCTGAGACATCACAGCCCAAGAAGAAGGATGCAAAGGGTAAAGTAGCGGAGAAGAAAGTTCCTAAACATGTCCAAGAGATCCAAGAGATTATTGCACGGCGGAAAGAAGCTGAAGAGAGGAAGAGGAAGGAAGAAGAAGAGAAACTGAGGAAAGAAGAAGAGGAGCGCCGTATACAGGAAGAGCAAGAAAGGATAGCTGAGGAGATCAGACAGAGGAGAAAGATAAGGGATAAGGAGAAACTGCAGAGGAAGAAGCAAGAGGGTGGGATTCTAACAGAAAAGCAAAAGAGGGATGAGGCTTTCAAGAACAAGGCTTTGAATGAAGCTGAAAGTCTTCTTGTTGCAGATAAAAACGGTGATCCCACAAAGCGTCCCATTTATGCCAACAAAAGAAAACCAGCTCCCGAAAAGGCAATAGGTTCTGCTTCTGTCCAGGTAAAAGATGATGTAGAAACAAAGGAAAAGCATGCAGATGAACCAGCTACTTTGCATGAAATTGGTTCAGCTGATGATGGAAGGATTGATAGAATAGAAATCGTAGGCACGGAAGAGAAACAGGCAGCTGCTGATATCGCAGAGGAGAATGGTGATGAGAAAGATGATTGGGAAGCAAGAATCGGAGATAGTGATTATGATGATGAGGAAGAATCTCAGCCTGTGGTTAAGGAAGAATTAAAAGACACTGTATCAAAAGCACATCATTCAGGTCAGGATAAACACTAGTTTCTTTATCCCTTATCTGTTTTTAATCTAAGATTTTGGGTTTCGAATCTAATATTTTGGGTTTCGATACAGATCCTCCCACTGATAGACCAACAGTAAAGGTTGGAGTTCCAGGCAAGCCAACAACACTTGCCAAAAACTCTGTGTGTAAGGTGGATGATGCTGCTCCGCCAAAAGATGCTTCTAAAGATTCAGTAGTGAATGGAGTTACTAAAGAAAGAGAAGAAAATCTTCGCTCTCCCATTTGCTGCATCATGGTCATGTTGATAGTGGTAAAACAAAGCTGTTGGACTGCCTCAGAGGAACAAATGTTCAGGGAGGCGAAGCTGGAGGTATTACTCAACAGATTGGTGCAACATATTTCCCTGCAGAAAACATCCGTGAAGGACCAAGGTGTTCACAGTTAATGCAAAACTCAAGGTGCCAGGTCTATTGGTTATTGATACACCTGGGCATGAGTCATTCACAAATTTAAGGTCGAGGGGCTCAAATTTGTGTGACCTTGCGATTCTAGTGGTTGACATAAAAGATGGTCTACAGCCACAAACCATAGAATCTCTGAATCTTTTGAGGAGGAGGAATACAGAGTTCATTGTTGCCTTGAATAAGGTGAGAGGTCTTATCATTCTGCTCGGATGTGGTTGGTTTTCTCTGTTGTTACTTGATGTGCGGCAATTTAAAACCCCCAACTTACAGGTTGATAGGCTATGTGGGTGGAAAACATGCAAGAATGCTCCTATAAGGAAGGCAATGGAGCAGCAATCGAGAGATGTGATTAATGAATTTAACACGTCGGTCACTGCGGTAAGTTATATGTCTACAAGTTTTGTTTTAACGATTTAGGGTGTATAGGATGTGTACATATGTCGTAACCTATATTGTTTCATTGGTGTTTCAGGTTATAACTCAGTTCAAAGAACAAGGACTCAACACTGAACTTTATTACAAAAACAGAGAAATGGGAGAAACTTTCAGTATTGTACCTACGAGCGCTATTAGGTCTGAAATTTGTTTGTTGTATTCCATATTTCCATGCCAACATAAAGGTCAACTGACGGTTTAATTTTGTATATTGATATCTCAGTGGGGAAGGGAGTCCAGATCTGTTGCTGCTGTTGGTTAAATGGGCTCAGAAAACTATGGTCGAGAAACTCACATATGTTGACAAAGTGCAGGTCGGTCTCATTCCTCTTTAGAAAACTCGCCATTTCTGCAAAACAGCATTCTTATCTTTTTCTTGAAATGGTTGAGCAGTGTACCGTCCTTGAAGTGAAAGTTATTGAAGGCCATGGTACGACAATTGATGTTGTTTTGGTCAATGGTGTACTCCACGAAGGTGATCAAATCGTTGTTTGTGGGTCACAGGCAAGTAGAAACGTCAGGGGGCATACCTAAATATATCATGTTCCAAGTACTTCATAAAGCTGGAAACTTGATGTTATTGTTTCATTTCCTTTTGTACTATTTCAGGGACCAGTTGTAACAACTATTAGATCATTATTGACTCCTACTCCAATGAAGGAGCTACGGGTGAAGGTACTTTCAGATAGTCCATTTCTTGCCTCTTGTTACTGTCTTTCTAGGGAAACATGGTTTGTGCTAATGACATTCCTTTGCCATACACGATGCGAATTTTCTGGTCTGATGTTTCAGGGTACATATCTGCATCATAGAGAAGTAAAGGCTGCGCAATGTATCAAGATTACTGCAAAGGTGATTGTCTCTTACATATCACCTTAGTACTAATTACTAGCCTGCACTGTTAAATAAGCTTTGTGAAAGTTGGAGCACAACCTGAACTAAAGCTTCCCATATTTTTGTTGTTGATAAAAGGGCCTTGAACACGCCGTTGCTGGTACTTCTTTGCATGTGATTGGACCTGATGAGGACGTGGAAGAAGCCAAGAAAACGGTCATGGAAGATATGAAGTCAGTTATGAACCGGATTGACAAAAGTGGTGAAGGAGTTTATGTACAAGCTTCTACATTAGGGTCTTTGGAAGCATTCCTCGAGTTCTTGACGTCCTCAGATGTAATAATACCTGTCAGTGGTATTGGCATAGGACCGGTACATAAGAAGGATATCATGAAGGCCGGCGTAATGCTAGAGAGGAAAAGAGAGTATGCTACGATTTTGGCTTTTGACGTGAAAGTAAATGCAGAGGCTCGCGAACTTGCAGACAGAGTGGGAGTAAATATCTTCTGCGCTGACACCATATATCAGCTGTTCAAACAGTTTAAAGGCTACCTCAAGGATATCGAAGAGGAGAACAGGAGAGAAACAGCCTGTGAAGTAGTATTCCCTTGTGTCCTTAAGATTTTACCAAATCATGTCTTCAATAATAGAGACCCAATCATCCTGGGAGTCGATGTCATGGATGGTATACTCAAGGTATATGATATTTTCTCATCATGATCTGTGTTACACACATGCCCTTTTGGATTACCGGGATCTGACAATGGTCTCTTCTTGGTTTTTAGGTTGGAACTCCCATCTGCATTCTCAAAGAGATTGAGAAACGAAGAGTGTTTATGGATATTGGTAGCATTGCATCTATTGTGAACAACAAGCAGCCAGTTGATTATGCAAAGAAAGGCGAGAATGTGGCGATTAAGGTATGAGATCCCTTTCTTTCTCTTCATTACTTCAACCATTATCTTCACCGTTTTTCTGCAATTGAGGTTTTAAAAAACCAATGTCTGGCTTTCGTATTAGATCATTGCCTCTAACCCTGGAGAACAGAAAATGTTTGGGAGGCACTTTGGTATGGACGACGAGCTTGTTAGTCATATCTCTAGGCGATCCATCGACATACTCGAAGCAAACTACCGGGTAAGTTTGACAAGTCTTTGCTTGTTCTCCGGTTTTGTCTAAAATGTGGTTTTACAATGAACTGTGTTTTTTGTTCAGCTCAAACTGAAAAAAAAAAATGAAACTCTTTATTGCAGGATGAGTTATCTGAGGACGAGTGGGAGCTTGTTTCGAAACTTAAAGAAGTGTTCGAGATACTATAAGATTATTTTCCATTTTCATCGTGAAGCTAAACACAGAGAGATAGACTGAAGATTTGAGAGGAGGATTATAATCCGTTTCCTTCTCTCTTGTAATCTGCTCTGTGATTTATTATTGGTTTTGATATTATAGACATTTCTTTGAACGCCCCTAAACTTTTTATGCGATAAAATAACCCCAACGGTGTTTTCCTACAACATTTCTTTGGGTTTAAAACTCCCAATATTTTACAAAATTATCTATTAAGTTATTTTGATCGTCCATATTATTTACTAAATTTATACGCAGACTTAAGAGCATGTTGTTACAGAAGAAAAAGTAGCATCTGTGTTATGGACTATTGATTTCTAGCTATGGGATGGGGTTTATAGTGTAAACTAATACAATTTGAGGCGAATCTGTGAATCCTAGATAAAAATTGAGGCGAATCTGTGAATCCTAGATAAGCAAAGGTATGGTTTTACATTCGTGTATGAGCGAAGTCCTTGGAGCCAGCTTCCATTGATCACTGCTAAGTTCTTAGGGCCTCGAGAAGAAAAGGTAATCGCAACGATTTTGAGCTCTAATCATCATCTTTCAAGCTAGTTTCCGGCGAGTTTGTTTGTTATTGCAAAGTTCGAGTTTTTAGAGATTTGGAAAAGAGGCTTAGGGATTAGGGATTAGGATCTTCACGTATTCATGTCGAGCTCGTTACGTTGCAGACGGCTTTGTGTGATTTCTTCTCTCCGGAGAAATGTCGGAGATTGTGCGTTTACTTCTTCCCCTCTACGGTTTCTGGTGAGTATAAGAACATTATTGTCTTCAGTGTCACAAGTGAAATCGGAGGATCTCCTCGATAAGCAAAACCCATGTTTGAAATCTTTTACAGTGTCGTATCTCGTGAATTCCTGTGGATTGTCTTTGGAATCTGCTAAATCGAATTCCAGATTCGTCAAATTGGTTTCTCCCAAGAGACCAGACTCTGTTCTCGCTCTCTTCAAGAGCCATGGCTTCTCCAGCGACCAGATCACCAGCGTCATCAGATCATTCCCTCGTGTTCTGTCACTGAGCCCAGAGGACATTATCTTGCCCAAGCTCATGTTTTTCGACTCGATCGGGTTCTCAGCCTCCGATACCGCGAAGCTGATCTCGTCTTGCCCCACAACACTATCCTATAGCTTGAGCAAAAGACTCATCCCTTGCTATGATTCCCTCAAGAGCATACTGTTAGAGGGAGAAAGCGTTGTCAAGTGTCTGAAGCGCGGCCGCGGAAACAGATGTTTCTCGTCCAACATTGCACAGAGCTTATCTTCCAGGGTCTCTCTCTATAGAGAGCTTGGAGTTCCAGACAAAAGCATCAAGTGGCTGGTCCAAGCGTCTCCATCCACTTTCTTATCCACCGAGTTCAGATTCAACGAGGTCTTAAACAGAGTTTGTGGGTATAAGTTTGACCCGAAGAAAGCTGCTTTCGTTCACGCTATGGTAGCCTTTGGTTCGACGAGTGAGTCAACAGTTGAGCGGAAACTCAAGCTGTTCCAGCGGTTTGGTTGGTCTAAACAAGACTTCGTCTCAGCGATCATGAGATTCCCAAACTGCACCAAGGTTTCGGATAAGAAGATAATGTACACGATGGACTACCTGGTTAACAACATTGGTCTGCAGGCTCGTGACATTGTTGCGACACCCGTGGTACTTGGTCTGAGCATGGAGAAGAGGATCAAACCGAGGAACCAGGTGATCTCTTTGCTTCTCTCTCAAGGACTTGTGGAGAAAGAAGATGTAAACTATTTCACTGTGCTAAAGATGAAAAGCTCCGAGTTCATGGATAGGTTTGTGCTTAAACATCAGAATGAGATGCCACAACTTATACAGATCCTTACGAGTAAACGTGGAGTCTAAATAGATTGCGGCTTGTTCGATTAGAGAAGTGAGATCAGAATGTTTTCTCTCCGGTCATGTTTTGACATTTGCTATTCGCTCAATGAAAGTAAAACTTACCTTTTGGTTAATAATCAGAAAATATTTACCTTGTGTAATTCGGCCTTTCTTATGGTAATTTCTTGGTTCTGTAAAAAGGCCACATGTTCCATTTCCCTTTCAACAAGGATGTGAGAACACGCAATCTCGTGCCAAAAGCAGGCATGAAAATTAGCTTTATAAATCCGAATAATACATAAGAGATTATAGAACACGACAACGATTCTAAAAGTAGTTCTCTTTTAGTTTTTCTTTCCGGAGATCATCGATTCGTCATGACGAGCTTTCTTACGCTCGAATCCAATCAAACAAACTCTACTGTTATGGTTGGATTTTTTTTTTTTGTGTGTTTCTAGTCTAAGGAGTTTCACAAAACACATTATCTTCTTAAGCGACAACGAAACGTATAAATATTGTTAGGCTCTAGTTGATATTATATAGTTATAATTTCTAAGTTTCTAACAGGTTATACGTTACCAACAAACTCAGCGGTATTTTGATGGATTAATTTGGCGGTTTTGGCAGATTTTTAGATTTAAATCTAACATTTTAAATTTTTAATATTTTGTGATTTTCGTTAAATATCTAACAATTTTTAAATTGCTTGTTCCATAAACTCTTACATTTATATCGGATAACAGACCGAAATTTTGCCGGCGTAGTTAGAGCTACAAGTGTTAAACGACCAATTCATTATTATTGAGAGAAAGTTCATTTGACAGAATTATATAACAGATCTGCTTACAAAGAGATCCCATTTCTATCAACTTTCCACGAAGTAAAACAAGTAATCAACAATCCATATATTTCAAAGTTTCTTGTATATTAAAAAAAAACGTAACCGCTTAAATTGTGCTGCATGAAACATGAAGAAGAGTGCTCGGACACGCAGGATGTAAGTAAACACACACAAACTATGATATACCATGTGTCCCAATCAGTTTCGTCAAACCAAAAGTAACTGCCATAGCTAACCATCCTCCAATCAAAACCCTAGCCGACGACTTAACCACCGGTGCTTTCCCCAAAACCGCTCCTAACCACCCAAACATAACCAGCGCCAACGTAACCGCCGCCACAATCACTCCAATCCTCACTTGATAATCTTTCACAAACGCAGCCGCCAATAAAGGCACAATCGCCCCTATCGAAAACGCTAGCGCAGACGCAGCAGCCGCTTGCATCGGGCTCGGAAGCTTCTCTTTCTCTATTTCTCCTCCGCGCTCTCTCTTCATTTGGGCCACCTCGATGTCGTACTGAGAGTAAACGGAGACAAACTCTCCGATCGCCATGCTACAAGCTCCGGCGACTAAACCGGCGAAACCGGACAAGATCATGGTCTTAGCGTCTTTCTTAACCGCACCGACCCCCATCATAAGCGAAGCCGTCGAGACAAGACCGTCGTTGGCACCCAGCACGGCGGCTCGTAGCCATTGAGCTCTTTTGGAGTAGTCGAAAGTCTTTTCTTGATCTTTCTCCATGTCTAGGCTCAAGCTGTTGTTCACGTTGTGTGACTCCATCCTTTAAATCTTTTTGATTTGTTAGTTTCGTCTCTTTTCTTTTTTTGTGTTGAGATGAGAAGATAGAGAATATATGATGAAGTGTGGAGAACACACGCCTAGGTTGAGTTATATTTATGGAGAGATTTTGTGTAAAACTTTCATATTTTATTTTTATAAAACCAAATTTTATGTGGTGGAGTAGACGATTAATATATGTGGACCTTCACCACCACTAAGGAAATACTTTTACTATATTGAACTAAAATGTGGACTAAAATCAACCCCAAGCTGTTTCCTCTTATTTCTGAATTTGTTTTCCTAAATTAATAATATTCAAAACTTTTTTACTTTCCAAACCAAAACACAAAGCTTGATTTAGTTACCAAAAGTCCAAAACACAAGGCTCGACTAATATATGTACAATACCAACACCACTTAAGGAAAGAATCTAGGCCTGATTGTTAACAGTTGGAATTTGACTGTAAACAGCCTAAAATTTTATATTTTAAAAAATGCTTTGTATAGCAAAAAAACAGAAAAGTAAATATTTTTGCTTTCAATTAAAAATGAAAAAACGAAAGTTTAATTTGATGCATTTGAATGCTGTAGAAATGTTTTTGCTGGATACAGCTTCTACTGTATATTGAATACAGATTGTGGACTAAGTTAACACCCTACGTCCCTACCTGTTTTCCTCTTATTACTAAATGTGTTTTTTTTATAACTTTTTACTGAATTCGTTTTCCTTCACTAGTAATCTTGAAAACTTGAGTTTTACTTACCAAAAGACAAAGCTTGATTTGAATAATTAATTATAAAGCAGCTGTTTTTTTATTTTCACGACTTCAGTATGTACTAAATCTATGGCTGCAACTGGTATTTCTTTATACCAGTCGAAACTTTCTAGGGAGATGATGAAATGAGCTGAAACAATCATTGTGAAAATGAAATTTTTTTCTTTAGACTCCCTAAAGGCATCACAAATACGTTGTTTGTTTATCAAAATTTACATTTGTTCCATATACATTGATACATAATTTATTTTTATTGTGAGTACGTTTATTAATAATATGTTTTTGATAGAAGAAAATAAAAACATTTTTTTAATTTGCATTTTTAGTAATATATATATATTTTGAATAAACATGTTTGTGACACTTATTTTTACATAATACACGTAAAACTGAATTTTTTTTGGTTACGGTTAGACCGACGAAAATAAATTAATAACTTCGATGAATTTGTTCACAATATTGTGTCTTTTAAAAAAAAATTAGCGACGCTATACAAACTGTAAATAGTATGATAGTGACACTAATCTTAACCTTCACTATTACATGCTTATTCTCGCTGTCTTGTATGAATAGGCATTAGCATTCTATATTTATTGTTTCTTTTCCAAAAAGATTAGAATATTGAATTTAGCAAAGATGTAATCGTTTTTACATTACGATTATAAGTTTTAAAAACGAACAAAATAAGTTCTAAAAAAAGCAAAATAAAGTGGATTTCCGCGTACAACTAGTAAAGATAAAGCATAATGATAACCGGTCTATATAAATATATACCCCAAAATCACCTCAAATGAAACTAAATTCAAAAGGAACATAATACTTAATCTTCTAACCCAAAAAGTAGTATTTATAAATAATTTAAATAAAACAGGAAAGAAGAATGTAAATGTGAAACCACACATATTTTGGTTTTTTAGGTGATTTGTTTTTCTTTTTCATTTATTTACTTTGCGTAAGGCAGAATATAAATAAACAGATATGAATGATATCGAAAGGGGTGGTTATATACTTACAAAATGAAGCTGTTCTATCCTCTTTATGATTAAAACCCATGCATATATGCCTTCTTGAGAAAAAAGATACAAAAAAAGAAAAATTAGATTAAAGCTCAACTTCTCAAACGGTGACCTAATGATATACGAAATCTGTTGCCCAAAATTAAGGTTGAAAACATATGATGCTTTAGTTTTTGATTTCTGTTCTTATACTACCAATGTACCACATTAGCTTTTCTTTTTGCAACTATGCTATCATATTGATCAAATCATATTCAAATTTGGAAAATGATTTATTTTAATTCCCAAAGATTTATTTGAGAACAAAAAAAATCTTCATGTACTTTGTATTGGCATTATTGCTTTGCTTTAAAATTTAAATTTTGAAAAAGATCAGTTTTATTGGTAGTTAATCCATTTCTGCAAGTAATTTGAAATCAACGTACGTCAAAGAGGTTTTTAAAAAGTTTCAGATTGTTTTATACTCGTAGATCGAGTCTTTGTAACTCATCTGAAAACTGCTTGCGGCTTGTAGCTCACAAGTCACAAATGATAAATGATTTCTTCATATTTTAGACTTTAGTAAATATAAATGATTTCTTTCGTTATTTTTTGTTTTCCTAAACTCTTCATTGTAATGCTTAAGTCATATGAAAAAGAATATTGGTCGGCTGATTCTTTTCTTTTTTAATCATATTTTCTCCTTTTTTTTTACTACAAGAAAACTGTAAAAGCGTTTTTTATAAAGGAAAAAAAAAACATCTCTCGCATTCTTTTACTTTCTGTTTCTTTTTGTCTGTTGATTATGACTTTTTTTTATCGACAAAGGAATGAACGCAAACCAAAAAGGGGATAATCAATCATACATACTGTTCGTATATTTTTTTCTTCTTATTGAGAAAACTGTCTGTATTATTTGTTAACCATTCTCTGGTTTTTCTGTGTTTGACCAAAAGTGAGCAATGGATAATATATTATTTTGATATAATACTGTTTGATAAGTGTAATATAGATAATCTCCTCCTATATCTTCTGTTTAATAAAAGAGGAATTCATTAGGATGATATAATATAGGTCAAATGGATTAATATATAACTGCACCAATAGACGGACACATAATGGACAATTAAAATATTAAACAGTACAATCCAACTAGCTTATATATGAAGGGGATCAAAATTGAATCAGATGCCTTTCACACTATAGATTCTTCGACCTAGCAAATTAGAGCCGTCTGCAATTGAAATCTATAAACAACAATTTTAAATAGTAGATCATATGAACATATAAAAGTTGGGCCTTTTTTTTGTCTTGATAGAGAGAAAATAGATGGATTGCTGAATTGGAAAGCACTGAGAAATAAATGTATAGGGAGATAAAATATCGGAAAGAGTCGATAATTCTATAAAGAAAGAGGGACGAGTGTGGTTGCCACACGAATAGCACCACACTTCACCATCATCATCACTTGTTTAACACAACACATACACATATCTACGTATTATGTCTCTTCAAATGTATGCATGCATACGTAGTCGCCTACGTACATGTATGCCCCCGCGCGCATTTTAGCATTCCGGAATATTAAATTAAATATAGCGGGAAATTTATCTGTATCTTTTATTTTTATTTTTACTTATACAGTCATACACCACATTGTGGATAATCGATATGATTATACAGTTAAAACCAATAAAGTACAATTAGCGTAACACCACATTTGTTTATATTTGAATTCACAATTATAACGCGTTATACTGTACAATAGAATTTGTAATTTGGTTTTGAAATATTATTGATAACGTCATAACATAATGTGATTAGCCATGTGTAAGTTCGATTTTATATCCCTCAATCTCTCCCAATGTAGTGAAAAGTAGGTTATTACTTATTACACCTTTTATATTTTATAGTGATGGATATAGATAGACACATGGATGTCAACTTTACAAGTGTGGTCCGAGTCTTAGTCCCCTCCTCATGAAACGCAATCTCGTTAAGAATTTTGGAACTTTTGTGTTATTAACATGTATATAGATGAGATTTGAACATATGATTTTATGGTGCATGTTTTTTGCATATCATTTTAAATTGATTGATAAGATAGTCTGTTTTTCTTTAGCAGAAAAGAAGAAGAAGATAAATCGTATTTGTATATCTAAAATAAATTAATTAACGATTTTTGTCTTTATCATTATTATTGGAAAAATTCAATGGGCTTCACATAAATGGGTTTCACATAAATGAAGCAATGCACAATATAGCCCGCCATTCCCAAAGGATTGTGACCAAACTGGAATGTGATAGTAATGCTCATATTAATATTTTTCCTAGTTGCACAAAATAATAAAAATATTTTTCTAAACAATAAACTAGATTAAAGTCGACAAGTCTCCAAAGTTCAATCTATCAAATTCAAGTCAGCTCTTTCGTGGAACTGATTACATTAATTTAGTCCTCTTCGGATAGAGTTCGGCTTGCCATATGGACCATGAATGTCTTTTTACTATCGACACATTTGCAGTCAAAATGGGACACACCCAGAAAGAAACATCCCTTACCCTAATAAAATCTCTATATGAAAATAATTCACAAAACATTTCCACATACCCGTACCTAAAAAAATTACATAAAGACATCTGAATATCTGATATAGTATGAAATATTTATGAAACTGAAGGAAAATGGAAAATATACAAAATATTATACAGATCATATCATGATACTAATCAAACCGTGTAAACTATTAATTAACAATAGAAGTGGAATTAGTACACTATATATACTTATATTATCCCATTCCTAAGTGTGGCCTCTAATTTATCAAATAAATTTGTGACCTGAAAGCACATGCTTCATGTACCTTAAGGCAGGAACGGGTCTGAAGTGTTTGCTATGCACCGTTGTAGTATCATAGTTTATTGGTAAGATCTACATGATGTCGATTAAATTAAATAGTTATCTATTTTTTTTTTTAATTGGTCCATTTATAGTGATGGGATTAATTAAATTGATCTCTACTTTTAAATTGGTACGTTTACATCGATGAAATTAATTAAATTGATCTCTAGTTTTTAATTGGTCCGTTTAGAGTGATGAAATTAATTAAATTGATCTCTACTTTGAACTTTGACTAATTCCACTGGCTTGAAACAAGACTACAGCAGCCATTTGTGGTTCTTACTTTTCTACGGTACATTACGTAGAGACTTGTTCAGCACCCGAGATGGACCGCCATTGCAACAATATTTTATATGAAATCTAATAAAGAGAGAAGCCTAAGCTTTACTATAAAAGGAGTAACAAAGATGCACTACAAAGAAGAAAACACACACAGAGACTTATCTCTCTCTCTCTCTCTCTCTCTCCTCTATTCTGATCACCGTGATCACGTAGAGTGCCGTAAAGGAGAAGAAATAAACAAACAAACAAACAAAAAAAGAGAGAAAATGGGATTTCCTTTTGAAGAAACCTTAAGCTCTAACCCAAAAAACACAATTGTCGTTGATGATGATACCGAGTTGGGTTTGATGGCCGTGAGACTTGCGAATGCCGCCGCCTTTCCAATGGTTCTCAAGGCCTCTCTCGAACTCGGTGTCTTTGACACTCTCTACGCGGAAGCCGCTCGCACGGACTCATACCTGTCGCCATCCGAGATAGCAAGTCGGCTACCAACCGCGCCACGTAACCCTCAGGCACCGGTTTTGTTGGACCGCATGCTTCGTCTACTAGCTAGCTACTCCATGGTCAAGTGCGGTACAGTCTCAGCCGGAAAGGGCGACAGAGTCTACAGAGCCGAGCCAATTTGCAGGTTCTTCTTGAAGGACAACATTCAAGATATTGGATCCCTTGCTTCTCAAGTCATTGTCAATTTCGACAGCGTCTTCCTCAATACTTGGTATTTTTTCACAATTCATCTTAGTGACAAAAAAATTGTTTGGTTTTTGATGTCCGACTCCTCATTGAAACTCTGTGAAATCTTATCTTATACACGATTGAATTGTAGGGCACAATTGAAAGATGTGGTGCTAGAAGGAGGAGACGCATTTGGCCGTGCACATGGTGGCATGAAACTCTTCGACTATATGGGTACAGATGAGAGATTCAGTAAACTCTTTAACCAGACCGGATTCACCATCGCGGTCGTGAAGAAGGCTCTTGAAGTCTATGAAGGCTTCAAAGATGTGAATGTATTGGTTGATGTGGGTGGAGGAGTTGGCAACACCCTTGGTGTTGTTACTTCTAAATATCCTAATATCAAAGGTATCAATTTTGATCTGACTTGTGCCTTGGCACAAGCACCTTCTTACCCTGGGGTGGAACATGTCGCCGGAGATATGTTTGTGGAAGTTCCAACCGGAGATGCCATGATCTTAAAAGTAAGCTTATCATCTTATTATACATATTTCTAGAAAGTGTATGTATCCTAGTATTTTGTACTTACTGATATTTGTTTTACAGCGTATACTTCATGATTGGACCGATGAAGACTGCGTCAAGATTCTAAAGAATTGTTGGAAATCTCTACCAGAGAACGGTAAAGTTGTTGTCATAGAATTAGTCACTCCTGATGACGCTGAAAGTGGAGACATCAACGCGAACATTGCTTTTGACATGGATATGTTGATGTTCACTCAATGTTCTGGTGGGAAAGAGAGGTCACGAGCCGAGTTCGAAGCTTTGGCTGCAGCTTCTGGCTTCACCCATTGCAAATTTATTTGCCAAGCTTATCACTGTTGGATTATTGAGTTCTGTAAAGAAACTGTTTAAAATATAATACTAAATCCTCATCATTGTTAATTCATGTTTTGTTTGAAATGGTCATATACCGTTGTCGTTTTCTTCGAGCTATATGAAATAAAATATAAGCTTTTTTTTATTGATTTTCTGATTGTACTCAGCTATTATTAATAAGCCACATGTAATTCATTCGTTTACTCTTGAAGATCTCAAAGTTCTCACACAAGAGCATATTCATTGACTCATTTTTCATTTTGTTACCTTCTGAGTTCTCTCTTAGTTTGTTAGTCATATTCGTCTAGGCGGGAAATAACGGCTATATTATTTTCTAGTTTAATATTTCATTCTTTCTGTTACTACAAATTAAAAGCTTGAGAGATTGTTCATACATGCAACGATAAACTTTTTGAATGGGTTTGATCGATCACCAAGGCCAGCCCATGGGGCAAGCAGGAGAAGCCAATGATTAGGGCATCAAAAAATTTAGAGGCATCATTTTTAAAAATGTTCAATATTAGAATTATTTATTATTCCGTTTCAAAATAAGTGTCATTTTGACATTTTTCACACAAATTAAAAAAAGTATTAAAAATTATATTTTACCTTTTGTTCACACATAAAATAACATTCTCTTTCTAATTAATACATTAATATAACAAGGTTAAAACAGAATTTTTGTTTAAAAAATTACATTGGAAATAGAAAATGACACTTTTTGTGAAACAAAAATAAAACTCTAAAACGATACTAATTTTGAAACGGATGGAGTAATATTTATATATATATATAATTTTAAGTTAAAGTTTATTATGAATTATTGTAATCTATAATATCAAAAAAGATTGAATGAACTGACTTTATTATCAACTTAGACAATTATGGTTGGAAAACTAATTATGTGCATTTAATGAATAATTTTGCAAGAAAAAATGTAAAGAATACTATTTTTCAATAATATATATATATTATAAATTATTTATAAATTTATTATGTTTGTTTGAAATTGGATTTTTTTTTAATAATTTTTTTAAGTATAATTTTTTATGTTAAATATAATATAGAAAAATATATTTTAGATTTGAATAGGGCATGAAAAATCGTCGGACCAGCACTGTCCACACTTATCAAAAGAGAATAGCCTGAAAGGAGACTGCAGCTTGGTTTGAGACCGACCAGATCAAGAGCTAGCTAGAGACAAGGCATGAGCAGCCATGAGAGAGCTAACAATCATCATCAAAAACTCATCGCTTCACCCTACCACCTTATAGACACGAACCACACAAAAACAAAGGCAACTTAATTTGATTGGACACTAACCAACTTTGTTAATAATTTCAGTTTGTATATGGTTATTACTGGTACAATTGACCCTAAATTGTTTATACTGATTGATTCCAATAATAATTAATGAAGTTTGACAATTCAAAATATGTGACCTTTCGTGGAAAGACAGTTAAGAATGGAGGCCATAAAGGACAATTCTGATGTTACACTCGCGCCGTATTAAAAAAAAAATCAATATTTTCTGCCGTTTAAAAAAATATTATTATTTTCCTGTCCAATTCCTAAGTCGCAATCGTCCTATATATAATCAATCAAGTTGGAGCGATGCGTGTCTCTGAGTAATTAACTGCGCCTTTCATATCATGTCGATCAACTTAAAAAAAACAGATATTTCGCTTTATTTATTTTACTTATTATTGAGATATACATACTTATTATATAGTCAGGAAAAAAAAATACTGATGAGTCACTTGGTCGATCTCTTGACTTTTTAAGTAACAAAACCAACAGACTTGAAACAAGATTTTTCAGCTGCCACAAGTGCTCTTACTTTTCTACATAGAGGACTGACGACTATTCAGCCAGCTAAATGGACCGGCACGCCAACTAAATAATTAAATAAAATTACTATAGAAAAATAAAATTTAAAAAACAATGAAAGATGAGGCAAAGCCTTGGTTATAAAAAGGAGAAACTAAGATCCATCAAATAATCATCTTCAACATTACACACACAAACACACACATAGTCTTCTGGTCTGTAAAGTACCGTGAAGGAGAAGAAAGAGATAAAGAAAGAAAAAAAATGGGAATCCTTTTTGAAGAAACCTTAAGCTCCAAGCCCAATACCCAAATTGTTATTGATGATGATAATGAGTTGGGTTTGATGGCCGTGAGAATAGCCAATGCTGCCGCTTTTCCAATGGTTCTCAAAGCTGCCCTCGAGCTCGGTGTCTTCGACACTCTCCACGCAGCCTCTGTGTTCCTCTCACCTTCCGAGATAGCGAGTCGGCTACCAACCACACCTCGCAACCCTGGCGCGCCGGTTTTGTTAGACCGCATGCTTCGTCTACTCGCTAGCTACTCCATGGTCAAGTGCGGTACGGTCCAAGCCGGCAAGGGCGAGAGAGTCTACAAAGCCGAGCCGATTTGCAGGTTTTTCTTGAAGGATAATATTCAAGATATTGGATCCTTAGCTTCTCAAGTGATTGTCAATTTCGACAGTGTCTTCCTCAACACATGGTAATTTTCTATTCATCATCGATTTAAAAAATTTCAAAAGGCTCAGTTTAAACAATGAATCTTACGTTATTTTTGATGTGATATTTTTGCAGGGCGCAATTGAAAGATGTGGTGCTAGAAGGAGGAGATGCGTTTGGTCGTGCACATGGTGGCATGAAACTCTTTGACTATATGGGTACAGATGAGAGATTCAGCAAGCTCTTTAACCAGACCGGATTCACCATTGCGGTTGTGAAGAAGGCTCTTGAAGTCTATGAAGGCTTCAAAGGTGTGAACGTATTGGTTGATGTTGGAGGAGGAGTTGGTAACACTCTTGGTGTTGTTACTTCTAAGTACCCCAATATTAAGGGTATCAACTTCGATCTGACATGTGCCTTGGCACAAGCACCTTCTTACCCTGGGGTGGAACATGTCGCTGGAGATATGTTTGTGGATGTTCCAAAAGGAGATGCTATGATCTTGAAAGTAAGTTCAACAATTCTCTTATTAATTTACACAAATGTTTGTAAAAAGTGTTTTTTTTTTTTTCTTGGGTAATACTTTGTACTTATTTTTGGAACTATATTTGTTTTACAGCGTATACTTCATGATTGGACTGACGAAGACTGCGTAAGAATTCTTAAAAACTGTTGGAAATCACTTCCTGAAAATGGTAAAGTGGTTGTGATAGAGCTAGTCACTCCTGATAGTGCTGAGAGTGGAGACATCAATTCGAACATTGCATTTGACATGGACATGTTAATGTTCACACAATGTTCCGGTGGGAAAGAGAGGTCAAGAGCTGAGTTTGAAGCTTTAGCCGCGGGATCGGGATTCACCCATTGCAAATTCGTTTGCCAAGCTTATCACTGCTGGGTTATTGAGTTCTGTAAAGAAACTGTTTAAAATCTACAATTATATTCTTCTGTAATTGTTAATTCCATCTTTGTTTTCAATTCTTTTCTTAATATCATACTATATATTTAGGTTTGTATTTATAAAATATCAAAACTATTGACGTCATCCGATCCAAAAGCTTATCCAGATTACTTTTTAATTTTATACAATCACAATAATATAAGTTTGTTGGCTGTGTCAAACTCAACACTACAGATATAATCATGTCACTAAATGTAGACAAAAAAAAAACAAATAATGTCATTAATTCTTCAGAGTAATTGTCTGATGGTGGTCAAACGAGGACTATCGCCGTTCTTGACTAAGAAAATATGTCTCTTTTGGATGTGTATTACTGATATACTAAGAATTATTTTAACAAGAATATTCATATTATATATACATTTGACTTCACTAAGAATTACTCAAAGTTTCTAATTCAAATTCTGTGATCTTTCCTGGGATCACAGTGATGAACTAATTCAAGATAGACTCACGGCCGTAAAGGGATTGGATGTGGAGCCCATAGAGAGAGAGATCAATTTAGATGTGACATTATCTTCGGTCCAGAATCACATAATCATCATTTGTATAAATATGCAACAAAACCATGATCAAATACTATGTTCCCATATGGTTTTGGAGGAAAACCAACAAAGAAAAAGAAAAGAGTTTATTTGTTGCTAATTACGTCATTATTAATTTCAATTATTTTCTTGCACAAGAAATATGCAATGTTCCTAACCATAACAACTCATCGCCTCACCGACCATCGTATAAACAAAAGCAATTCCGCTTGGACACTCAACAACGTTGTAATTAACTAAAATCCGTCCGTTATACGGCTACTTTTAGGATTCTCAGTTTTTCCTTATGGTTATTGGTCTGATTAACCTAAATTATATACTACTTATTGAGGCCAAGAATTAATAATTGGAGAAAACAAGATGAGGCCATAAAGGAAAATTGGGATGATACACTCACTACGCTTGGTCGATCTCTGTAGTGATGATGCTAAAGTGAAACTCTCCTCTGACTCTGAGCATTGACTTTCACTAGAAAATTAAACTGACTTGAAACAAGATTTAATTAGTTGTTTCCAGCCGCCACAACTGGCTCTTACTTTTCTACATAGAGTCTGATAGAGACTACTCTCAGCCAACCAAATGGACCGGCACGCCAACGATATAATTAAAATGAAATTATCATAGGATAATACAGATAAATAACAAAGGAGGCTATAAAAAGGATAAACTAAATCCATCAAATCATGATCATCCTCACAAACGAGAAATACATACAATCTTTTTCTGTCTCTCCTCGCTTTTGATCAGTGTGATCACGCACGGTGCCGTGAAAGAGAAGGAAGAAGGAAGATATAGAGAAAAATGGGAATCCTTTTTGACGAAACCTTAAGCTCTAACGCTAAAACCAAAATTGTTGTTGATGATGATAATGAGTTGGGATTGATGGCCGTAAGACTTGCCAATGCCGCCGCCTTTCCAATGGTTCTCAAGGCCTCCCTCGAGCTTGGTGTCTTCGACACACTCTACACCGAAGCCGCTTGCACCGACTCGTTCCTCTCACCGTCTGAGATAGCGAGTAGGCTGCCAACCAAACCTCGTAACCCTGAGGCGCCAGTTTTACTAGACCGGATGCTTCGTCTACTCGCTAGCTACTCCATGGTCAAATGTGGTACGGACCCAGCCATTAAGGGCGAGAGGGTCTATAGGGCCGAGCCGATTTGCAGGTTTTTCTTGAAAGATAACATTCAAGATATGGGATCTCTTGCTTCCCAAGTCATTGTCAATTTCGACAGTGTCTTCCTCAATACCTGGTAATTTTCACAATTCATTTTTAGTACCAATATTTTTGTTCCTTCTTTTCGTCAACTTTTGAATCCTGACTTTATACACAATGAAATCTTACCTCATCCATACGTGAACCTTAGGGCGCAATTGAAAGATGTGGTGCTAGAAGGAGGAGATGCATTTGGCCGTGCACATGGTGGCATGAAACTCTTCGACTATATGGGAACAGATGAGAGATTCAGCAAACTCTTTAACCAGACCGGGTTCACCATCGCGGTCGTGAAGAAGGCTCTTGGAGTCTATGAAGGCTTCAAAGATGTGAATGTGTTGGTTGATGTGGGAGGAGGAGTTGGCAACACCCTTGGTGTTGTTACTTCCAAATACCCTAATATTAAAGGTATCAATTTTGATCTGACATGTGCCTTGGCACAAGCACCTTCTTACCATGGGGTGGAACATGTCGCCGGAGATATGTTCGTGGAAGTTCCAACCGGAGATGCCATGATTTTAAAAGTAAGTTTAACATCTTGTTTTGCATATTTCTTGAAGGTGTATGTATAATAGTATTTTGTATTTACATCTTGGATTAAATATGTTTGACAGCGTATACTTCATGATTGGACCAACGAAGACTGCGTAAGGATTCTAAAGAATTGTTGGAAATCTCTACCAAAGAACGGTAAAGTTGTTGTCATAGAATTAGTCACTCCTGATGATGCGGAGAATGGAGACATCAATGCAAACATTGCATTTGACATGGACATGCTAATGTTCACCCAATGTTCCGGTGGGAAAGAGAGGTCACGAGCCGAGTTTGAAGCTTTGGCTGCAGCTTCTGGCTTCACCCATTGCAAGTTCGTTTGCCAAGCTTATCACTGTTGGATTATTGAGTTTTGCAAATAAAATGTTAAATCCTCATCAATATTGTCAATTTCATCTTCGTTTAATTCCTTGTTTGAGATGATCATGCCTTTGTCCCTGTCTCCAAAGCAATTAAATAAAAATAAGCTTTTTAATTTATTTTTAAAGTTTCCACTATAATTGAAGGTTTCATTCTTTCTATTACTGCAAATGATTGAAATAATGTTGTTCATAATAGTAGAATATTATAGTTTTCAAGGAACAATATTTATTTTAATATATATGGAGAAATTTCATTATGATGGGATTGAACGACTACCGTAATTTACAGTAGTAGAAATTATCTCAAACGAGAGTGTAAGTTTGAGGCAAATGAAGTGGACATACGAGCATCCAAGCGAACAACAATATCCTTTTACATGTAGAATATATGGTTTATGTGGGCAGGGAATGTCGTGATCAGTGTGGTTGATTCGATTCTGGTCCTGCAAGGGCCTATCCACGCTTCATCTTGACTTAGAATGTCTAAATATGGCAATGCAGAGCCTATTAAATAATTAAGGCATTATCGTTATTGCTTTCATTTAGTTATTATGGTTTCAAAAGATTTTGAAGATTCATTTCGAGGATTTTTTTCCGCCTTAGATTATCAGTCGGTGACTTCTATATATGTTCGTATCATGGATTTTATGTTCGTAATGATTTATTAAGGATGGATTTAGATTCTTAGATAAGTTCATTGTTCATAGGAGTACAAATGTAGAGAAGTAAAAAAAAAAATCACAGTTAATGGAACTATGTGTATAAATGTGCAGCAAAACCATGAAATATACTATGTTCGTATAAGGCTTTGGAGTAAAATGACAAAAGTAGAGGTTGTTTTGTTGTTATTTCATTGGTTTGAGTTATCTTTTTGCACACGTAATATGCAACCTTCGTATCCATACCAACTCATTGCCTCAACCATGCAAAAACAAAGGCAATTTCGATCGGACACGTAACAACTTTGTAGTTTACTTCAATTGGTCCATTATATAGCTTAGTTTTTATAAAACTAATTTTCTTGTGATTATTGGTCTAATTAACCCCAAATTATATACTGATTGATTCCAATAATAATTTATGAAGGTTGACAATTCAATATATGTGACTTTCCTGGAAGAACAATTCAAGAATTGTGATGTTATACTCACTCCCGTCCAAATTTTAGCAATGATTTACAAAGAAAGAATTTAAATAATCAAATATTTTTATTGTCTTTCCTAAGTCGCAATCGTTCTAATTAAGTGGGAGCTATGCCTGTCGAAAATTAATATACTCAGAAACACTCATATCTCCCGACACTCATATCTCCCACTTGATTAGAACGATTGCGACTTAAAAAGGACAATAAAAGTATTTGATCATTTAAATTCTCTTCAGTAAATCATTGCTAAAAATATTTTAAGTTCTTTCTTCAGACGTCTCTGAGTATATTAATTTTCCATCAGATTGAAGAACTAACAAAAACAGATATTTTGCCTTTTTTATATAACGGATATTAAACGGCCGATGTAAGATACACTTGTATAGTCTTTTGGTCGACCATTGATTGTCTACTTTGAATATTAACTTTAAAAATCAGTTGACTTGAAACAAGATTTAGCTAGGTCTCGGTACGGAGCAGATATCCAGAATTTTAATAATATTTATGATCTGTTCCGTTCTGTCTGGATCAACAATTTTTTTATCCGTATTTGATTTGTTACTAATCGGATATCTGATATTCGGATATTCGTTAAAATCCGGATTTTTGATCGGATATCCGATCCGTTTCAAAAATATTAAATTAATTATAAAATAATTAAAATATTATAAATAAATTAAAAAATAATTATAAAAATAATTAAAAAGTCAAAATTAACTTATATATTAAATTTTAAATTGTTCTTTTTAAATTTACTAAATTTTCGTATTAAAATAACTAATAAAATAAATGTAAATTCACAAAATTTACATATAATTATATTAACTATATATTCTATATATAATTATTTATATATATATATATATCGGAGCAGATCGGATATTCGGTTCTTAAATTTTTAATATTTGTGATTTACTCCATTTTGAATGGATATCTAGATTTTTTGAATCAAATCGAAACAAATAGCAGATCGAATCAAATCTAACGGATAATTTGCCCAGTCTTAGCTTCCACTTGATTAGAACGATTGCGACTTAGAAATGACAATAAAAATATTTGATACTGATTCAGCCAGCCAAATGGACCGGCACGCCAACGATATTTAATTATATGAATATTATTATAAATAAAAAATAATTAAAGAGGAGGCTAAAGACAGTTATAAAAGGAGAAATCCATCAAGTCATCATCCTAACACTACAAAAAAAGAAACTCACAACCACAGCCTCTCCCTCTCTCTCTCTATCTCATTTTCCTCGGTTCTGATCACTGATCAGAGTGATCACGTACGGTACCGTGAAGGAGAAGGAACAAAGAAATAAAGAAAAAAAAATGGGAATCGTCCTTTTTGAAGAAACCTTAAGCTCTAACGCTAAAACCCAAATTGTTATTGATGATGATAATGAGTTGGGTTTGATGGCCGTGAGACTTGCCAACGCTGCCGCTTTTCCAATGGTTCTCAAAGCTGCCCTTGAGCTCGGTGTCTTCGACGCTCTTCACGCAGCCTCTGTGTTCCTCTCACCTTCCGAGATAGCGAGTCGGCTACCAACCACACCTCGCAACCCTGGCGCGCCGGTTTTGTTAGACCGCATGCTTCGTCTACTCGCTAGCTACTCCATGGTCAAGTGCGGTACGGTCCAAGCCGGAAAGGGTGAGAGGGTCTACAAAGCCGAGCCGATTTGCAGGTTTTTCTTCAAGGATAACATTCAAGATATTGGATCTTTAGCTTCTCAAGTCATTGTCAATTTCGACAGTGTCTTCCTCAACACATGGTATTTTTCTATTCATCATCGAATTAAGTTTTTTTTTAAAGGATCAGTTTAAACAACGAATCTTACGTTATTGATATGCTATTTATGCAGGGCACAATTGAAAGATGTGGTGCTAGAAGGAGGAGACGCATTTGGCCGTGCACATGGTGGCATGAAACTCTTCGACTATATGGGTACAGATGAGAGATTCAGCAAACTCTTTAACCAGACCGGATTCACCATCGCGGTCGTGAAGAAGGCTCTTGAAGTCTATGAAGGCTTCAAAGATGTGAATGTGTTGGTTGATGTTGGAGGAGGAGTTGGTAACACTCTTGGTGTTGTTACTTCTAAATATCCTAATATTAAGGGTATCAATTTTGATCTGACATGTGCCTTGGCACAAGCACCTTCTTACCCTGGGGTGGAACATGTTGCTGGAGATATGTTCGTTGATGTTCCAACCGGAGATGCTATGATCTTGAAAGTAAGTTCGACAACTTATGATTCGTATTTCTTGATAGTGTAGGTGTATTAGTATATTATACTTACATCTTGAATTGAATTTATTTTATAGCGTATACTTCATGATTGGACCGACGAAGACTGCGTAAAGATTCTAAAGAATTGTTGGAAATCACTACCAAAGAACGGGAAAGTTGTTGTCATAGAACTAGTCACTCCTGATGATGCTGAGAATGGAGACATCAATGCAAACATTGCCTTTGACATGGACATGTTAATGTTCACCCAATGTTCCGGTGGGAAAGAGAGGTCAAGAGCTGAGTTTGAAGCTTTGGCTGCAGCTTCTGGCTTCACCCATTGCAAATTTATTTGCCAAGCTTATCACTGCTGGATTATTGAATTCTGTAAAGAAACTGTTTAGAATATATATTGCTAAAATCCTGAATGTTTAATTTCATCTTTGTTTCTATTTTTTGTTTGAAATGAGCATATATGCACTCTTGAGCGATATGAAATAAAAATAAGTTTTTCATTTACATTTTCTCATTGTAGTCTTTTAAGGACCAGCTTTATTTAATTAGTCACATGAAATTCACTGGTTTTCTCTTTCAAACTCACTAGTCACAAGAGCATATTCATTACTCAACGGGAAACAACTAACGGCTACTTCTCTAGTTGAATGTTTCATTCTTTCTTTTATTGCAAAAGCTTGAGAGAATCTTATTCACAGAAATCTTCACATGATTTTAAATTTAGTGTTCCACTCTCTCTCCATATTGCAACTTAAATAGTCTGAAAAATATAAAAGGAAAGGACACAGTACAGTACAGCTCGACAAAAGCAAACTATAGACTCTATATATAATGCGTATTTTCAAGAGGTAGACCCAAATTCTGAAAAGAAATCTGAGACATTTGAGTGAGTGAGTAAGCTGGTGGAGACCACACAGAAATTAGAAAGAAACCCCACATTGATTTATAATAATGCACATCATGAAAAAAGAAAACTCCCTAAAGATTCTAAACAAGAGACCTCCTACTACTATAAGAGAAAACAAAGATACGAAAAACAAAATGGAGAATGAATGATTACAACAAGATTAAAGTTTAAATTGGATTAGCAATAAGATCAGAAACCGTAATCATTCCTCCATTAAAAGCTACTGTCCAATAAAAACTACTACTAATTCTCTCTCTACAGTAGATGAAACATGGCTACACAACACAAAACTAGCTTCACCGTTATTGTCATCATCACCTGCACACACACCATCAAAAACATTTCTAAACATCAAATCAAATTTGTATTGAAAAGCATTAACATTTATGTGTTGTTGTTATGTTGCAAGTAGTCTACCTGATGTGCTGAATTTGTGGAAGTAGGTAAAGGGTTAATGGAAGTAGAGTCGACTTCTCCGGTGGGAAGTGGAACCGCCGGATTACTGTTTATGAACGGAACTCCGTCTTTTCCGGGGACTGACACCGACGTGATCTCCGACGGAGATGGTCCCGGAGAGAAAGCTGAACCTTCTCTAGGACCTAATGGCCATGGGTAAGATGGAGAAGATGAGATCACTCCTCCTTCCGAGACCGGAACAGGGGCGATTGCCGGTGTTGGTGGTTGTGACGGCGGAGAGGCGGCGGCGGAGAGGATGACTTGGACTGAGAGCTTCTGGTTGAGTTGGCAGGTTTTGGGAATAGATGTGTTGTTTGTGAAGGAAAAGTAGTAGGAGCCTGTTCTTGATGGGTACCACTGCGTAAGAAGGTCAAAGAAAGATTTACAGTTCAGCTGCTTCAAGTCTTTAACTGTGATTAATATTTTATTGAGCCCTGAACGTATATGACTTTTTTTTGTATTTAAACTATTAATTTAATCAATTCTTCTGTCAGAACAAAGCATCGGATTTCAAGTTCTATTAATAATCCACTGAAACTAATAATTTATGACGAAAAAGATGGGTTATGACATAAAAACAGAGAAAACAGAGGAAGAGGAGCTTTTTTTTTGTCAATCTCAAGAACAGAGACGAAAAAGGGGACTTGTAAAGATTGGAACTTTCTGAAAACCCAGATGAAATTATTATCTTTTCTAGCAAATTCCTCAGAGAAATTTTCACAATTTTGTAATGAATTAAGAAAAGTGAATGTGAGAAAAAAGATAATAATATACCGTGAAGGAAGTGGAGTTAGGTTTTGTAAGAAGAGTGGCTTGAGTAAAGTCACAGACGTTGAATGCATCTTTAGTCCTGAAGATGTAGAGATCGTATCCGTACTTGTGTCTGAAAACTGTAGGGAATAAGAGCACAATTAGTTAAGAGAAAATCTAACAAATTAGGAAAATAAAAAAGGAGTGTTTTTTTCTAAAGACACTTACTAACGGAGTCGCCGACATGAACAACGGGAGTTTTCCAGACGGAGACACCGTCGACAAGAAATGTGGAGGAGAGACAAGGACGAGAGAATAGAGAGAGGAAGCAGAAGAGCATTGAGGAGAGATATTTCTGAGACCAAACCATATTTTTTGCTTGAAATGAGGAGAGGCCTAGGTTAAGAGATTCTGAAATAAAGAGGTTCAATGATGTCTTCCCTTTTTATCTTTGCAGGCCTCACTCTCTCCTTCTCTCTCACAGTAGGTCAAAAGAGAGGTTTAGTGCCTATGGAGCTTAGGGAGAAGAGAAGAAGAAAAGTGGGAAGAGAGGGAGAGAGAAACCGAGAAAAAGAAGTATTTTGAGAAGTGTGCAGTGAGTGTCTGTCTGTTTTACTTTTATGTGTGTCTGTGTGTGTTGAAGAAATGGAGAAGATTGAGAATTTTGAGGTACGCCTTATTATTTATTAATCTCTTTTCCATAACTATACTGAATTAAGAATGAAATAGTATATTTTTATGGGCAATTTTTCTAATATACTACTGTAACCAAAATTATTTGAGTTTCAATTATGAGTTTGCATTTAAAAGACATAGTGACCATTGTAAGTCTATAACAATTTTTTTAAAAGATATGTATTACTAGACTCTTAACTAGTATCTTGTATGCTTTAATGAAATTAACAGAAATTAGTAATATTACATAAATAGATTACATTGACTAAATTTTGTTTGAACCAAACTTACACAGTGCTGATTGTTTATTAGTTCAAGAATAAGATTGGATGACAGGTAATTTACAGAAGAGGGGTAGAAATTTATTTGTACGTGTAATCTTATTAAATGAATTATAAAAACAAAAGATGTCATCACTTTTATCACGGGAAATAATGCTCTACTGATAAAAATCTGACAAAAAAAAAAGTGAACCAGCAAAAAAACTACATGGAGTATGATACATTCAAAAAAACAAAGAGAAAAAAGGTAATAAAAAGTGCAATTATATAACGAGATAATGATGGTGATTATAATTCTTAAATCATTACGCCTGTGATTTAACCCCAACATGTTTCTAAATTCTGATGCTCTCTACTTTTCATTTGGTTTTATAAAAGAGATTATCTTGTTGTTAAAAACTTTTTCTCCCTTTAATCAAACAAAAATAGAAATATAAACCAGTTACTTTTGGTCTCTCGACACAACTTTATGGGCTGGAGGCAATTATACACATATCTTAGGCCAGAGGAGTCATCAATGGTAATCTTATCTTTTGTTAGTGAATGTCTTTCTTTGTCTTTATGTCTTGAGATTTCTCAGGCTGTTATCTTTATCTTAATTATAAACTTAATTGTACAAATATATAACACCCACGATCGAAATCAAGACTAACTTTAAAATAAATAATATAAATTGCACAGTAACCAAGTTTATGCATGTATATCGGTAGAACAACATTGCACCACAACAACTAAATTAATCCTGATGTATGTTGGTAAATGGTAAACCTAGTAGGGTTTTAATTGTTAGTATAGTTAGGTCGACGGTAGAAGAAGTTAAATCACATGGATCAAAACCAATAGCTTCCAAACATAACCGTTTACAAAATAACAACATTAAGCTTAAGAGATTTGTCTTCGCATGATTTTGTTGGTATGTTGTGTTTGATTCTTATATTCACTTTTTATTTTTAGTTTCTGCAGTGTTTCGAGAAAAATGAATCGTGTAATCGGAATAAACAAATGGCACGAGGATCGTCCAGCTTTTCCTTTTTTGTGTAGAACCATACGAACCACACAGCCTTTTGTTACACGTCTCGTCGTATTTGCGTTTAGCTTTTTATGCTAAAACGACAACTACTACATGACAAAACGCGAGCTTCGGCCAAACCCCCAAAAATCCCTTGCCGTTTTTTTTTCATGTACTATCATGTTTTGAAATTTAAATAATCAACGTGGGGGCATATTTTGTTAAGTAGTTTACTGTTCTAAACAATTTAAATATCAAAATGAATTCAAAACAATATTGTTAAAGATGAATTTCGTACTCCCTCAAATTCCTACATTAATTGAGATAGGTTCATTCCAAAACATTAAGGAATATTTAGGTCGACAAGATAAATGGAAATCTTCTATTTATCTGATCAAGTTCTGGAAAAAATTCAAGGTCAGCCTTATCAAGAAGAAAGTTTTCCTATTTCAACAGAAGAAGGTATCTCCAGAAGACCGACTTTGTCGGGCTATAAATAAAGAAGTCATTTACTTCTCAGAATATCTTCTAATCATCCAAGAATCTCCACACTTGGAGAATACCTTATTCTCTCTAGATTTCATCTATCTAACTCTCTTATTATGAACTATGATTGGCTTGATCACTTTAAAAGGATACGTAGGCAGCCTTTTTCAAGGTTCAGCTGTTTCTTAATAAACATCCAAAAATCCTTTCTCGAGACCTAGGGCAAACTAGGCGATCTTATTGTTCCTAGTTCTTGATTTTATGTCCATAAACAGTTTAGATCGGCGTTCTTATTCCGATGACCTAAACGACCGTGTATCTCTCGAGCTCCGGCTTAAACTTAATAAAGATCTCTCTTTAAGCCCACAAACTCTTGAGTTTTTTTCATATATCGAATTTGAGTTTTCACAGTTGGCGCCGTCTGTGAGGAATAAGAGATTAAATATTTAAAAGAACCGGAGCTCAAAGATGATCGAAACACCATCCATCGATCATAATACCACCGGTCTCACAGAAGACAACACAGCAGCTCGTCGCCCTCGCAGCCCGTCCTCATTGCAGCACGTTGCCCTCGCAGCTCATCGCCCTCGCAGCCCGTCCTCATCACAGCTCGTTGCCCTTGCAGCTCGTTGCCCTCGCAGCTCGTCGCCCTCGCAGCTCGTCTCTAAAAATACATTAACTCCAGTTTGTCTCCTTCAAGACATTCGTTTAAGCTCATCTTTTTTTGAAGACATTCGCTTCAGCTCGTATACTTGAAAACGCTCGCTTCAGATCGAGGTCTCCATCTAGGAGCCAGATCGGACTCTGCATCTTGCAATCAGAATGGGATCGTCAACTTGCTTCAGACTGCCATCTTTAAATTAGACCATGGTTTTCAGATCCCTTCAGGTCGTCTTCTTTGATTCGCCTGTGCTCAGCTCTCCTTAGACGAGCTCTCCCAACAACTCGTCTGCTTAAACAATCTGTTAGTTTAAGCAGCTCGTCAGGTCGTCGATCTCACATCTGAGGTCGTCGGTCTTCAATCTCAGATTCATAGCTAATCAGGTCGTCTATCTCACATATGAGGTCGTCAGGTCGTCGATCTCACAGCTGAGGTCATCGGTCTTCAATCTCAGCTTCACAGCTCGTCAGGTTGTTATCTCACATTTTGAGGTCATCAGTCTTTAATCTTAGCTTCACAGCTCATAAGGTTGTCGATCTCACATCCATTATCAGGTCGTCAGGTCGTCGATCTCATATCTGAGGTCATCGGTCTTCAATCTCAGCTTCACTGCTCGCCAGGTCGTCGTTCTTCAACCTCAGCTTCACAGCTCGTCAGGTCGTCAGGTCGTCGATCTCATATCTGAGGTCATCGGTCTTCAATCTCAGCTTCACTGCTCGCCAGGTCGTCGTTCTTCAACCTCAGCTTCACAGCTCGTCAGGTCGTCGATCTCACATTTGAGGTCGTCAGGTCGTCGTTCATCAACCTCAGCTTCCCAGCTCTCCAGGTCGTCGATTTCACATATGAGGTCGTCGGTCTTCAATATCAGCTCTTCTATTATCAGGTCGGCCTACCAGCTCATTCATTATCAGATCGGCCTACCAGCTCATCCATTATCAGATCGGCCTATCAGATCAGCCTATCAGCTCTTCTATTATCAGGTCGGCCTACCAGCTCATCCATTATCAGATTGGCCTATCAGATCAGCCTATCAGCTCTTCTATTATCAGGTCGACCTATCAGCTCATTCATTATCAGATCGGTCTATCAGCTCATCCGTTATCAGGTCAGCCTATCAGCTCATCCATTATCAGGTCGGTCTATCAGTTCATTCATTATCAGATCTGCCTATCAGCTCATCTGTTATCAGCAACAATTACTTTACTTTTCCAAGCCGATCTCACATGGTCGCAAATAAAGCCGATATAACATCTGACCACAATCCAAGCCGATCTCACATGGTCGCAAATAATGCAGATCTAACATCTGACCGCAATCCAGGCCGACCTCACATGGTTGAAAATAAAGCCGATCTAACATCTGATCGCAATTCAAGCCGACCTATTGACACTGTTCAACAAGTCACACTACCATCAGCTCGTCATCTACCAATTGTCTACACATCGACGTTCTGGCTAAACGTTAGAGATGGATTTCGTACCCCCTCAAATCCCTACATCAATTGAGATAAGTCCATTCCAAAACCCTAAGGAATATTTAGGTCGGCAAGATAAATGGAAATCTTCTATTTATCTGATCAAGTTCCGAAAAAAATCCAAGGTCGGCCTTATCAAGAAGAAAGTTTTCCTATTTCAACAGGAGAAGATATTTCCAGAAGACCGACCTTGTCGGGCTATAAATAAAGAAGTCATTCACTTCTCAGAATATCTTCTAATCATCCAAGAATCTCCACACTTGGAGAAGACATTATTCTCTCTATATTTCATCTATTTAACTCTCTTATTATGAACTACGATTGGCTTGATCACTTCAAAAGGATATGTAGGCAGTCTTTCTCAAGGTTCAGCTGTTTCTTAATAAACATCCAAAAATCCTCTCTCGAGACCTAGGGCAAACTAGGTGATCTTATTGTTCCTAGTTCTTGATTTTATGTCCATAAACAGTTTAGATCGGCGTTCTTATTCGGACGACCTAAACAACCGTGTATCTCTCGAGCTCCGGCTTAAACTTAATAAAAATCTCTCTTTAAGCCCATAAATTCTTGAATTCTTTTCATTGATCGAATTTGAGTTTTCACAAATGTGGACTTCAACTCTTCGAATATGAGTTGTTGTTGAACAGTCGATGCAGAGGTGCGGTCGTGTCAAGTTTGTTTAGTCAATTACTGATAGTAAAATTGTTACTATCATAGAATCGCATCATAACAATTATTGATAGTAAAATTGTTATCTTGGAATTTTCGAAGCTTAGAAACTAGTAACATATAATGTTGACCAAAAAAGAAAAGAAACCAACATATAATTGGAGTTAAACGCTTGAGCTTAAATTAAAACTTTGAAGTCATATATGCCTGAGAGGCTTGTGACTTGTAATCTTAAGCTTAATTAAATATCAACTCCAATTCAAAACCAGTGTTTAGATTTTGATGAATCGCCTTTACTTCTCTCACAAACTTTTATTTTTACAGTTTGTGTGATCTTTGTGATTTACTATAGTTTATTGTTACAATTTCCTTTCTGGTTGTTTGCCTTTTCTTCATAATTTTTTGCCGAATTTTCATTGTTACTTGGTTTTCTCTTTGCTTATTGATTTGTTTGTAATATAATTAGTAAGCGATTAGAATGAAATAAAGCGGAATCCAATCAGGCGCTGACGGAAAAACGCGTGGCGAATATGAAAAATAAAATAAAAAATAGAAGAGAAGAAAAGGAGCGGTTGAGTTGAAATAGCCGGCGCGTACTCTCGTCAACGTAACGCGCGTGGTGTGTTTTTTTCGCGAGTCACTAGAGAAGAAGATTTGAGCTTTTTGTCTTCCGTTGTGATCCGAGAATCGGGATTCGGTCGGACGGTAGAGATTGTGATCGGATTATAATGGTGAAGGAGACGGAGTTTTACGATGTGCTCGGCGTCAGCCCCACCGCTACGGAGGCCCAGATTAAAAAAGCTTACTACATCAAGGTTTTCAAATCGAATCTCTAATTCTACGGTTTTTTTTTTCTCCGGTGAGATTTAGCCACCAGATTCGAATATGGTATGTATCGGGTCGATTTGGGTACCGACGAGATGTGATCATCAGTCTCAGGAGTGATTAGTTTTCGGGTTTTGACGACTATTACCTTCTTGTTGCTCTCAAATCTGCTGTGAAAGATTGTTGAATCCGATGACAAGTGAGGAAGTTCATTTCTTAAGAGCTCCCCCTGGAGTTTGTAATCCGATGACAAAAAAAGTTCTCCACTCATGGGGAATTAGGTTAATCGATTTGGAGATTACGAAATGCTGATTGTGTGCATGTTTGTCTTCTGCAGGCACGCCAAGTACATCCAGATAAAAACCCCAATGATCCTCAGGCTGCTCATAATTTCCAGGCAAGTTCAGGGTTTTGAATCTCATTGTAGAAGAAAGAGCTTAAAAATCTCTGTTTTGAATTGGTTTCCAGGAAAACTCTGTAGTTTAAGTCTATGGCTTCTTAGCGTATTGTATGTTTGGAAAAGTATTGGAGTGGTAACTTTGTAGATACAACGTAGAGGATGCTGTCTTCATTTTGTAGTATATGCTTTAACCATTTTTATCGAGCATCCGAAGCATTTGGATTTTCCCACCTTATGATAAATCAATTATTAGATAAGTTGATGTTCCTTTTCTGTTTAGTGTTTGCTTTGCATGGTATTGTTGTTACCATACTCATGAAAGCACAGTAGCAGGACTAACAGTGAAAATAGTTCTTAATGGAAATCAGCTTTCCCAGAGATCAGCAGATGCTCTCAGTAGTCTTTTTATTTCTCGATTTACTTATTTATTCGTGAATCTTTTTGGATGATCCTTTTTGAAAATGTGAGTTCTTTGTACAGGTGTTGGGAGAGGCCTACCAAGTACTAAGTGATCCAGGGCAACGTCAGGCCTATGACACATATGGGAAGTCAGGGATTTCAACGTTAGTGTCTTTTCTTGTGATAGTTCCAATTTGCACCATCTGGAGTTCGGTGACATGTGGATCTTGATCATGTTGCCAAAGATTTTGGTCCTTACCCAGTTCTTACTTTTGGTTTTAATTCTTGCAGTGAGATTATTGATCCGGCGGCAATTTTTGCGATGCTTTTTGGGAGTGAACTTTTTGAAGAATACATAGGGCAGCTTGCTATGGCATCAGTGGCTTCACTTGATATCCTCTCTGAAGGGGATCAGATTGATGCTAAAAAAATTATAGAAAAAATGAGGGTAAATTTTCTTAACTCTTCTCACACACTATTGAAATGCAGTTGTTTAGATTTTCTTGATTTTCAGAAGGGATAAAAGAATTGTGCTCGAATTTCACTTGGATATATAGAGTACGGAGTCCCCATTTTCACCCTTTCCATAATTTGCTCAGCATGTTAGATTGCTTTGGGTTTCAGGCTATTCAGAAAGAAAGAGAAGACAAGCTTTCTCAGCTTCTCAAGGACCGCCTCAACCTATACGTGACGAACAAAGACGAATTTATTAGCAAAGCTGAAGCTGAAGTAGCAAGACTCTCAAATGCAGGTAACATGTTCTGTAGCATATTGTTCCCCCTTTCATAGATTATGCTTTTTTCTTTCTGTGAATTCCATACCTGTACTAAAAAGTTAGACTTACCTCCTTCTGTATCTATCGTCAACAGCATACGGTGTGGAAATGTTGAACACAATCGGATATATATATGTAAGACAAGCGGCGAAAGAGCTTGGGAAAAAAGCTATATATCTCGGTGTACCATTCGTTGCTGAATGGTTTAGGACGAAAGGTCACTTCATCAAATCCCAAGTAACAGCTGCAACAGGTTAGTGACTTAGAACGTAAGGCGACCTCATCAAGATCATGTTAATATCAGGTGCTAGAAGTTGTAGAATGGGTTAGATTAGGAACATTTTAAAGTCACAATCACTGAAAACGAACCCCATGAATACTTGGACTCCTCTCTTAAGGAGAAACATCTAGTGACTTTTCTTTTTCTGGCTGATTTTTGTCGTCTTAGGCGCATACGCTTTATTCCAGCTGCAAGAGGAAATGAAAAGGCAACTTAGTGCTGAAGGAAATTATACTGAGAAGGAACTTGAAGAGTACATGCAGACTCATAAGAAAGTGATGATTGATTCTCTGTGGAAACTCAATGTTGCTGATATCGAAAGCACTATCTCCCGTGTTTGTGAGCTGGTAAGTCTAGCTAATACTGTTCACTATTGGCTGATGTAGCATCTTGGTCCAATTTCTTTGTTGTAACTAGTTTATGATTTTTTCTTTGTTTCAGGTTCTTCAAGATCCCACTGCCAAGCGAGAGGAGCTTCGTGCAAGGGCCAAGGGGTTAAAAACTTTGGGGAAGATCTTCCAGGTAATCTGTTTTCACTTGCTTCTTGGAGAATGTAGCGCATATATAATTATTTATTCGAGAAATAAGAAGGAAGAGCTGATTAAAAAGGTTTTAACTTTCCGGTCATATAGAAGAACAAAATAGCCAGTGAGAGTGATCCTCTAGTAAGAGCGGAACTTCACAAGATAAACGGAAATGATGAAGACCGTAATGATACATCCACGTCTCCAAAATCTGATGAAGCATCTCACTCTACATTTGGGCCTCAGGTACATCTCCTTCCTCCTTATCCACTCCATCTACTAAACACACTAAGTGCATGTTACTAGTACTTTTTCACATCAAGCATAACTGAAGGAACATATTCACACATTGTGAGACACAGTTCCATGTTTGTACGTGATAAGAGTTGTTTATCTTATGGTTTAAGAACCGAAGACTCATGGAATGCAATTAATGTAGGAACCACAAAGCCCTTATGTGGAAGCACCGAAGCTTGGAGATGAGCAGTTTAACATTTACTTCCCAAGGCCTGCGCCGCCTCCGGGAGCGCAGAGACACTCTTAAAACTGGCAAATGATTGTTTCAGATAAGAGGCTGTGAGAGGTATTTTCCCTTTTGTGCTATATATAATATTACATGTTTAAGCCTGTATCATATTGATATATTTGCAGGCGGTGGTAATCATTATGTAATTTAATTATTGTTAGTAGAAGAAATTATTGGATCTTTTAAAAGCACATGAAATCTCATCTTTGACAATGTATAATGGTTTTATTTTCTTTCTTTTTTCAAATAATATACATATGATGTTTGGAGATCAAGTGTTGTGTGATTCTTATATTCTCATTGTACTATATGAAGATGTGGCCTTAGAGAAAGAGACATATATAGCAGATATGTACATTGGCTTTAACTTCGCTGTCTTTACAATTTTGTTTTTTTTTGGAGAAACTCTTATCAGTTACTATTTTGACAGTTGAAAAAGAAGCAAAAAAAATCTGTAACATTTTCTAAAACTTGAATTTGTTTTTTCTTCTTTGGGAAATAATAAAAACTGTACCTTTTTGAAGAAATAAGACCTGCTCTCTAGCCTCTAGCTATGAAACAACTAACAAGCTGTTTTGGGCATCATTTATCATAGAAATTTATTCGTTCGATTGAGGATCAAAAATCAAAGTATTTGTGAATCTGAAAAATCATTAATACGAGACTACTAATCTAACTTAATTACCATTAAACGACATAAGTTTAGTTCTAGACGTTAGAATTTTGAAATATAAAGGCATGGCGTTATGGCCTTATGGGGACATCAAATATACACTTACAAGACTACCCTTAAAGGAAACGCATTGGGGTAATTAAATACAAGTGCTCCAAAAACGGAAGCATGAGGTCAAATACGGTAAACGACAGGCGTCAAAATTATTATTATATTAACAAACTTTCAGTGAAGGGAATTAACTATTACACATATTTATAAATAATCGAAAGCGTCAAGGAAAGCATCATCAATGGCGGATGCTTACTTGTTATAGCCAGACATCACCACGAGTGAAGCCAGTGGACGTAGAAGATACAGAGAGACGTCTTTGTGTGTGTTTATGCGCTTTTTGGCTTTGCTTCGCGTCTTCCACGAAGAAGCCGAACGGCGTGAATCGAGTTTTCTCCAGATCTCCTCATCTTCCCTCCGATTTTGATTCCACCATTTTCATATAGATCTCTCTTCCTCGCTTGCACGAGAGCTTATAATCCCAAATCGTGGTTAGATAACACTCTCTTCCGTGACGCGTCCCAGATCTGATAGTGGTGAAATCAATTTTTTGGTCTGATCTCAAATTTTCGAATTTTCCAATTCCGTTAAAGGTTTGAAATCCAAATTAGCCGGAGATGGAGAAGGCAGAGAGTGAGAAGAAGGCGTCGGCCGTATCCGACGTCGGTGCATGGGCAATGAACGTCACGAGCTCCGTCGGGATCATCATGGCCAATAAACAGCTCATGTCATCATCTGGTTTCGGCTTCAGCTTCGGTTTGATTTTCTGATTCTGTGTCTCTCCCTTCTGCATTTGATATTCACATTTTTCATGGATCTCTCATTTGCCGAAAATGCGTATTCAATTTGTGTTGATTGAGATCTCTTTATCAATGAGACGAATGGATTTGTGTATATATATATTTTTTTTTCTCAGCGACAACTCTCACGGGATTCCACTTCGCTCTCACTGCTCTCGTCGGTCTGGTGTCGAACGCGACTGGGTTATCGGCGTCGAGGCATGTTCCTCTCTGGGAGCTTCTCTGGTTCTCACTCGTCGCTAACATCTCAATCGCAGCTATGAACTTCAGCCTCATGTTGAACTCTGTTGGCTTCTACCAGGTAAATAAAAGACTTCCCATTGTAGTGTTTTTTTAACCTTTCCCAATTCAAGATAGTTCTCCTGATTATTTGAATTGAACCTAGATCTCGAAACTGAGCATGATTCCGGTTGTCTGCGTGATGGAATGGGTTCTCCATAGCAAGCAGTACTCGAGAGAAGTGAAGGCATCGGTCATGGTTGTGGTTGTAGGAGTTGGGATTTGTACTGTGACTGATGTCAAGGTTAATGCCAAAGGTTTCATCTGTGCTTGCACCGCCGTTTTCTCCACTTCTCTACAGCAGATCGTAAGTTGCTATCACCATAGGACTTAGTGTTGTCGTGCAAATGATTGCCTTAGAAAATTTTCTTTCTTGATGATAATGTTTCTGATGAAATTTCTCTCGAAAACAGTCTATAGGCTCACTGCAGAAGAAGTACTCGATCGGATCTTTCGAGTTGCTGAGCAAGACAGCTCCAATCCAAGCCCTTTCACTCCTCATATTTGGTCCATTTGTTGATTATTTCTTGAGCGGAAAATTCATTTCTACTTACAAAATGTCTTATGGTGCAATTGTAAGTATCCAAGAATCCCTTAATCCCGTATATAAATTTCAAAACCTTTGCTTTCGTTCCAGCTCTTTGTCTAACGATTTGATAACCATCACACACAAAAAAAATGCAGTTCTGCATTCTTCTCTCCTGCGCATTGGCGGTTTTCTGCAACATAAGCCAATATCTCTGCATCGGAAGATTCTCTGCTACCTCTTTCCAAGTTCTTGGTCACATGAAGACAGTGTGTGTCCTAACATTAGGATGGCTTGTCTTTGACTCCGAGATGACATTCAAGAACATAGCAGGGATGGTCTTAGCCGTGGTGGGAATGGTGATTTACAGTTGGGCGGTGGAATTAGAGAAACAGAGAAAGACGAAAGTCACACCGCACGGTAAAAACAGTATGACAGAAGATGAGATTAGGCTTCTCAAAGAAGGAATAGAACATATGAATTTGAAAGACATGGAGCTTGGAGATAACAAAGCATAAATAAAGCTCTTCAAGGTTTTTTTGGTTACTCATTTTTTCCATCATTGTTCTTCTCTTCTTTTCTTTTGCCCTTTTATTTATATTCTTTGACTCTCAAAAAACCTTTGTAGCCTCTGTTTGATGTGCTCCCCTCTGCAGAGCATCCTTTTTTCTTTCTATAGATATATGATTCTTCTGTTTCTTTGCATAACATTTACATATGAATATTACTTTCTCTGTTCTTTCCTGCAGTTTCACTGTTTGATGAAGCCAATTTAGATCAGCTTCTTTTAATTTTTATAGGTGGTGTTTTCAATTTAGTTTGAAAGAAGAAGCAAATCAAAATTACAAAAAAAAAAAAATATATATATATATATACTTTATATCATGTGTTCTGGTTTGCACACCCCAACAAAAAAATGCCATGTACTATCTGTTTTCGATCACTGTTTCTGCAGTTTCTTTATCTTCAGATTTGCTGTAAATATGGATTTTTCCGATGCAATAAACAACAATATTGTGCACTTTAGTCTCAGAAATTGTCTCCTAGAGTAAAGTATACTGTCATTACAAGACCGTAAAATCCACGAGGTTACAAACCATTTAAACATCATGGAGAGATATCTCTAGATTCCATTGAGAGTGACCACAACTCTGCGTGCTGTTGGAGCATCACGGTGTTCACATAGCCATATTCCCTGAAACCCCAAAGATTCAATTTTTCAATCAATCGAAAGAAGGTTTCACCATAAATGAGGAAAACATCAAAACATGTGAGTGTAATAATGTATGGTCAGGTGGAGAAATTTACTACCTGCCAAGTCCCCATGTTAAGTTTTCCTTTTGTTATTGGGATTCTGCAGAGACCATCAACAGTTAAGAATCACAATCTAAGAGTAATGTAGTAATAAATTGTGCATAGGGGGCTACATTAAGATTGTGACTCACGTGAGTTGACATCCAAACATTGATGATTTGATATGAGCTGGCATGTCATCTGGACCTGCAATTATTTAACCAAATCCTATTCTAAAAAATCCATAAGATTTCATGAAAATCAGATGAATTGCCAAAAAAAAAAAAAAACCACATTTCAGATGATAAAGAGAACAGCTTTGGATTATCATCATCTATCACTGGTTAATAAGTTAGCTTCAGTCTGATGAAACAAACTAACCTTCCATGGTATGCCTCCAAGGAGCTGAATTCCCCTGAAATTCAACAAAACTCAAATGATCAATTTGCAAAATCAAAATGAGAATACTTTGATAACCCAGTCAAATATACATACCTCAGGAACAATCCTGTTCAAGAAAGTCTCAGTATCAGCCTGAACATCTGGATCATAATTCTCATTGATTGTGAGAGAAGCACTTGTGTGTTGTACTGCAAAAACAATGATGAAACAAACAACCCCATATTTTTCTCATCTGAGAATTCGAAAACAGAGCAGAAGCTGAGAGATGTTAACAGCGAGAGAGAACGAAAAAACTCACAGAAGACATGAGCAAGGCCACAATTGAAATCTGACAAGTCTTGTCCAATTTCCTTCAAAATCTGTTTCATATCAAAACTTCACAAAGCTTAGAAAATACTGAAATCTCATCTCACTTGGCGCAATTTCGCCATTCCCAAATTAACTAAGCTAAATCGAATCACTCGAGAATCAAAGCACGAAGAATGAAACCTTTGGAGTGATAAGATGACACCCACGACGTTGCGGTGGAAGCGTGATGGTTTTCTGAGCCCACTTGGGACCAGAGGAAGTCGCCATGGAAGCTCGATCGGTGGCTGGATTCGCTGGAGTGAAGACCGATCTAACACGAAGAGAAGGAGGAACAACGCCAGAGAAGAAGACCGTCGAGCTCTGCATAGCTGCTTTTGGTGATCCTCTAAGCCCAATAACATAAACAACAATGGCCGACAAGATTCCTCCACCAACTCCAAACCAAAATCTCCCAAAAGGGCCTTTCACTTTCACCATCATCGCCACTCATTTTTTTTTCTTACTTTGCTTCTGGGCCTTAGAAAATTTGTGTTACTATACAATATCGATTTGCAAAAAAACGGCGTGGAGTTCATCTCTCGTTTGTCAGAAATAAAAACTACATGTTTTTTCTTTTCTTTAAATGTACATTTTCACGAAACAGAGCAAAATGTATATAATCATGTCTGTCTTGATGATTCCTCAATGATTACATACCGGAAACTCGAGTTTTCCGGTGAGAATTCAATGTTTTTGCTCTTCATTTTCTTCTCCTTCAGCAATCTCTGAATAGTTTTCTTGGCAGAAACTGGTAAAGACTTGACTGTTGTTTCCATCAGCTCAGATGCATCCAATGACATATCTTTAGCATAGTAATGAACGATCTTAGGCAACACTATCTTTGTCTCGTTGTGGATACGAACGTTGTTTCTTATAAACTCGTCTTTGGCTTGTCTTAGCTCCCGGAAAACGCAGTCCGCTGTGTAAACCCGTACCTGAGAAACATTATAACCGTTAAAGATTAGAAAGTTCCAATACCTTTTAACAAAGAATACAATCAGAGTTTTTGTTAAAAAAACAAAAGATACCGGAGGATCTGTAGAAGCTCCTGAAGAAAGAGCGAAATGAGCCAACGCCTCAGGATAGTCCAAGGCATAAGTGTGTTTGACATTACAAGTTTTCGACTTTCTTGATGGCGAAAATAGTGTCTGCAGCATCTGTTTAAAATAGTGTCACTTACAAGTTATGAAATGTGGTGAAATGTGAAGCAAACGAAAACAAAACAAAAACAGAGAAAGTTGCATACGGGTGGTGAGAAATGGGGACGAATGCCTAAGATTGAGCTTTGGATAATGTGAGGGTTTACGCGATAGCCTCCAACATCATAAGCTGCCTAAGAGATAATATAGACTGGCTTAAGTAACAGCAAAGACACTAAATCTATCGATCAAAAAGATGTAAAGACGAAAACCTTTAAAACCGAGGTGTTTCTTGCGCGGTTGTGAGTTCCATAGGCTAAATAGGCCTGCAAAAGAGAGAGAATCAATGAAACAATTGAAGTTTTAACTAATAGACAGAACCCACTTGTTTTTTGCTTACATGCATTGTGAGGGCGTTGTGAATGTTAATCCAAAACGCAAGCTTCTCTTCGCGTTTCATTCTACTTGGATCAACCTTCTCAAGCTTTTGAACTAGTGATCTATGTATATACACCATTTGAGTAACATTTCAGATCAACTCAAGTCTTTGTAGCGTCACATAGGCAAATATGTATATGTACCTGAAGTTTTGGAGCAAAAGAGCGGCTTGGTTGAAACTACCATCATCCAGGTGAAGTTTCAGAGTCTCTATTACAACACCACGTGGAACATTTGCTTCTTTGCTTGCCTCAAGGCACGGGTTCCAGCTATCAAAAGTGGTTTTGGAAGAGACAGATGAAGGTGAAGGAGAAGCCACAAGACAAGAATTGATTCTTGCTTTGCTGGAGAGTGTACAATACACAGAAGATATGCATCTTAAGATATCTTCAGAGAGCCTACTCGGTTTCACAATGTCATCTACGGTATGAGAAGAACCAAGAAGATCTCCAAGAGTAATGTGATTAGCAGAAACATATCTAGTCTTCTCCTGCAAACATCAAATTGCTTAGCAACTGAAAAGCTTTAAGAAAGCTTAAGACAATGCCTTGGTGTCACTTTACTTACTCTTGCAGACAAAGCTTTTAAGCTGGCTTGGAAACTCCGTGGACACGAAGAGGAACGTTCAGACACCGGAGAAGCTTGGTAATGGTAGCTGAGGACACCGGTAAGGTCTGACTGCTCGGATTTGGGACAAAAGTGATTCGACACTAAGCTTGTTTCAGTGTGAGGAGAGAAAGAATGTACTTGTTCATCAAAAGCCGTCCTGTAAAGAGAGAGCAGATACTGTTCCGTACGCAGAATTTCAAACTCGAGTGAAGCAATTTCCTTCCTCAAATCTTCTGAAGACTGCAAAAAACACAGAACTTTTTTTGTTATCTACAGTAAGCTTGCCAAAGAACTCTGTGAACATTCAAAGCTTATAAAAGATCAAACCTTTGGCATTGTGTTGCGGTGAGAATCCTTATGAGTTAGTAATCTCTTTTCAATTGATACAAACTGCCATGAAAATGTACAAACAAGTGTGACTTTTGGAACCCAGAAAAAAATAAAAAGAGAGAGTCTTAAAAAAGCAGATTGAGACAATCCCCAAAAGTTTTTTGCTTTTTGAAAGAGAATGAAAAATTACCGGTTTACTGTAGCTAGAGAATCGTGAAGGTGATGCAACAATCACATTCTGCTTCTCCGAGTTCCTGTGACCAAACCCATTTTACAAATTTTGTTACTCCAAAATTGATTTCATTGAATGAAAGACGAAACCAGTCATATCAGAAAGAGACAAAATGCAAAATCTTTTGTACCTTGGAGAAGATGAAGAACAGTCAGGAGAAGAAGGAGACGAAGCTGAAGGGCAACTCAGACCCATCATTTTCTCGCACTTTCTCGCAAATTTTGTCTTTCTGTAGAAATTTCATCAAAGAATATTACTATGAGGGAATAATAAAATTAGACATCCCATCAGTATCGTTATCGTCCTTCGAGACATCAAGAGCATATCTCGAAAAGCTCCATCCTTTTGGCTTGTCGTTTATTATGCTTATGTGACTCCAAAAACTCGGAAAAAAACATTAAAAAGGAGATTTTTTTTTTTTTCTCGTAACTTTCCGGGAAAAATAAGTGAGAAGAAAATCAGGAAAGTGAAACCGACATTTTTCCCGGGAGTTCAGACGAAGGGTATCCCAAAGTACATTTATTCTAAATAAATTAAGATTTTAATAATTAAGCTGTTACTAATTCCTAATCTTCTTATCTTATGTTAAGTACACTCACTCAACTCAACTCAACCACTCTGAAATACTAATAAAATAAATTATAAGCAATGAAACAACTACATGAAATGTATCAATTATTATAAACATAAAAATATGCTTAATAATAAAAACAAACAATTAATGCCGTCGATCTCATAACAACTAAGTAAGTGGGGACAATTTTAACACGAACCATAAAAGAGTTGACAATGTGACATAAAAATATTACTACTGCAGAATATTTTGTGGTCGCAAATTGTTAATGTATGGACATTGTTTACCTCCCAGGATAATATTATTGTAAACCTTCACTTGGTAAACAAAATTCCCAAAGAGAAAAGTAGAAGACTCAAAAAATTTACGAAAGCAAAATATGAACAAAAAAATTATTGTAAACCTTGACATAAATGTTTTTCTTAGCAAAAGGTTTCTTTTCTTTTAATTTTGGTGCAAAAAGAAAAGGTTTTCAATTACAAAAAACAATGTTCTTAAAATGAGATTGCAATAAGGTATTTTTTTCTGTTCCTAAATATTTGATGTTTTAGATTTTTTTTTGTTCTACAAAGATTAATATTTTAAAATATTAAATATTTTTTATAGATTTTTTAAAAAATAATTAAAATTATTAAAAAAATTAAATTACTATTGATTAATGGTTATTTAAGAATAATAATTGTAAAAAAGTAATGTATTAATAATCAAAAAAATAAATGTTTCTTAATTTATGTGAATAAATCTAAACATCATATTTTTGGAACGGAGAAAGTAATTACTTTACTCATCATAAAGCATGTTACAAATTTGCAAGGAGCATGTACATTTTAGTAAACCGTAACGTAAGTTTGTAAAGAAATTAAAAAAGTCAAAAAGAAACGAGTAAAATTGTAAATACATTCTAGTAAACCGTAACGTAAGTTTGTAAAGAAATAAAAAAAAAAACCATAAGGGAACGAGTAAAATTGTAAAATCGTACAGAATCTAACAAGAAGTATGACGGATCAAAAAAATTCTACATTAAAGATGGTGAAAGTGGAGTAAAGTGTCTCATGATTCATTTTTGGGTCGTTTTGTATAAAGACAGATTTAGTTGGATAAGAACAAATAAATGAATAGAAGAAACAGATTGGTGAGAAAGAGGCAAATATTATTATTTACAAATCACACAACCTTCCAAATCGAGTTTCATTTTCGACGTGGTCCTTTTGGGTCAGGCCAATAAATGCCTCCAGTTTTGGCACCACTCTTCTACAATTAATTTCGATGTGAACAAAATGTGGAATTTTGCACTATATGTATTTAAGATATGTGCAGCTTCCTATGCACTTGAATCTGATTTTACAAGGACAAAAATAGTTGTGTAAAATGTAAAACTACTTTGCTAATCATTTTACAAAGGGATCCGAGTTTTATAATTGCATATATCTTTTTTATATAAAATGAAAGATAATAGGAGAGCCATTCCATATAACTATCCCTTCACCAATAAAAATAAATAAACTCGTTACCTTTTCTTAAGTTGAGAGATTTTTTTTGTTTTTAAGGGATTCATCATCAACAAACCACACAAAAAAAGTGAGTCAAAAATCAAAATATACTCACTTGAGATGTCTATATTAACGGGGAAAAAATGAACTTGTTCTTCATTTTTCAATCACCATCTACAATCGTAGTCAAGTAAAACCGGGCCGAAATGACTCAGCTCCGAACCATGGACCCATAGTGAAAATGGGCTTTCTCTCGCATCATACGTCACCATTCTAAGTTTTATTCGAACCTTTTGCTCTTCTTGGGGCGTAATTTATAGAATAACTGTCTTAACCAAAGATATGGCTTCACTCCAACCCTCCAACCATAAATTGGATTACATTATTAAAATTTCTTGAAATTGTCAGATTCTTTACAATACTCCCTTTCTTTTGAGTCTCTATAAGGTGCGAATAAGTGATTTTATAAAATTAAAGTATTGTTAAAAGGGATATATTTCAAAGATTTAGAGCCGGAAAATCTGACAAATGAAAAGCAATTTGGTTATAGCCAGCCATGCTGGACCAAACATTGCCTTTCTCCGTCACCATTTAAGAATTTAGATTATTCTTATTCGTCTTTCTGTCAATGGTGATATGAAATTGAAATAATAACAAACCAATTATATTCCTTTAACATAGTAAAAAAACTAAGCATTTTATGTTTAGCAATATCAAATTGTTCGTATCAATAATGTTATGATATAGTTACATAATGTTTTAAATAATTTTCAGATTTGCTGATTCATACTAGATATTTGAACTGCACGCGACTAATCATTTCAGTATTTAAGTTCAACCGTTCTCGCATATCATATGCATTTTGTTGGGTTTTATTTTTCATTTTTTTATACAGCGTGCATTGTATTGACGCATGGATTAGCACCGGAGTGCATACACATGGTTTAGAATCTGGGTGTTAACACATATTTATATGGCACATTACAAACCATGCATGCATACATGTTAATTATGGTTATGCAACAATATATATGATATATATATATGTGTGAATATATATTGCCATTTTGATTAAATAATGAGAAAAAAGGAACCATGGGGTTGGGGACGAGAGTACACGTGAAAATAGACTAAAGGAGATGGGTTGTGGAGCCAAAAATGTTTATATGTTAGGGTTTAATATATAGTGTATCCTCGTGTGTATCTCCCATTTCTCTATACCTTCGCATCTATCCTTCTTTTATATATATTCTCATTATTAAATCGCACATATTACAAAAATAAAATCTTAAAGATTTTGAGAATCTATAATGGAGAACAAGAAAAACAGACAAACAGTACTAGCTCTCACACAAAAAGGGGACAAATTAAAGAACATATCAATATATAGGATTATAAAGAGTCTCACATACCTTGCACGATTTTGCATGCCTCTGTCATTTTCTGGGACGTGGGCTTCTTCTAGATAATTTATCATAGTTTTTTTTTTTTGGTGTCTTTCTTGATAATTAATTTAAATATATCGATATTTTTAATCAATATTTTGGTACGATGAATGTATCGCAAGATATTGCATCAACGGGGGTGTCTCTAATTCTTTTTGTTCTGAAGTATATTATGTCAAATACTTTTTTATTTTATTTAATTAGTTTAACGTGAGAGAATATCTCCCATGTTTGAATACTGATTTTTCTTCGTTTGTACATACTAATTGAAAGTCATTGTCTACATTCTCTGAACAACTCATCGCAATATTAAATCAGACTAGAGCGTGCGTTCATATTATATAATAAGGGTTCCATTTATGTTATTCGCCAAATCTTAAATTATTGTATCCAATCAGAGATTCAATTGACGAAAAGGGATTGAGTTTTGTTTTTAACAAAAAACATAATAATAAAAAGGGAATGAGTTGAGTGACAGTGAAATGAAGAAGCTCGGTGCGATCAAAGAGGCAAAGAATTAGACAAAAACAAAAGCAAAAAAGAAAGCAGGTCCGACATCGGCTCTCCGAACCAAACACCGAAGCTAAAACAAAGATCCTCAATCCAGTGATTCTCTGTCTCGTCTCAATCGCACATTGCTTTAGCATGGAGGCACCGTACGTGCAATTGACATGCCGGTCGGTGGTCCCTTGGGATTTTCAAATAATTACTTTCATATTCATAATAATAGAGTTTAATTAGCCCCAACGCAAATTAGTACTCCGTTCCAGAAAATATGAGAAAATATGATGTTTAATTAGTCCAATCGTATATTTGGAAACGGAGGGAGTACAACCATTTTGGTGAAAGATATTGTTTTGGTATTTTGTTAGAGCGAATATGATGATGATACGGTTAGATAAAAAGGAAAAAAAAAACTAATTTGTTAAACGACGGATCTCCAACTAATTTCTGAAAATTGTGGAGATGGTGAGTATATTTGTAATGTGAAGATTCGAACAATTGTCATTCAATATTACAAAGTAAACTTTTAACGACTAAACCATCAATAGATGGTTTAATTCACAACTCTGATGAAAAAAATGGTAAGAACTGATAGAATCAAGAAACGTCTCCACCCTCACTCCCTTTCAATCTTACCTACCAAAAAATATACTCCATGTATATGATATTTGTTTTAAGTGCAGTTTAAATTAGTTCTAAGCTCGTACTAATTAGTAATTAGAGGTGGCCAACATCAAGGTACGTAACTCAGTTGTTGGGTAGCTATGACTCTAAAAGTTTATACCGTTAGAATTTTATTGCGTGGAATCCGTATATAGTCCTATGAAAATTTTGCAATGGTCTAGTTGGTACGAATCAATTCATAATCACACTTAAAACCAAAAGTATAGAAATATGAAACCTTAACAATTGTACCCGATGCCTCGATATGATTTGAAGTTATCATCTAAACATTCTTAGCGAGTGATTAGACGAAGGGACGTTTGATGCGAAACCTATTATCTAATAATTTATCTCTCAAAACCCTATTACACATTTTTGAGAAAGAAACCAAAAAACAAAGATAAATTGCATATACATATTATCCTATTCGTAGTTATACTTTAGAATGTACATATGAACTAAAAAAACCAAAAGCACGAAAATGACAAGAAATCTTATTATAGTATAACCACACCATACTTTCACGATCTCAAAAGAAATATACTAAGCTCCTGTCCATAACTACCACCAGGATTCATCATATGAAACGATTCCGAGTCACTCGAGCCAGTGACTCGCTCGAACTTCGCCCTCAAATACAGCGTCTGCTCTTCCACATCCGACGGCACAACTCCAGCTCCAACTGAGACAGACTGCATCATCCGCAAGAAAACGGCGTCGTTCTCCGTGACCTTTCTCCTCACAGCAAATCCCATTTTCCTTCCGTTACAATACATGGACCACGCAGGAACATCAAAGATCGACGAGGAACGACTGTTGCTGCTGTTTCGACGACGGTCACACTCGAGAGCTATGCGCAGAACACCGGCTTGATCCATCTCCTTGGCTAAAGCCGCCGTAGGAACAGCTAGCTCGAGGAGGAGAAGCGGAGGAGATCCCACGGCGGAGTCTTGAAGGCAAAAACTTACTCGGCCACGACGGTGCCCAAAGAAGGTTCCACTTACGATGGTGTTACTCTGTGAGGAGGAGGAGGAGGAGGAAGAGTGTTCTGAAGAGGAAGATGAGGAGGAAGAGGAAGAGACTGAAACGGTATCGTTTTGGTATGAAGGAGAATGGTGTTGGTAAGTGCAACAGTATGGGAGCATGCACTCGATAAACGAACGGAGAGTTCGCCGGAGACGGAATTCACGAGCGCAATCGACGGTGGTCGGAGTGCTTATAATTTGCAAGTGATGATGATCTCTTTGCTTTCCTAAATCAACCATCGTTCTCATGGTTTCTTTCTCTTTTTTTGTGTATCTGAGAATGAATATTAAAGAAGAGAATATTGAGTTTGTTTTGGGTGAAGAGGAAGAGGAAGTTTGATGGCATATATGTATAGGGTGGTGTTGGTAATGGAGAGTGGAGACTTTTCTTTGTTTTTTTGTTTTTTTCTTAAATATATTTTCAAATATTGTTATTATAGTGTATGCTTTATATGTCTTTTTGGGTTTAGTGCATAAATTCTATTAAAGCGAGAAGATCGAGCTTATTTGTATAATGATTTAATCTCGTGGTTATTTGTGCATTTAAATCCAACCACAAGATCATCACGGTTTAAATATTGGAAAAAAATGAAGTATTTATTATAAGCAAGGTAAATTTTGACATGCATTTTTAACCTTTTTATTATAATTAAGTACTCGTTAAGCGCTTGTAAAGCTGTAATGTAACTTTTAATCCTAAAATTACAAATGTAGATAATCTAGTTTCAAAAATAACATCAAAAATCTCTCGTTCTTTTGATCATTTAAATCCTAAATAAAGAATTACCGAAAAAAAATAAAGGAGGCTTGAGAGCGAAGAGAGAACAAAAAATCGAAGGCAGTGGAGGGAGGAAGGAGCAGGAAGTGGGGTCCACGTGTCGTAATATAAAAATCGGTGGGGCCTACTTGTTCATGTAATATCCAATCGGTTTGTTTGGAAGGAAGCGAATGGTGCGCGTGCGTCACTCCAAGTGAAGTCCCACGCCCCACTTGACTTGACACTTCCAACCATTTTTCACTTTTTTTTTTTTTTTTTTGGTATTTCACTTTTTCATTTGTTTCACAATCAATTGTAATAAAATTTCACCAATCATATCAACCAAATTAATAATCACCCTAAACCACGGGCATTATTGACGTTTTGAAACAGTTCTCCAGCTAATAACTTCTTTTTTTCTTTTGTATATAATAGATTTATAATTTGTTTGTATCATAAATCGAAACTTCCTGAAGTTGAATCATTTGTGGGGAAAATAATAAAGTTGAAGCATTTGGGCTACTTTTCCTTATAAAATTGAATTTAATGCTCTCGAAACATATATGCATTCTTTTGTCATCACGAAATTTTATATGCTTTTACCAAGAAATTGTAACATGAAAATAATGATGTAGGGCGTGAGGGCCTAAGAACAAGCATGCATAGAGCAATGATTAAAACCCAATCATGCTCCGGTATTTTTATAGTAAGATGCTTTATATAATCATCGCTTGTAAACTTTATATACATCAATTCATGATAGTTTTGCGTAATGAATGAAATCACGATATTTACATTATTTTTTACCCTGGCTTATCAAAATATTCATAGCATGGTGCCTTGAGAAAGAAATTTTCAAAAATCATTTCCAACATCATCTTTAGCTTTTTTTTTTTTTATATAATTGCCTACTTCCTTGGTTCCTTATCATTTACATGTTTAATTAATAGGAAACCAAAACAAGGTTCATATCCACTTGAATTTGAAATTGATATGCATATGTACAACGAACTTATTAATTTGTTGACTAACAACATTTGTAGTTTCATGTTAATATGTACTAGCTAGTAATACAACATAATAATCCACTTCAAAAATAGTCTTTCATCACTTGAATTACAGAAATGAGTTTCATAATCATTAATAAATATATAGACTATAAATTTATAAATTGCATTATTATTCTGTCATAGTACTATTTCAAGAATTATTAAAATAACAATTTTATTTGGTGTTCAATGGATGATGCAATATGTCTTATATGTTTAAGTTATATTGCATCTCGTTTTAAAAACTTTCAGGAAATAATATGATTCATATGTTACCCACAACCAAAATGATGAACAGAATTAAACAGAGTAGTTGTGCATACAGACACAAAAGTAGATTAAAGCACATATCACGTCTGTCTTAGTAGAATTGCATTGCATGCAGTCCAATCTCCTGAATCCATAATTTAACTTCTTACTTTAAATCATGGGGTTCGTTGATTAGGTTAATACAAAATTGACTACTTAACTACAATTAATGGGGTGATTGACAACAGATACTGAGAGTTGAATTTTATGACATCTACATGTTACAGCCAACTTTTTCTTTAATTTAGTTTTAGTTTTATATAAACATTTAAATATGGTTTGGAAGTTTTTGTTCTATCATAGATATAAAAAGTACTCATTAGAAACAATAGACAAAACAAATAAAGCACGCACAAATTTTAAAACATTTATAACTAAATTAAAACTTCAGTAAATGAACATAAGTAAAATTAGTAAGTAAAATGAGAATTCAGTCATCCAAATTTTTTTACGCATTGTATGATTTTTTATTTCTTTGATTCTTTATTTTTGTAAAGAAACAGTAGATAGTTAAAGTTACGCAAAATTTTAAGTGATGTTCTTTTAATTCATAATATATGGTATTAAAAGCAATAGTTAAATTTGTGTATAGATCACTATACAACTAAAACCAAAATGTTACTGTAAAAATCAATTTGTACACTTGCAAGTTGCAACTACAAGTCTGCAAAACCGATACACTTATTAGCTTAGTTGTATACTTTCTTGGATTTTAATTTAACGTTCGGTAGAGCAATATACTAAGAAAAATGATTAAGAAAAGAGAAAACATGTATGACACAAAACTTTTTCTGGTTTTGGATCATATGAAAAAGAGAAAAACATGAAAAGCCAATATTTATGTGAATGCTTTGTTCGCATTATCACTTTTTATCCTTTCATAGAGATTGTCGGCTTACGTTTCCCATTGTATTACGTCCAATCTCTCTACATGAAAAGAGGTTTTGTTACACAGTTTCATTAACTTAGAAAATCGTCAAAGATAATCACAGAATCATGAACTTCATGATTTCCGTTATCTTCATTAACTTTTTCCATAAGAATCGTCAGAAAACGAATATACTGTACATAAGAAAAAAATTCTTCTGGTAGCTATGTTAGAGACTTATTTAATATCACATGGTTATAAAATTCGTAATAAAACTTCTAGCCTAAAAGAAAACAACATAACCTTGCTTCGAACATGTTTCAATATGGTCTCGTTGTCTTCTTCAATCTCAGTCGATTAGCGTCTTCGGGGATTCGCGTTAACCTCTTTGTTTATCCTTCAACTCTTTCAATCCTTTCGATGTTATCGAAATTATCCGGTACTTGTATACTGTAACTTACTTACTCAGATTGTAGAACACTCGCGTTATTGAATGAGTGGACGTATTTCACCGCCCAAATGTCAACTACATAAAATAAATAATGATTCGTTCTTTCTTTAGTGTTCTCAAATTTAGTTATTTTGCCTCAGCATTGGACCGATGACACATTAGTATAGAACCTGATCGAATCTCAGTTGATTTAATATGTTCGGCTAATTCCAAAGATAAACACAGACCTATTGAAAAGACTGTTATCTACCGGATTTTAACTGAGAAATAAAAGCCAGTGTACTTCTTTTAGAAGAAGTAATAATGTGCCATGACTTTCTTCCAAGCAGGAAATATATAAACTCAAAATATGAAGGTTTATAACACTCCTTTTCCAAGTTAATCACTTGATCACAGCGATTCTGACCCTTACTATTAGGTCTATATAGATTATTATTTACTAATAACGATTTTTGCTATATATCTTTCGTTTTCTAATAAAATAACTGATTATTATCTGAGAGATTAGTATGACTTATGTAGGTTAGTCAAACTAACGGCACCACACTTTGGAGAGAGGGAACATGCATTTAAATTATCCAAATCGAACCACTTTAAAAGTGTTAGTTATAATTTCTCCCTAATGTAGCTGTGTATTTTAAAAATTGATTAATTAACATTATCAACACTTGATTACTGGAACATTATATCATATATCATTAGTGGGCAATAAGTTAAGGTTAATATTTAACACAATATAATGGCTTCATGATGGCATGAATTATTAAGCGTATATATGTGCACTGAGGTAGTGGACTCTAATTACTTATTAGTCAAATATTCTTATATTATACAAACATTCTTTGACCAGCCAAAAGCCTAATTGACTGGTAAGTGATACACATGTGATGCCATGATAATTACATTAAAAAATATATATTATATTAATCAAGGCACTGATTAACAAAAGTTTTCACTGGTAATTAGAAACGTGTCCCCTACTACATCCACATTGTCTCAAAACTTAATCAAAACGGCATATAATTCTGTTTATTTGTATATGCAATGTGCTATTTTAAAGTTGATTTTTTTTTACTTTGCATGGAATCTCCGGTTATATGCGTTTCGCCACGCTATCAATGTTGTCTGATCAGGAGGAGATGGCATATACATTATTTCGATGGGCTTATAGGAGGCCCAAAAATATAATTTTATTGAGTACAAGAATGGGCTATCACAAAAAATACATTCTTCTTTTCACTCTTTAATACTGTACTTAACAAAAACATGATAATTTATTCGTAGTTCCATATAAATTAACGCGGTTCAGCATATATGACAAAACTATCGCTTGCTCACTTTTACTTTGATCCAAAGCAGCTGAAATTTAAGTTAATAAATGAAGTAGATGATAAGCCATGCGTACACAAACAAACTCAGACATCCACTTTCACGGCGTTCTATCAAATTACTAATCAACGAAAACAAAACTATACTTTTTACTAATCAATGACAATCACTTTCTTTTTTTGGAGTAGACACGGACATTTTCATTACGATCTTCTCCTTCCAAGATAAAACTATATTAATTGTAGTTTTTTTTTGTGGCAAAATTATCATTCTAGAAAAACCCCCTAATGTTCAGATATCATTTTAAATAAAAAATTCAGAGATCAATTCCGAAAAATATATATATTTAATTTTTTTTTGTCAGCTAGCATATTTCCTTTGTAACCAAATAATATGCCAATTACGCAAAAACAAAATAAATAAATAAATTTGATAAATTCAATATCCACACAATATCCACGTGAGTATAGAAACTAAACCATATTATACAAATATAGATTACTTGAGATCTTATCAATAGATCAAAGGTCCATGAGAAATCTATCCAAATCTTGACGAAAGCTAATGATAACTATTTAATACAACGAAATGCCCCAATTTAGACAGCGATACTGAAAGTGAACTATTTAAATAAGCATTTTCTCCACCCCTTTTCTTGTAAGAAATTGATGTTTTGAGATTTTTAAATGCGTCAATATATTTCTGAGCTCTGTAGGTAGCGTTTGTGTACTTCCTAACAAAATATTTCGCTTTTTACACATTAATTATGTTCATCAGTAATCTCTCGAATAAATAAATATCATCTACATGACTACATCTATGATCAATGATGATGAGACTTGATTTCGGTGACTAGGGGAAAAAGAGCCCAAAATTTGCTATTTGTGGAAGATAGCAATACCTATATATTATTACGCATTTTCATAACTGAAGGGCCATATTTGAACAAAAGGTAAGGTATGTTTTAAAGTCGCATGAGCCCTCTACGCATTAAGTATAAGTTTGAAATTATGTTCTTAGAAAAAAGCGTGAAGCTTATCCAACCGGGATCATATTCGAATAATTTATTGTATATATATAATACTACTATTGATGGTAATACATGGTCAATGGAGGGAACTATTTAAAATAATATTTAGAGGGCACATACAACATTACATAATTGAAAATTTACGCATTCATTGAATCGTTCGAATCTCGTATAGGGTTCTCACCAAAAAAAAAAAAGTCTAATTGAATAAAAGAAGGAAAAAAATACAATACACCAAACAAAGGAGAGTTGACTTTTTGTCTAACCAATGAATTGAATAAGAGAAAACACACGCGGTCGAATAAGGCGATTTGGTCACTCGTCGAAAGACTTGACAGACACCAATTTTTTGTTGTTACATTACCAACGATATAATCCTACGTGGCAACATAGACATATCTCTCTTCTGTATACACGGGACAAATCCCATTACAATGGATGCTGTGGCTCTGATGAGTTTAGCAAATATGGTCAAAAAGTTTTGTTTTTGTTCGTTGTGAATTTTTCTAACAACATGACTATGACGGAAAATACAATAAGACATGTATAGAACAAATTCACATTGTAGAGACTCATCGCCATAACTCTAGAAAAAATATAAGAGTATATGTAAAATTATTTTCATACAATATCTGTTGGAGAAAAACAAATCATACAAATGTTCTCATATAGTAATATTATTTACCTTTCTCGGTCTAGCTTATCGCCGCCGACAGTTTTGGAAAATGTTTGAATTAGGCTTAACTAATCCTCCAGTAGAAATTTGCCTACAATCTCTAAACTTCTTTTTTCATGCAGCACTTTACGAATCTTGTATTTGTAATAAGAGAATTTCTTAATGCACTCCGCAGTCTTCAAGTATATCATTCTAATTGTTCAACACATTCATCAAACTCTTTGGAATAAACTGACAGATCTCTATAGGCTGTCCTCGATTAGTATAGCTCCCTCACTGATCGATCGAGATAATATCTCTCAATTCACATCCTCTTGGTGTCTCTGAGTAGTAATTGTTTTTCTGCGTGTGTTTCTCTTTTTTTAGCACTGTTTATGTCAGTTTTTAATTATGTATCTTTATCTTTTTACTTTCCTCTATAAATTATAACTACTCCTTTGAAAAAAGTAAAAAGAAAACAAGAGTCTATTTTTAAAAAAATAATGCACGTAGAGACGTATATACATTCAACCTGTCATTGTCGGAGAATTGCCGGTCATGTCGGAGGACTTGCTATTTTTAGGGCGGAAAAAAAGAATATTGAATTCCTTTACGTTCACATTAGTTCAGAGCACCCATGATGCTAAATAAAAACATACTATTATAAAGGAAAATAAAAAGGTTACCGGTATTTTTTTTCTTAACAAAACTATGGTCCTATAATGGAATCTGTATCCTATTCACATGATCACAATATCACATCACGCCTCTGTTTAGAATAAAATCAACAGTTTATCACACATTTGAATATATGTGTATAAGATTTTTTTGTTTGACGCTGTAGTTTATATTATTAGTGTATTATTTTCATTAGACACGAAAGCACAACTCAACAGTATGTTGCAACTTCTAAAAACTTACATTTATAAATAATAATGCATAAGAAACACTATGCTATGAAATATTACCCTCATATATCATATTAAAAACACTATTTTTTGGTCAGGTACTGGAGTACGATTATTGATATTATTTCAAAGGAAAAAAAAATGTCCATAAAGTTGATCCAACCAACTTTAAAAATTGAGAATCGACCATATTAACACCACATATCAAACCCTAAAAATGCCAATTAACATTTTAAATTACACCATTTATAATGCTTTGAATTCGACTTATGAATCCAGAATTTTGATTTAAATGTACTGTATCATTCATGATTCAAGGAACTTTATAATGATGAAGGACACCATTTATAGCGTTAAGATTCTTATGTATTGCAGAATAACGATAATTAATCTATAATATTATGAGCAAACCTAATTTTGTCAAAATATAAAATAGTATTTCAGCAATAAGACCTTCATCCGAAACAGATGATATTTGTATCCCAAAAAAAAAAAATCTTTTTGGATTGGGATTTGCCATGTTTAATTAAAAAAACCATATATGATCGAGTTGGGCTCTTTACCAAAAATAAATACAAAATGATCGAGTTTTTCAAAACAAAGCAAGAAACACATATCAGAGCAATAGTTAGCTAATGCATGTGGTGGACTACCCATGCAAAAAAAAAAGTAAGGAACAAATGACAATTTTGAGAGTTGAACTAATCAATGTGTGTACCATTCACAACTTAAATATCGCTTAGAGACTAAAAGTTTTTTTTGGTTACTACTTACTAGTTACTTAATTAAGCAAAACTTAGAGTACTTCTTCAACAACTAACTTGACATTGCTTAGATAATTCGACTGGTAATTAATTTAGGAGAGATTTTGAGTACCTAATTAATTTAGTAAATAGTAACACATACATTGATTTATTTAACCCATGGCGCGTGACCAAAATATACAATATAAACAGCAAAAACAGAGAAGAAATATACAGAGGGTTTTCTTCATTTGAAATTATATCATCAGTTTGTAACAAAACAAAACAAAAAAACTGCAAAAATTATTATGCTTCTTAGCAAAAAAAAAAAAAAAATTATTATGCTTCTTCTAATATTGTTGATTTGTTTCTTAATTAAATGAAAGGCGACTTAAAATGTTATATTGCGAGTCTAAACGACGGAGCCTTCGTAGATCGTTGAGAGTTTCAACCTGAAGGATCGAACCGCCAACTTTGCTCGCTTAGACGTATATCTTCTCAAATTACGTACCGAACCGGACCGATTATAGCCGCTCGAAGTCTTAACCGGAGCCGTTTTATTCACCAACGGCCTTCCCTTCCGAACCGTCGATTCGCTTGCTTTTCCGTTAACGGCAGCGACGGAATCGTTAGGCTGAGTCAGCATCATGATCGGCGAGATTCTCCCCTTCTTACGCCGGCGAGATTCTTTCCCAACGGAGTTTTGGATCGCGACGCTTGCTTTCACGGCGAGAGCCGCCATGTCCGACGCCGTTAGACGGTTCTGACGCTTAGATATCGGGAGTACGAAGTAGATCTGCTCCGCCTGAAGCGACTCTTCCGATTCAATCGCCGGGATGAGATCATCGTAGTAGAGAGAATCCGAATCGCAGATGAAATAAGAGGAAGGTCTAGAGGAAGACGAAGATGAAGCAGCTGCCGATTCTGCTTCCAGGACTTGAGACGCTAGCACCGGAACATTGTATTCCCGGAGATCGCCGTTAACCGTCACGATCTTCACCGTTGGGGAAGAACTGGAGTCTCTCCGATTAAACGACAGACAGATACCCATTTCGATTGATGTGAAAATTCCAGAAGAAAATTTGAAAACTGTAGAGAATAGAGAACGAGTAAAAGGACAAGAAAGATTCACGAATTAAATACGACGCGTCAGAGGGGTATATATAGAAGAAAGAAGATGTAAGTAGAATTCCAAACCGGGTGATAAAAGTCAAAATTACGAAACCGGTTACGGTTCAACTGTCACGCATAGTAAAAGGGGGGGACATATAATCTTTCTCTAATCTTAATTATACTCATAAATCCAAATTATCTTTGTTTACCCCAGTTATTTCCTTCTATTGTTGGGTTGTTTTTTTTATGTGATTCAAGCAAGTTAATTAAGACTCGTGAACTAACCAATCTATAATCATTGGGTTTACATTCGAAAACACACAAAACCACAGGATCAAGCTTCTTGTTCAATGAGAGTCAACACGGACAAATAAAGGGAATAAGATAGTTACCATAAAAACTATTTGTGTTTCGATACGAATGTCACCAAACAAAACACTCATGTTTCTATGAATTTCCATATTTCTTTTAGTACATTTTTTAAAAAAGCAAATTTGTACACACGCATTCTAATTGTACCCGCAGATATTCAATCAACAAGATTCAGTTGTGGTCATGTGTTTGGCTCAGCAATATACACTCTCTTATCAATCTCTCTTCTTCTGTAAATTGGATGAAAGCGAAAGTCAGCAATACGTGGTACGCGCCACGCGACTCCCAGACGCAAGTCATAAGAAGTGACCTGATAAAATGTGTATATATTGCAACTTGTATTTGACTATCATACAATTCAACTACGAGTTTTTTTATTTTACCCATGCAGATTTTTATTTGCTGAAAATATCGTAATTTTCCATTTTACTAGTTACGTACGGAGTCAACATTAGTTTATTAACTTTTAATCCCAGCTTTTAGTTTACCTTTTTGACAGCGGTTTAGAAATTTTATACAGTTAGAGAGCGTTAAGTGCTGACTCCGTACGTGCATGAAACTAGTAAAATGAAAAGGGTTAATACGAAACTAAAACAAATTTACTATACTAACAGTATACAAATTTTGTAAGACACCCATCAATTTATACGTCTGCACATTAGTCTCTCATTTCATTCATTATAGTGTATATTTTTGAAATACAAATTATGTCACTTTAACATACTTTGTAGTTTATACAGAGTACATTACTTTTAAAACATACTTATATATTCTTATTAATATACCGAAATGTAAATAATTTTAATTTAAAGTTTATTTGTAGTTTTGAATATAGGTTTAGAAAAGAATTGTATGTGAAAAATTACATTCAAAACATAAAATAACGTCTGAAACAATAATAAAAAAAAAACTTGGAAAGAAAACAAAATGAAAGCATCGTTTTTTTTGGAAAGAATAGTATGTTTAAAAGAATTCATTTGACTTATGCTTTAGAATGAGATAAATGAGTTTTTTTTATAATATAAAGGTCTGTCAAATGAGATAATTAAATCATCAAAAATCTGGGCTTTTTTGGTTTAATTACAACTTCTCAATTAACCTTAATACAAAACGAAAAGACTTGCAGTGACAGTGAAAATCCATGTTTATCGGTTTAATATGGATTTATATAAGGTTCAACATGCTTAACATATATAAGGTTCAAAAAACATGCTTAAGATATTTATATATCGACTCCACTGACCCGAGTAAACTCGAACGGGTCGACTAGGATTACTCAGGCTTCACGTGTTCACACACATTGACTTATTCAGTAGACCAAGCTATGTAGTAATAGTACATCCTAGTGATTAAAATTGATTAACTTATTTTATATAATTTTGCAGGGGTTCAACCTCAACATTTAATATCTGATATACATTTTCTGAGTGTGACGACCAAGTAATACAATTGCAAACTTCAACCTTTGGAGTTGAACTTACATATACGGTCAACAAACAATATTACACACCGTACGACATACGCTACCATATTCTTATTTCTTGTTGGTTATAACGCGGCAAACTTATTTCAAACTCCAAATCAAGTAAAATGGGTAGCATATGATATTGTTATTACTATGGTTTTCAGTGGTTAAAAAAACATTTTGAACTAGCGGATCTTTTTTTTTTTGGGTGCAAATAAACTAGCGGATCTTTTGCATAATTCTATTTAGACACAAAACACCAAGTGGTTTTCGTCCGGTTTGGTTTTAGTACAGTCTATTAAAACCATAACTAGACACTAACCATTATATTTGGTTTAATTCTGTCACTAAACTTATTATATATACGGAGCTGTTAAATTTATTTTGTTTTTCTCCATTATTTATTATAGTGCCTTTTAGTCTCCATTATATTTTATCGAATTTCAGCAAAAGAAAAGATATTTGATCAAATGATCTTGTGGTACTTTCTTTGGTCTATAGTCCAATCAATATATTGAACAATATAGATTTCCGTAATTAATGTTCATAGAAATATTGATTTATGTTAAGTAAAACGTACTTATCGAATTCATTTGTCTTCAAACGCTGTTTAATACTTTCTTTTTTAGTGGGTGTTTAGTGGACTTCTATAAATAAAGCAATCAACACAGGTCAAACTTAAAAGTTAGCTATAAATAATGGCCAATCACATATATACTAAAAATCGAACACGAAATCTCTAGTTACCCCAAATATACAAGGTTGATTTTTTTCAAATCATTGCAGATAGCTAAACAATGAGAGATACTTAACAGAGTAAAAGCAATAGATGCATTTTAATTTGTGTGGTGGTTTGATTATTTTAAAATATAAATGTGTGTATAGTTGCTTTTGTTCGTCTGTCAGTGTGTGTGCCAATTCGTTCACACCTGGACGATGACTAAACTATCACGTTCTCACGTCGTTCCAGCAACTTATTGTGCATGGGTGAGATAATCCACAAGAAATCCGCACGAGAAAAGATCTTCACACGAATCAAATCAGTACGCAATAATTAATGTTTAATGTGGTTCACGATATGTCGTATGTATGATTAAGTGACGATGTTCACAAAATCACATGTTTCCCCCGAGAAATTGGTTTTTTATATATATCACATGAACAAATTAAATTATTAAGAGCAAAAAGCATAAAAACGGCATAAATTATTCTTGTGTGGACAGAATTTCGTCACACGTCGTCTTGTTCATTTACCCGAAGTATTCCTAATTCCGCCGTAAACAAATTCGTGTTGATAACTCTCACTCTCTTTCATATCATCATCATATGTTCCCATCGTTCTTCTAACAAGTCCATATAGGAAGTAGGCAGGATTTGGGCTCATTCACGAGCTGGGCCAAATTGGGCCAGTCATCTGCCTTACATTAGTTATTATAAACGATATACCCATACCTCATTTTCTCGATCGTACCTCCTCTAATGGTTTTTGATTCTTATTTTATTATATAATAACTACTCCCTCCCCTTCGTTCCAGAAAATATGATGTTTTAACTTGTTTACATAAATTAAAAATAATTATTAATTATTCTTTTAATTACTTTTTCATTTTAACATTCTTTTATATTAATTATTATAAACTAAAAAATCAAACTTAGTAAAATATAAAAAAATTCTAAAACATCAAACTTTCTAAAATGTAAGAAATATTCACTTTTAACATTTCACACACGTGCATAGCCTTTCCTTTCACCTGTTGTTGAATGTGTTGTGTACGGATCGTACAAATGTTTTTAGTTTCCGGCCAATCCGATGCGTAATATGTTTAATTTCCTTATCTACTTTTTCCCAAACAAAGTTTATAAACACTATACAGACGAAAACTTCAGTACCTTATCTCGATCATTCTCGTTTCACAATTTTTCATACTACATTTAATTTACAGCCCAACTCTTGTTTTATTATAGTTGTCACCAACGTTTTGCTAACCCAATAAGACTGATGATCACAAATACAAAAAGTATTTTACTTTATATAAAAAGAAACTATTCTTCAATTCTCCAGTGATTGCAAACCCTCTCGGCCCACAAACTTCACTTTAAAGACTTGATGTTTGCATAACCATAACCAGTTACAAGTCATTCACTGTTAAAACTAGATTATGTATAGATAGATATGTATAAAACATCATTGTCAAGGTTATTAGTAGAATGAGTTTTTTTGTTTTTTTTTACCCAAGATTTTTGGAAAGACCAACACCAACTGAATTTATCTTCATATAATACAAATATTTTATAGTAATCATACGAAACTGTAAGAAAACAAAAATCAAACCCTTAGCTCTCAAAATTGATCGGCATGGTAAAAAAAATTGGTTATGATGTGTTCACGAAACTGTTAAATAGTTCTCTTTTCATATTTTTTGTAATTGTAAGCACGCCATATGATTTCATGTTTTTCTAACGCGATTTTCATAACTATTTATGTTCGTTAAGAACTACTGAACTATATATATATTATAGTGTATATTCCGCATTATAAGTAAAGTTACAAAAAGAAACAAAAATTCACAATTCCCATAACGACATCAAAAGTATATAAATAGCGAAAGTTCAAAAAGACATCACAAATCCTTATCTGAGCACTTGTCGTGTCGCTAGCGATCCCATTAATATTACTTAACGTCTTGGGAGACTGAACAAGATAACTCCATACAAGGTCTCACGTGGTCCCCTCATACCCTTCATACACACATGTCGTGCATTCAATGGTTTTATTCGACACGTGTCTTATGCATAGTGACGAGGACGCGCAACTAGTTGGAAGTTCGACCTCATGAAATGTCAGAAGTACCCCCACCGGTCGTCGCCTCAGCCGGCGGGGCCTCTCTGAAGGATTACGTGGCAGAGCCACCGTGCTTGGCCGCAATACCTTCTTGGGTATATGTTTTTTTGGGGTAAGGATAGTATTAAAATAGCAATAATTTTATCCTAAAGAATAAGATTAGAAATATGGAAATTTATGTTCATAGATTTAGTTATTTGACAGTGATCCGACCAATTTATGCTTACATGTTCTGGTGGCTTCCGCAAATTACAAGAGAGATTCCATATTTTTTTTTTCCGAAAGAAAATCAAAGACATAACCTTGTTCAAAATAAATAAATATATATCACGTGTTATAAATTAGTTTTACTTTAAAAAAAAAAATTTAAACAGAAAGTTTTTTTTTCTGATAACTCTTGTAAACAGAAAGTTGTGATGATATAAAACAAAAATATAATTCATGTAAAAAATCATAAAATATTATACTCCCTTCATATATGTTAGATGTCATTTTAAGTTTTAATTTTTATTTCATAAAAAGTGTTACTTTATATTGATGCAATTTTTTTAACAAAAATCTTTTCATTTTACTATATTAATATATAAATTACAAAAAAATTGTTTGATATATTTTAAAGATGTAAAATAAGAAATTTCATATGTGTGAAAGGAGTAATATTGGTTTATATTAGTTCAATGGAGTATAAAAATTTGGCAATTATCCGATGCCTTTGATTATTAGAGCTAATATGATGTTGAATAAGATACCATAAAAGTAATGAACACCCGTCTCTTAACGGTGGCAGAGAATCGCAGCCTTTCAGATTCCACACGGCTCTTATTTCTCTCTATCCACTTGCTTACTTTTCTATAACATATTGATCACAAATAATAATGATGACATTCCTTAGCGTACGACTATAATATTCTTCTTTGATAACGTCAAACTATAACAAATCATCGACATTATTGCAAAACCTATTTTATTTCATTGACACTCTTACGACTTCAAGACACAAATGTATATACGACGTCACCACTTCAATTACATGTTATAATAAAACTAGTATTAGATTACATCAGATAAGGATAAGTTGACTATATAGAACCCATTGACGTACATTATATATAATTCACTTGATTTTTATTATTGTATGAACAAAATTCGAATGTACACAATACATTACACAACACAGAGCCATGCCCTTTATAAACAAGCTAAAACATCAAACCCTTCACTATATCCTACTCCATCTATATATTTATAAAAAATGTATTTATATATGTATGTGTTTAATTATTTCACCTTTATCTTTTTTAGAAAAACTATATGAAAAAGACACTGGCCCATTTACAACATTATGACTACATCCTAAATTTCTGCCCCGGAGTTATACATTAATACATTATAATATTGATGCGTATTATCCCATTTTCTTTCTATATTTCACTAATTATTACTATTACGGGGGTGAAATTTAGTGACTTGTTTTTTTGGTTGTCTAGAACGGAGCACGATGTGGGACCCCTTTTCGCCTGCTTGAATTCCGGTGATTGTAGATCGGAGGTGTTCCCGGAGAGAAACTGAAACCGCCTTCGTCGCCAGAGCTTGAAGAGCGTTGATCGCCGCCAGGACCGTAGTCATCGAATCTAACGGTGGAGATTGATAGACCACTCATCAGACGGTTGAAAGCATTCGTCTTACGCATCTTTGTCGGTGTGGTAGCCTCATCTGATTCAGACCCACCTTGGTACTCTCTCCCATGCTTCCCTTTCAGAGAGAAGGTTAGACTCTGATCTCCTCTCTTCATTCCCCCGAGCTGAACAGTCAAAAACAACCAAGGGTTAGACTTGTCATTCCACGCATAACATTTGGAAAACAGAGCATATCCACAAAAACTAAGAAAAAAACAAAAACGAAACCGGCTTAAGATTTGATACTATATTTCATTAAGAGGTGAAAATGTGTGATGGGTCTAATGAATTTTTGCTCAAATCATTGGAAGTTTGCATCTTTCAGTCAAAAGTAAGAGATTAAAACAGAGGAAGAAAACAACGCAAAGACAGTTTGGTATGTACCTTGCAACCGAGAGAGCAGAAGCGGAAAGAATCAAGGAGGCTTCTGCAACAGATTTCACAAGTGTTTGTAACACCTTTGCCGATTCTGGGCTGAGGTCTTTCATTGAGGAAGACGATCTTTGCGCTGTTGATTATATATGTCTGAACGCAAGAGATGTCTATATACTTCTGTATCTCATTCACTCTCACCACGTTGTGATAAGAAGATCTCCTTATCTGCAATTTTAATTCCATTTTTTAGATAAACCGATACTTTTTTAGATTAGAAAAAACAAAAAGAGGAAGAGAAACTGGACCTGAACAACACGATGGTCTTTGTGTTTGACCAAACAGTAAGAGCAAAAGGCATTTCCAGCACAATCGAGACAGAACAAGTTACATTCGTTTTTGTTGGAATCGGCGTGGATCGAACAGGGGACGAAGTAGCTGCCTCGTAGCATTGGCATTAGCCACGGTGGACTCATGTAGTCTTCTTCTTCCTCTGGTCTTATCATCGGTCCCTGAAATTAGAAGCCAAATCAGAAACTGGAGAAGTATGATAAGGCAACCAAACAAAAGTGTGAAAGAAGAATCACCATGACTTTCTTGTGATTGGCCTTGAAGGTCCCGATGTTAAGCTTGTGATTATGGTTTACGATAGCCAGATTTGCGAGCTCCAGTGTAAAAAACCTACGAGAAGAAGGTAGAAGAAGAAAGAAGAAAGAAGAAAGAAGAAAGAAGAGCAAGAGGTAAGTGAAAGCGGCGGCTGAAGAGAGAAAATAAAGGGTTTTTGATTTTTTATTTTATTGTTCTTAAGGCGGTCACGATAAGTTTATGCGGTTTATATTTCATAGGAAAATCATTTTTTAAATATTTTTGAGTTATTTTATATTTTTGTTAATTGTTAAAGGTATCTTTTTTGTTTGTTTCCTTAATAATATTTTTTCTGACTCCTTTATATGGGAAAAATCAATTTGTTCTGCTCTTTATATAATTTGGGAAAATCATTATCTCGCTTTTCTTTTTAAGTCCTCCAAAGACGCACGTATCTGTGAATATGCGTGTCTGTTCAGTGTTCATCTTGAAGACCCAAAAGGAATTTTATTTGAAAAGTTAAATAAAACTACAAAAATGCGATATCTTATTGTTCACAAAAATGGTTACAAATATGTTGACAAACAAAAAGGTTACAAATAATTGCATTCCCTTATATTTTTTCCCTAATCTATTTATTCGAATATCGAGTATTCAATACATTCATATCATGTTAATTCTACTGCTAATGGGTTGTGATATATAATGATAGATATATGCATACATACGTGTCTAAAATATCAGACAAGCACATATGTGGATGTCAAGTCTAGTTAAGCCTTGAGAGTGATACAACAAAAATTAAGGAACTATCACACCTGAAATTGAAAAAGTCAAATAAAGAAATTGAAATTAAGTTAATGGTCAGAATTAGAAAGACATATTATCCTAATTCTCTTTGTTTTATTGACAATTTAAATCGTGAAAAGAATAATTAAAAAAAAAGAAGCAGAGGTGGCGATAGATGAAAAGCCAGACAGATCGACGGGTATAAGAAGAGACAGAAGAGGGTGGGCTGGTGAGATCTGAGCCGTTGAATGAGAAGAGCCTTCTCGTATAATCCTTTTTCTTGGTGGGACGTGGCGGACGCTTTTGCCCCTCCGGTTCACACTCTAACCATCGTGGCTAATCAAGAGCCGTCGAATTAATAGTAGTGTAGGACCCGCTATCAGTCATAGGTCAGCGATTAGCTGCCACGTTACGTAACGTGATCCAAGAAATAATGAAAAGAGTTTGTTTACAGTTGAAACAAATAAAAAATTTAAAAGTAGAGAGGTAACAATTTTTAGTAAGTCAGTGATTGTAATTTGTAGATTGATAGATTCTCTGGTAGAAGTCAAACCATGTAGGCTTAGAGTTAGAGTATCTACTTGTACTTAGACGTCAATATGGGAAATGTATTTTCTCATTGTCTGCATTATGGGAAATGAATAATGATCCATTTCGTTTTTTGTTCTCCTTCATAATATAAGAAAATTATAAACCGAAATTCATACATATTTTCTTCGAAATTCGAATCTATGATGCATGGTGTAGACAAAAATGCGAAAGTAAGAAGATTTATAGTTATAATTATACATTAATTTTGCATAAGAAAGTAACAAAATTATTCATAGGGACTTTATTTTTGCTCATATGTGTTACCGACAATACTAGTATAAATTTCAATTTCGTACTAACATAATGCTTTGTTAAACTAAGCAGTATAGCCATTTTGCCGTTTTATCAATTACAAATCAAGTTGAAGAAATTTTAAAAGGTTAATTACGAGTTGTATTTATCATGCAATCATACATGTATTGAACCAATAAGACATTTTGCAAATGCGGTGATATTAGCTTTTGATGCCGAATAAATAAAATATCTCAACTAATTAAGGAGATATGCATGTAAAAAGAGAAGTGTAATCCACGTCATAAAAATTAGATATGGTCAAAATGTGACCACTAATAGTTAAAAATGTAATTGGGAAATCCGACTAAAGAAAGTGAGTAGAGAGCAGTGATGAGGAAAGTGGAAGATTCATATTTTTGTTTTCCTATCTCTTCAAATTAGGAGGTGGCTTGAAAGCACTTGGCTCACGTGATCTTTGTGTACCGTTTGACCACGTGAGTAAGACCTAACTAAATCGTGCATGAATACTTAAAAATGAAAACCTATTTTAACCCATTTCTTTTATACAGATCGAGTTTAAATCAAAACCTGACCAAGTCGCCACAACACTAATATATAAGTATTGTGGTTCTTTTTAAGTTTGGCACCGCGGACTTTACCGGATTATAGATTGGTGGTTCTGTGTTGCCGGTTTGAAATGAAGAAGCATTAGCTATTATGTGTTGTAGGTCCACAATTTTCAACCTTATATGAATACCCAAATAGTAGATATTTTGTTTAATGAAGATTAGTGTGTGCAATTTGAACGACCAACAGAAAAAAGGGAGGGGGTGCGTGCAATTTGCAGCACGATAAAGAGGATTTAAACCCTTTTTTCTTAAATAGATTTTAATATATGTGGGTGCTTCACTCTTTTTTTGCAACTTGCTTCTGGTTGGAGGAAGAGCCAATGGAAAACATGTTTGGCCCTTAATTAACTACACTCTTCCAAAAGTATATCCTCGAACTTATAAATTACTACAATATATTCATATCTTTTGTGGTTTGATTTATAGATTAGGGCTGAGCTTCGTGATAATAGTAGATGAAATATGATTAGGCAACGCACTTATACTATGAAGTAAGTAGTTTATAAAAATCAATTAATATATTCAGTAAGATCTTATTAAGTCTCTTCGTTTTCCCTATAGATGTTTGTACTTATTAAAATTTCAATTAATAAAATAAATTTTCACTGATTTGCTAAGTGTTTTGGTAATACCTTATAATATGAAAACGGGAAGCTGTATTTTAAATTTTTTAAAAATCAATGAATATAATAGAAAAGATATCGAGTTTTTCTAAAAGAAACTGTCCATGTAAGAAGTTTGATTTGACTCAATGGTAAAATTCTTCAAGTTACCACTTATAGACTCGAACTTTCATGAGATGAGTAAAAACGTGTGGGTAGAAACCACTTAACCTAAATGACAAAAAAGAAAGAAACGTTCTATTAAAAAAAATCGTACGGTTTTAGTTCATTGAATTTTAAAAGGGAACTTTATATATTTTTCTGGACGAATTAGTTCGAAAGTACAATTAATACTAGATATGGAAAGAAAAGTTATTTCAATTTCTCTCTGATTACTAAGCTAAATATAAATAACTTTGAATTAACAAGAAAGCAAAAATTGTCGAATAACATAAAACATCCGTATATATATAGTGCACATTAGGCGTAGACTAACCGTCCGGGATGGTGAGAAGTTATTCGACAGTGAATTATATAAATGCAAAACTGTCATTCTAAAATTCAATTTTTTTTCTCGAAAATTCATATTGATGAAAGGACTCTTCGTATCAGGGTAAGGACAAGGAGATGAATGAGAATTACATAATCTTAGAGAAGTACAAAAGACAGCATTTATCGGAGTTAGGTCCTCGATTTGAGGAAGTAGCTTTTCAAAGGAACCAAGCAACTATACGGACAAGGATAAAAAGATGAAAGTGTACGCCACATGGTATTATTTAGCCGACAAGAGTCACTATCCCACGTGTCTCTTTAACAGTACCAGGTTCATCTCCCCTTTTACAATAACGAACGTAAAACTAATCCGTAATTTAAGAAACTACCATTTCCGGCCACCTTTGCTTCGTCCACAAGTTAGCCACATTTGTATGGGCCGAAACTAGTAGTCGAAAATATCATGTTGTGGGTTTTATAAGCTAAGCCTAGTTCATTGTAAAACTAGTAAGCCTTCATCGACTAGCATTTTCAAAGGCCAGCAATAATATTCCGAGTTTTATTTTTCTGCTAAAAGGCTTTAAATATTGCGAGTTAGATTGGAGTTGTAAGTATAACACGACTAGAATGTTTTCTATGTAACAATCACTATTTTAGAAAAATATCGGACGAGCGTATCAGAAAAAATATCATCCAAAAATAAAAAATCTCGAAGGTGCGTGAAAAGAAAGAAAGGAAAGAATAAAGTGTCTAATCAGTTAATCATATGTATGTAGGGATGGATAATCTAACGAAATCGCTAGAAACGGATCCATAACAAAGATAACCAAATTAACCAATATATGCTTTTGTTGGAGTTACGTTTCAATTATACTTTTACTTGGACCGAACTAAGTCAGCTAACATGGCCAAACCTAACTAAACCCTAAAAGAATCCGAAACTATCCGCCTCTAATCATACGATTTACATTAGTAACATAAGTATAGTAACATGTATGTTGCTGACTTGTACTAGTGCCGTCATTAAATTATTTTTGATATTCAAATCTACATAATACAACCAAACATATTAGTTCCATTTGCATATGCCTATCATCTATATAAGTAATCTGTAATAGTTTTAGCACGTTGGTTGATATCAAAGCCGTGCTTATATGTATTTAAAAGAAACTTTGGTTTAGGACAGTAAATTATTGTTTAAATTATAGGGCAGCAATTTTTTTAAAAAGTTTAATAATCTATTTTTATTGTTAGTTATATTGTATTAATCTCAAATATAAATATAGGTTTATAGAAATTGTTATTAGAAGAAATGACCCAAAAAAATCAAAGAATTAAAGTAAAGAAACAAATAAACTATATAATTTATTTCTTTCCATCTTTCTACTTGCACTGATTTAACACTAAGAAGTTTCTTAGTACAATTTTTTTCTATATTTCTCTGACAATTAGATATAATTAAGATAATTTTTTTTTTTACTTTCTCTTCTTTTTGATTATTTTATTAGTTTTTAATATAGTTTTCATCCATAATTGATAAAAATTAAAATTTTAGAGAAAAAACAAGTTTTAGAACAACAATTGAATTTATTTAGTTTTATTTTATTATTTCTACTATGTAACAATTATATTTATTATTATAAAAAATATAAATGAAGGTATTTTAAAAAAAAAATATTTATGATATCGAATGAGATTGGCACAGCTCTGGTTGGTATAATTGACATCAAGTTTATCGATAAGCAAATTCAGAACAGACTTTCATCGATTAGAGGAGTTGCTGACACGAGCTACGCAAACGGATTGCAAACATGGTTCACTAGTTACAAAACCGATTAGTGAGCTTTCGATAACTTTCAGTTTTTTCAAAACTAAGTTGCATCTGATGTAAACACTGTGTTCTTTTTGAATTAATTTAACATATTATTCAAATAAATATCAGCTTAATTAATTTTAGTACATTTTGTTGTAAAGTAACATAAAAATTTAAGTCATTTTAAAGAGAGCCAATTAGAATTAGATCGATCTATCTACCACGGAAGAAAATTTCTTAGGTCGGCTAACGTTAGATTTTGGGGAGTGTGGGGGACATTTTCCTACAATATGGTACATTCTTATTAGAAAAAAAAAAGTTATCTTAGAATAAAGAGAATACTACTGTTATTAGTATGGCTAAATATTCATGATTTAATTCGCTTCCCTATCTTAATTATGTACGTTTTATTTTCGTCTAACCGGAAAGAATGATTAATCCGGATATGAAATGACAGTATATATGGAATAACTTGTGGAAGTGAACAAAGTGAAGCAATTGGCTAAAATCAAGACTTATAGTCAAGCTTTGATGTGTTTTACTTTTAATTGAGTGAGAATCTTAATTATGGTGTCAGTCCTCTGTTGTTATTTGATGCTCTACTCGTTCCCTTACAGCGCATACAAAGCAGAAAGTTGTTTGTTTCTTTGAATATTTTCTTCCTTTAAGAAAAAAAATGGTTGGAAATTTATATACTATATCTAAAGTGTAGTAAATGAATGGTGAATCTATCTTTGTATCAATAGCATATACATGAGAAGCTGCTCGTGATACTGATAATTATAAATGTTGCTCAAGTTCACGTTTTGAGATTTTTGTTAGATATATATTTTCTTGATTCATGCAAAGTGAAATCCTAATTTTGACTATTGATTCCAAATTTTGAATACCAATATGTGATTCTGAACATTGTATATATATATATATATATATATATTTTGGATAACCGAAGGATCTCATATCAAAGGCCAAAGCCTATAGAAATTTCGTGATATGTAATATTTTTTCAATTATTTTTTCGTTTGTGACAAACACTATTAATAATTTAAAATACCATAAGATGGCCATGTGATTTAGCAACATACTTTCTCGTAATTCCACCACTAAGTAAAACATTGAACCAAAGTCTACGAACGAATACTACTTTTTGAAATGGAGAAATTAATTATATAATTTACCTTTATGTGTTTGCTTGGAAACAATCTCTATAAATGTTTGCATGATCTCGCGAGGAATCGGAATTAAATCGGGGCCCTAATACATTTCTTTGATATATTCCAATGTCAGATTTGGTGGGGAACTAAGCATTTCTCGTTAATGTGATTTTCACAAATCGGTTATTATATTTCAAACCTTTAGTTTCCTCTTCCACCCATGCGTACACTCAACATAAAATGTATGGGGATATGAACAACCAGAGATTTCAAGGTTTTCAATGCGTAATGTGATTTTGTAAGGATTTTTTGTTAACCCAAAGGATATGTCGAAGGTGTGAACAGCGTGATCATCACCAGGACAAAGGACAGAAGTTAACTGAAAAAATTGATATTTCTAAATTTGAGGCATATTATGTTAACTATATATATGTATTAGGTTAAAATAATAAATTAATAACATAATTTCGAACAAAAAAATAAATTTATGCAATGTAATAAGAAAAATAACAACATATTAGAACTGGTTTTATTCGTTCTTCAAATTTCTATCCAAAAAAATAAATCAGGAACTTGCTTTTTTGGCGCATCATAACGATATAACTTTTCGTCGCTTTTAAAATTAATGAAGTTATAGCCAACAAATCCTAACTCACATTGTCACAAATGCACACACATATACACATGGGGACATCAATATCACCCATGTTCATGAAAATTAAGCTTAACATCCATCTAAGTAAATCCCTTTTTAGTTTATAATCTTAACGTAAACACATGCAATTACTGACAAATAAGTCCACGAAGCATCTTCTTTTCTTTCTAGAAACCGTAAAGCAAACTATAACTTCTCTTATCTCTCGAAAACCCTGTCTTTGTAAATAAAACAGTTTCCAATTATTTTCCACCATAAATAAACTCTCACATCCCACCTCCTAAATTCACCACTCCAAATTCCACCTCCATTCCACAAAAACAAAAACATATATACCCATAAACCCTAACCAATCATAACTTCCACCACCAACTCAAAGCTTTCATTTTTCAAAAAAAGAATGTTCAGAAGCAAATCCATAGTCATCAGTTCCAATTCCAACAGCAATACTTCCACCGTCGCTGCCGCAGCAGTAGCTATGAGACGTTCGGCCTCAAACGCTACCGCTGTGGTACACACCAGTGATCTTTACAAAAAACCGCCGCGACCGCGGTCAGTAGAGTTTCCGGCATCTCCTCAACTGATACAAGGCGAAGAGATGGTCCATTTCGGACATCCGCAACACGTGCTGGTCAAAGTTGACTTGCCGGATATCTACACGTGTACAGGCTGCAAGGAAGAAGGAGCAGGGATAAGGTACGTGTGCCAAGAGTGCGATTATCAGCTCCATGAGTTTTGTGCTTTGGCTCCTCCTCTACTCAAGTCACATCCTTTTCACTACCAGCATCAGCTTCTCTTCTTTGCCAAACCAGGTACGCTTCTTTTACCTGTCTCTTCTTCTTTTGTTAAGCCTAGTTTGCTTTGGATAAAATCGAGGGGTGTTTTCGGAATATATTTTGGAAAATGGCTCAAAATTTATGTGTCGATGCTAATGTTATATCCGTTGTTTGTTTTTCAGACCAAGAACTACTCAAAACACTATAACGAAACCCTGATTATTCACGACTAAATATTCATTAGCTTTACATAGAATAATAATCCTTGATTATGGGGTTTAATGGGTATCAAAATTAAAAATTAAAATGTTGGTTACATATCAGAATAGGGAATAAACTTTCTTAAATGCTCAAATCGTATTAGTTTTTGCATATCGAACTTTACCTTATCTCAAAATGTAAAGATCACGGATAAATGAAAAACATCGTGGAATAAAATGAAGTCACCAAAAGTAAAAATACTTATGTAAATACAATGCAGTAAAAAGACTAAACATAAATCTAAACAATGTCGCAATTGGTATCTTACGGATCGGATTTGAACGTCACGTAACTCGTCCGTCTACTATAATGACATCATGGTTTTAAGAGGATGTAATTCGTACGTTTAATTATTTTGTTTTTGACGATGAATAAACAGCGAAAGGAGGGATAATGAAATCGAAGTGCGACGTGTGTGGAAGATCACCAAAAGGTTACACCTTTAGATGCAAGGCTTGCAGCTTCCAAATGCATCCTGGCTGCGCCATGTTATCTCCTTCCCTCTCCTCCTCCTCTCTCCACCACCATCCTCTTCGCCTCCTACCGCCCTCCTCCGCTACTAACACCACAGGGGGAGACCACTCCGGTGCCGCCGGAGGATTCCTCTGCGGGGAATGCAAGAGAGGGAAGCGAGTCGGGAGGGTTTACCGTTGCACCGTCTGCGATTATCACTTGCACGCCGTTTGCGCCAAGGACGCCGCCGTGAACGGTCTCCGCGCAAACGGACACAAAGGGAGGGATAGGTCTCCGGCGGTTTTAGGAACGGCGGCGAGGTTGGCGTCGCAGGTTGTGATTGATTTTCTCGGTGGTATAATGGAAGGTCTCGGTGAAGGTGTTGGTGAAGCTATTTTGGACGGTGTGACTAGAGGCGGTGGTGGCGGTGGTGGCGGGGGAGGAGGGAATGGAGGTGGTACTAGGGTAACTCCACGTGTTAGGGGAGGGTAATTATGGAGTTTGGGAGTTGGTTGATTAACTAATTATGAGTGTTAATATGTATATGGAAATGATTGGTATTGCTCTATGTGTTGATGATGCCTTTGATAAGTACATAGATTAGTGTTGGTGTTTATTGGGTTTGAGTGGGGATATTATTTTGATTAAATTTGGGGATAGAATACTAAGAATAAGAAAAATGTGTATTGTTTAATTAGTTTGGATATATAAGCAATGTTATTTTATAATGTTTGTGTAAGAATTAATTAAGCAGAATATCTTATGTTTCACGAGTAGATACTTAATCATTGTAACTAAATCAAACTCATACAACCTTTTGGTGTGTTTTTGAAAATGTGAAAAGTGTGTTTATAATTTTTTGGCTTTTAATGTTACATAACGATAAATAGAAAGAAAGCCAAAAAGCTAATACCTAATACTAATAGCATCTTGGAACAGAGTAAATCCCATGCAAATCTTTATATAGTGAGAAATGAGACCCACCACTCACATTTTGTTTCAAGTTTATTATATTAGGTTTTCATAAGTTTTTCAACTTTTCATTGATTTAGAAGCCCTATATACAGTATATACATACGCATCAAACTTACATAGAGTTAAATGATATATAAGAACACAAAAAAATCAAGACTTGCTTGCCTTACTGTCATTGGAATAAACTTTTGAAATGTAACGTTAGAAGTTGTTTCATTTTTTCAATTGTCGGCAATTATTTCACTTTCTTTCCCTCTTTCAAGAATTTTCTTTTAAAAAGTGGCTTTAATGTCATCTCCTCTGTAAAACATTTTCTTCTTTTGTTAAATTAAAAACATGTTGTTCAAAAACGTGACTTGTGGTGTTATAAGAAGCTCGACAATCCACGAGGAAATTGTTAAAATGTTATGGCTTTTGGGGCTCTATGTGAAAAAGATTCCTATATTCTCAATCTGTCATTGCTTCCTCCTCTCTTGGTTTCCACCGATCTTATATAGGTTTTAATATGGTAATGCAAATATATAGAGAACAGTATCAAGGAGTACTACTTTTAGAAATTAGATTATTCATTGAAATCATATTCATAAATTTTTAAGCAAATATTTTCAAGACAAATTATTATAATTACAAAAAAGAACTTTTTAGTTGTGATTCTTCTTCATCGTAGACATTCACTTCTTCATTGTTCTTTTTTTTATATTTGGTTTTATATGTTGTATTTGAATTTGCTAGTTATTGATGTATTATGGATGTATAAACTCTTGTATACTATTTGAAAAATGAATGAATGAATCAGATGTTAAAAAAAGTTGTGATTCTTCTGTAGTTATGAAACATATACACAATGAATCTGCTGCTAAGGCTAACTTGGGGCAAAATGCCTGGAGGTTTATTTAGCTCTCTCACTCAAATCGGACTTGATCGAATTTTGTCATCCAGATTTTCTACTCTAGTTCTGAATTCCAAAATAAAAAATAGTAAAATAACTGTGAAAAATACAAATAACTCCAGAAAAAAAACTTAAGTTACAAAGGATATATTAAAACTACAACAACATAAGAACTACTTGTACAAAGTACAGATTTACAAAGGCAGAACCAAGGAAATAAAATAGTAAAATAACTGCTTCGTGTATATGAAACAGCATGTTATTTAGCTTAGTCAAAATAATAATAATAATAATAAAAAGTAAGAAATACACAGAAATACACAATAAATTAGCCAACCAAAATATATATAATTAAAAACAAAACAATAATAATAAAAAACTCCCGACGGAGCACACTTGGTCGTGTTGTCACAGTCAAGTCTCTGAGCTTTTCCTTTATCCGTCGTATCAAAGTCTCTCTTCCTTTTCTTATCTTTTCTTTTTTGAAACCAAAAGAATAATTTACTACTATATATATATATATATTGTTTTCTAGATGGAGCCATAATCCAAACCTCCCCAACTGAAGTGAGATCCTTGTCGGACGATTGGAAAAGCGTGCATGAAAACGCAGACGCAAACGCAGACGGTCGCAACCGCGAGCATCGAGTGAATGATAGGAGTTGGGAACAAACGGTGCGAACCTGAGGCTTTCCTCTGATACTTCAGATCCACCGTCGCACACGTGGCGCAAGACGACTTCTTCACTTCTAAACTCTGTCTCCTACTCAGACCCATTTGGTCAACAATCTCGTCGTCCTCGATGTTTACAGAGACTTGCTTGTTTCTTTTGTCTGCGAGTTTACGAGCCACCAAAGAGTTATACGTATGGTTACTCCTCATTGCAGCGTAGCTGAATGGAGTTTGTCCAGTTGCATCGCAGAGAGTGTTCCAGCTCGATAATCCGATCTGAAACAGAACAAAAAAAAAACGGTTTTCTTCAGTTATAAAGATGGATTTTTCTTTTTCCCTGTATCATGAGACAGGGAGAGAAAGAAACATACCTCTTGTGGATCATTGGTGAGAAGATCAACCATATCATCTGAACCAGATGTGCAAGCAGCCAGATGCAAAGGTGTGATACCGCCAGGTCCGGTTATATTGGGTAAGAAGACGAAGAACTGTCTAGAGGAACCAAGCGTCGTGAGATTAACAGAGTAATGAATGAGAAGTTCCACCATTTTTGAGCTTTTCCTCTTCACAGCACGGTTCAACAATTGAATCTCGGCGAGCATATCCAATGCTTCTCTCTTCAGCTCATCGTTCCCCATAATTCTTTCTGCCAGCATGTCGAGAAGTGTTTTGATGAGAGCACAGTAGTCTCTTTCTACTGAACAGACGAGCAAGAACTTGAAGCGGGAAAGGGCAAAGTCTGATTGTTCTCGAGGCTCAGAGGTCTGGTTCTTCTGGAATAGCCAACCAAGCTCGTTCAAGAAGCACAGAACTTCTTCTCTTGATGTGGGACGGCTATCTGATTCTGAGGTCTGCGATTGTTCTTCTGTCATATCTTTACTTTTGGGGTGAAACTCATCTTCGAGGCGATTTAACTCTTTGCAGATGGATGCATTCGCAATTATCAATGGGAAACTGTCACCCTTGAATCCATTCTCCACCTGTACACATCACTAACGCATTAAACATCTACATCTCTGGATTGACGAAGAAAACTAGCAAGTTCAGTTGAATTTAAGTCATATACCTCAATGAAACAGCGTCCAAGAAAACCAGGATGTGCATTTGGGACTTTGAAACTATTTACATTCAACTCGTCAAAGATGGCTCGTCTACACGCTGCTCCGGCTACCTCCATTGACATGTAGCTACCTTTATGTGTGCAACGAAAACTGGCAGCAGCACAATGATACGTAATTAAGATTAGAAAGGAAGAAGACAAGAGAAATGAGAAATGAAACTTTGAGGTTTCTAAGTTCACCTGATCCCATTATCAGTCAAGCTTCTACCTCTTACTACCAAACGTGTTTCTTCACCAGCTACCACAGCTACAGGTGAGACTGAGATGAGCTCTGGTGAGTTCCACGTCCTCCAAGATTTGCTACAACGAATTCTACCTGTAACCAGTGACATGTTATGATCATAAGTGACATCAAATTGCGATATTAAAGGTGACATACAAGTAAGTACCAGCTCATAAGCACTCACCATTTTTGTGTGATGCGAGCTGTCTGCCTGTGTTGACTAAAAACCTCGCATTTCTCCAGAAGTCTGAATGAGAATCTTGTAACAAAACACCAACCCGTTGCAGCAAGTTTCGCTCGAGCTGAAAAAAAAGAAAAATACCAACTGCTCCTAAGCTGCATGTAGCAAATAGTATAACTCAGTAAACAAACACTTAAAAATACTTTTACTCACTTGTTCCCAGGTCGCAGGTGACATGGCCACATAGACAGATAGAACAACACAGCCAGGCCTGATATAACTCTCCATTTCTGATGGAATGCTCGAAAGCCAGTTATAGATCTGTAATAAAAAGGGAGAGAGAATCACTATAAGGATCCAAACGTAAGCAACCAATAACTTAATATATCAGGGAAGGCTAGATCATGCCCACAAATTATCACCTCGGTTCGTAATGTTCCAGGGAGATGACTTGGATCTTTATCAAGTAGTTTGAAGGCTATCTTTCCTGTGCGGTCCTGTATCAATGCCATCGAAAACAAAACCATAAGCCGCTTGTTTTACTTTAAACACACAGAAATGCTAAAGAGGAGTGTACAAGCTGCAAACCTGAGCATCAGAGTTTAAGCTAGGAGGAGAGTAGTCAGAACCAGAAGAAGCATAACCAGACTGTTGTCCGAATCCTTTAAAGTTAGGATTTGCAGATCCTCTATTTGATGCACCAAAGAGCTCAAGAGGCAAGCAACCCCCACTCCTGTGGCTTGGGCTTGTGTTTTTGTGATTCTTAGACCTCATGGTTTCAGGGGACGTCTGCAATGGGAATAACTCCTGCATGACCGGAGACGAAGATGGCGATCTATCCTCGACAGGGTTACTGCTGGCAGAAGAATAATACTTTCTCGAGGATGCCACGGTTGGTCGACTCTCATCCTCAGGTGAGGAGGTGAATAGTTGTAGAGACAAGCTAGACCTGTCTTGAGCATGTGAATCTGAATCCTGAGAAGGAGATTGGTTACTGCTACTGCTCCTCTCTCCCCCAACAGCTCTCTTTTCCAAATTGGTTGTAGCAACGTGGTCATAAGAAGATAACTTAGCCTTGTCACCGTCTTTGTTACCAAACCCACCTTGAGACAATATGGCTAGCGCATCAGGCGAAGATGCGCCTAACGTCGCCGAAAGCACAGCAAGCAAATCCATGGTAGAAGGAGAAGCCCCATTCGTATCATTTTGAGGGTTCACCATTGGGTGATCCATATTTTTCCTGGCTAGACTTCCAATATTGTTCAGCTTAGAGACGAGATCCATAGGCAAAGGCAACGCATTTATCTTGTTAAGTATCTGAAGAAGCTGCTCTCTGTCAGGCGCAGCTGGAGACCCCATTGGCTTTACCTCATTCTTACCTGCACATCACAGACCACAGATCTGTTAATAAAACATTCCAAACAGAGTAGCAGTAGCTGTAAGCCATAAGATCCATATAGTAAGTACCTTGTGCACAAGCTAATGCCGTTAACAAAGCGATAAGATCCATATTGGTGTTAGAGGTATCATCGCGGTTCCCCGGAATTACAACCCCAGACGCAATCTCCTCTGGCTGAGTTGTTTTCCTCCTCCGTCTGTTGTGGCCAGCCAATCTACGCCTACAGCTTCTTTTTCCTTCATCAAACTCAGAAAGAAGATGAAACCTGCAAAAGAAAACTCATTTTAATGCCAAAGAGAACCATTTACAGAAGAAGAAGAAGAAAAAAAACAATTTGATTCATTTTCTACCTGCTGCACTGTTGGCAGAACCTCTGCATCTGTTTCCCAACGAGAGCTTTAGTAGCTTTGCTATGAACTTCACACACTTTGTGCCTTCTATGGTAGTCCTTAGCATGAGACAAATCTTGAGTACAGTTATCCACCTGACACATCGGATAGTTCCCTCCGCCTCCCGGAGATCCAGACCGAACCTTCTTGCTTGGTCTAGCCGCCTGCGCCGTGTCTTCCAGACAACTCCCCAGATTCAAATCAAGACCCTTTTCTTCTTCTCCTTCTTTCGCTCCACCTTTATTCCGCGAAGTCAAATCAAACTGTGTGTCGTTCCCAAGCCGGAGGCGAACCTCCGCGTCCACCGGTTTAGCTTCGAATCTCCGGCTATCCCAATCCCACATGTTAGAGTTCCACTCGTCCCTACGCTGCGGCTGCGGCTGAGATGGAGCCAGACGATTCGACATCTGGTAACAGAGATTGCGTTTTCTCCCCATCGGAGAAAGCGATTGATGAATGAAAATCGGAGCAGCCACCTGAGCGCCTACTTCATCCATAGCACACCAAATTACTCAACCCTCCAGAGATAGATTAGATCAGGTGGAAGAAGATTCAGTTGCAGAATCAATTCTACATGAACATCTCCAGTGAATCTATCAGAGGTACCAACTCATTTCTACTGCAGCAAACCCAAATTCTGATGCAGAATCGTAAGCTTCAAAAGCTTCAAGCTTCAACTCTTCCTCAATCCAACGAAAGCTCGACACGAATTTGGTATTAAACGACCCGAAATCAAATGTAAAAAACAACCCAGAACTTCTTCAGATTCGGAACAATATCAAAAACGAATCTTCAACTTGTAGAGTTGCCGATCCAAATCCAGGAAACAAGAGAAAAAGATTAGATTTTTATTCACCAGCAGCTTCTCTCTCTCTTAGACAGACCACCTTCAAACAAAAATATCGAATTTCTCCTTCTTCGTCTTCCTCTTCTCGTTAAGCTTTTCCTTGTTCTGCTCATGTCTTCAAGTCCTTCCCTTGTACGATAACTTTATTTTCTTATTTGTTTTCTACGGTGGTGGCACATACTGTAAATTTTAAGGGGTAACGAGGGCGATTCTATAACACTATTCGAGCCGCCCATATGAGAGATAATAATATTTGAAGGATCCGAGACACTTCCATTTTTTTTTTTTTTTGCTTCATTTGTTAAAAAGTTTTTCATCACTGTTTTTCTTATGTTCTCTTACCCTTGATTAACGGATCCATTACTTTCACACCTTTACGTGTTTATTAAAGAGTTTTTTTTGTAAAACAGCACATACACTTGTTAAAAAAAGTTGTGTGGCTTATGAAATTATGATCATTATGATATTGAAAGATTATGGTTTTCATAAATTATATACTATTGTTTTGTGTAAGTTAACTTTTTATATGTAAGTAGATTTTCTTTGACAAAAAGATACCCTATGTATGTATATATACGTTGATTGATGTACTATGTATATACAGGTATACAATCAATGTGAAATTGATTTGGTGGAAACTGAAACTTATAATAAGAGTTTTAGTTTTGTTATGCTTTTTTTTATAACAATGAAAACAAAATTCGAACACGTTAACACAAAAATAGTAGAAGAACAAAATTTACAAAAGCTAGCAAGATTACTCACAAAATTGTAGTATGAATAGATTGATATTGATTACGGATAATAATAATCAAATGTGAATGAAACTAATAAACCTAAAACTCCAATACATATTATTTGAGAAGTAATATTATTGAAAATTGCTTACTTGTCAACACTACAATTAAAGTTAGTGTTTTTAATTGATGACATGTAAATGTGACATGTCAAACTTCCTAAAATAAACGAAATGTTTTGATTGGTTGAATTGAAATTATAAAAATTATAGAATTAAAACATAAATAAACTAAATTATATTTATAATATTAAAATTAACAAATTTAAATTAACAGAAAATAAAAACTATTATAATTTTAATTTTTTACATATATTCATAATTTCATAAAAAATAATTACGAAATTTTTTCAACAATATATATATATATATTATAATTTCATATAAAAATAAAAAAAAATTAAATTATCCAATAGAATAGTAAAAATTCTATTTATTAATAATACTTTAAGTATGATATATTTTTATTTCGGAGAGTTATTAATTAAATCTAAAAAAGTTTTAAATAAACAAATTATTAAATAATACAATTTTAAATAATACAATCATGATAAAAAATAATTTAAAGAATAAAATGTTAAAAATAATAAAAATAAATAACTTTTATTGATTTTTTAAAAATAAAAAAAAATATTTTCAAACCAATATTTACTAAATGAATAAAGTATATACTAATTATTATTTTATAATATTAATAGGACCATATATTTTTCTATAACTTTTATCATCTTTTTATTATTGTTTTCTAAAATGTGCATAACTTATGTTACCATCTCATCTTATCTCTTATCATATTTTAAATAAAAATAAAATTTTATATCATATTAATATATATACATAATTTTGTTTTCATTGTATATCAAAATTTTGAGATCATAAATGAATTGAAAAATAACCGAACGAAAGAATAAATTATAATAAGAATAAACAATATGAATAAGAGATAAAAATAGAAGTATATAAAAAAAAGTTGCTCGCCCTTTGTTTTACAAAGTCACTTAAAAAAATTTTAACACGTAAGAGTAACCCTAATGGAGAACTTTGGGTGTTTAAAACAAAAAATCTTAATAATAAAAATGAATAAAAAAATAGTGAAAGGGTCTTAAAAATAGACACAGTGTCTAAAATATGATACTTTTGTTGAGCTAAGACACCCAATGTCTAAAATAAATAATAAAATATTTTTAAGACATTCTTAATAAGTTCTCCATTGGGGTTGGTCGTCATATTTTAATTTTTTTACAAATACGCGTACATATATAAATATTAGTTGTACATTAGTTAAAGTCACATACGAACTTTTTCGTGCATGTATTTTGTTAAGATTGGTTACAGTCTAATTTTTATTTTAATTATTATCCAATTTATATTTTAAAAAAAATCTTTATTATTCTAAGTGTAGTGAAGTGATTGGTATGTCCGCACATGCGTGTCAACCATCTATCCACTCTTAGAAATAAATAAAAATGGTAAAAATTATTTCAGTTTAATTTGCAATAAATCAAGAAAAATATATATATTTAAAATATATTATATATGTATTTACAAACTCATATTATGTAAGACGCAAAAAAGCATATTGTAGATTGTGTAAGGAGAAATAAAGCATATTAATATTATAAGAATTTAATTATTATTTAACATAACTTTTATATTTGTGATTATATACTATTACAAGCATTATAAAAATAAAAGTAATAAAATACATTGATTTCAGAAAAAAAGTTTATGAAATATTAAAGTAATATATATATAAACATATAAATATTTAAAATTTAAATATTACAATTAATTATATATATCAAAAAAATTATATTCGCATATATGTAGAGACCAACTACCTAGCAGAGAATTACAATCAAAGTCATTTTGATTGTACTGTATATATTAAACCATATTTTAAGATGGGTCCCACGAGCCAACTATTTCATAGTATATAACTCTCGCACCATGTTATATTGCTACATTTATTCAATTGAAGTACGATAGTTATAAACATGTAACATGCCTAAGTGATGAGTGATAACGAAACTTACGTAGACTTTTCTTTTGAGGCATGGAGCTCCCTAACAAATTTCGCCTAACAAATTGTCTAGTCGATTACAGAATTTGAAATGTACATGGCCTTATCTAATAAGAAGGATATTCATTTTATTAATCTTATCAAGTGGTAATTAGTTAGTGATTTCAGTTTGGTTAAAGATTTGTCCCAATCCCATCTAAATATAAAATTATCTAATTATCATTTCCAGTAATTATCCCTGCCTCGCGTCTCCTTGCACCGGTTTCTACTCGGAGTATAAAATCTCGACACCGCGGTACAGAGGAGAAGCCGCCGTCGTCGTCGTCGTCATCAGTTCATCACGTTAAGGTAAAGATAAAAACAATTCCACCAAAATCCTGTCGATAAGGGAAAAGACTAAACTACCCCATACGTTTTCTGAATAATTACGAAGGTAGCCTTTTCTCATGACATTGAAACAGATTGGACAAGACAAGAGATACAGAGACCACACACCTCACACACGTACGGGGTTTTATGTTGCGTCCCTACGCGCGTGCAAGTGGTTCCGTTGTCCTTCTTCTTCTCTTCTTATTCCAGAAAACGCCGTTGTTATCAAAATCGTTATTAATGAATTTTAGCACTATTCAAATCTATCTTTGTTAATCGTGTCTATTCTTAATCATAATGTGTCAACTTTTTATTCGTTCTACATCGATTCCCATACCAACGCTATATAGTGTTAATCTACATATGCCAAGAGTTTCAATCGGTGACTGTGTGTTCAAAAGAAAATCAAGAGACTTATGAGTCTTAGATTAAGAATAAAAGATGTAGAGAATGAACTGTAAAAGTTGGTGGTATGAGTAGAAGCTAATAACTATAAGAATTATTATGTTAAAAAAAACCAAAACTATAAGAATTATTGATTTAACTAAAGTATAAAACATACATATTCATACTCATATTGTAAGATAATTAATATATATATATATTCAGTTACTAAAGAAAGTGGAATTAAATATTTCTCTAATAATATCATCATTTTGTAAGCCAAATGTTAACTTTTGATGGAAGATATATTATGTATACTATGTTCGAAAAATGCATATATAAATAATACTAATAACAAGATAATGGGAAAAGGCGAAAGGGAAATAGCTGTGAAGTTGGTACGGAAAGACGAGTGCAACGGATTGGACCATATAGTCTCACTAATCAATATGTTGTCCAATCTCCATTGTTGTTGATACTACTGTGGTACTTGCTGATTTTTCTCTTTTTACTATTTGTTTTTGTTTTTACGTATTTATGTTGTATGACAAACGTTGAATTCGAGCAGCCTAGTTTATTTTAAATGTATAACTTTAGACTTTCAAGTTGGTACTTGGAAGTATTAGCTAGAAAGGGTTATGGAAGTAATCAAGAAAAAAAAGTCATAGCTAACAATATTACTAAACACCATTTAAAAAAAAAAATATGATTGACCCTATCATAAACTTTTGTCGATTGATGCAACACTAATGGAACATGCATGACAGGTTTTGATCATGCCTAAAGAAGCTATTTCAGTATAATAAATTTTGCATTTTCTCGGTTCGACTTCTAGTGTTAAATGAATAATGCACTCCTGATAATAAAATGTTATATATTTTGTTTGTTAGCTGCTTGGTTAACCGCATACTATGAAGTTGTTAATTTGGTTTCAACAGTAGGCTTACAGAATTTTGAACACACTGACTAATAATTTCATTGTGGCAATATTATTTGATGTAAATAATTGATCTGAGACGACTGTATTTTATGTGTCGCCCGACAAATTCTCTTCCCAACATTTTCTGGAACAAATGTGTTTTTTCTTTGTTTACACACATACTTACATACACGTATGTATAGATCGATGTAGCTATATGTTTGTATTCTTGGTTTACTTTCTATACCAAACTCTTATATATATACAGACCATTTAATATCATAAGATGCAGGACTTGACTTTATTATATTCGATATAAACCATACAAAACTGAAACCAAATAAAAATAATATATAATCTGATGGATAGTGTTTAGTTGAAAGCTAACAACTGAAATGAACAAAAATGATTTGAATCCAACCGAATGATTGAAAAATATTTGAGCAATTCTTATTTTACTACATGCACTTAATAAGTATAATATGAAAATTATGTGTGGTCATTTTTTATAGTGTGATACGAAAGCCTTTTTAGTTCAGTTAGGTAAGATGTGGGTGGGTTAATAAGCAAATTTTACGATCAAACCTACTCGAGCAACCGAATGTAACCACGCAGAGGCACATATCGTTAAAACGAAAGATAGTACACAAATGTCACATGGTGGTCCACAAAAGCCCAATCACAGATCAATCGTGCAATGTATTGAGCCTCATCTCTCAACATCCTCATGCGACATGCTTCTTACCACGAACAGCGGCGGATTTTTTTTTTTTTTTTTTGATTTGTCATATCAATAAAGAATTAACCTGTGTATGTTTAATAATTAATACCATCTCCATATATTCTATGCTAAAGATTCATACAATCATTGGAATTTTTTTTTTATCCGTGATTACGTTTATAAATTTTACGAGTAAAACTTTAAAATAAATCAAAAGGAACATTTACGTTTTGAGAATAAACATCTAATAATGCATACGACGTACGTTAGAAGAAGAAATTGAATGAGTAACTCTTTCGTACAGATTATTTAACCATTCTGTTTGAATTTGGAGTGTAAGGTTCATTGGACGTGGTCGTGACTCACGAGTATATATATAAGTACAATTATTTTCCATTATCATGACTTATTTCAACTCACTGTTTTGTGATGTGAAACTTATGATATGACAAGTTCCATTTAATTAATGATAAACATATAAATAAATAATTATAGAAAGCCTATTAAGTGCAATATAAATGCAATGAGTGATTAGTATTATGTCTTTTTACATTTTTAAAATATTTATTATTTTCATATAAATTACTATTGTTTTTTTTGTTTCAACACAAATTATGATTCTTCAGAGATAATATTTTTGGTTGACAAAGGATATACATATTGCTTTCCATGTCAACTAGAAGAGAGCGATGAAAGAATGATATGAAAAGGATCATGAGGGAGATATATATCCCACGTGTCCTGTGAAAACTAAGAAGATTCGGCTGAGTTTGAACGCAACTATTTGTCTAATCTTAATTTCAACATATCTGTTTTATATTTATTACTTGCGAGTCCACGAATTTTCATATTACAAAACTAACTATTTTATGCTTAGTAATTACAGTTTGTGCGTCATGGGAAGGAATTGCAATTTAGAAGATGTTGAGTCATTTGAGTCAAATATTCGGATACTATTGTTTTGTTCCTCAGAATATTATGTACTGTATGTGAAATTGTGAAAACAAAGAATTTATGTCACATTTAAAGAAGATGATATATAACGATTTTTGGGTTATTGGACACGCAATATCCAATTGCTCATGTCTTTTTTCCTTCTCCTAGTTATAGTTTTGATCTTTTTTGCCAACGGAAAGTTTCTAAAAGGTGTTAGTTTCATGTAAACTGTAATACAATACAGTTTTTCAAAGTGCTCGATACTATTGTTTTTACATATATATATCTACATTTTTATAGTGTAAAAAAAAACATAAGAAGAAGAGGTGGTGTCCTCTTCTTACAGGCAAGCCAAACAAATGTAAAATGGATTTTGTGTTTGTGAGATATTTATGGCCATATCATCTCACTAGTGTGAAAGATTCAGTTTATGGCCATATCATCTCACTAGTGTGAAAGATTCAGTTTAAGGTTTCAGCCACTAGATTCCATGGTACTTCAATCATACTCATCTTTTCGGATCTGACATGGGAGCTCATCACGTTCAAGAGAGGCACGGTAAATACACGACCCCGTTAATGCATCGTCCAGAGCTTGGACACGCAGCAGAGACTTCACAGCATATTTCGCAGGCAGCCTTGAGAGTCTTTCAATGATGATCTTGATAATTTATAATTTATTATGTTGCTTTTGATGATGATAATGATGTCTTTTAATTTCCTCTCTCAAACTCTTTTTTCCTTCTAAGAAGTCTTAAGTTCAAAAGTTGTAGATATTTTTACTTTTACAGAGCTCGGTAATAAAAGAAGGGAACACGTTATTGCTTTATAATAATAAATATATTATGGTATAAAAAAAAAAAAAAAAAAACTGAAATCGTGTTTCTTAGACATATACCCAGCAAGCAAAACCAATCTAATGTCTGTCGTCCGTGTGAATTCAATGAATCAGAGCTTCCACTTTTAAGAAAAGAAAGAAACCAAAAAAAAAAGCACCAAACACAATCCAAACTAAATTAAGATGAGGAGCCAAAAAAAAACTTACTATAAAAAGTAGCACAAAGGGAAAGTGTATTGTGAGTGTGTGCCGCCACGTCTTCATTGCTCTTTTATATAAACCAGAGATTTGCGGAAGAGAAGGAGAGATTGGCGTTACCCAGAAGGAACAATGCGAGAACGACCAGAACCAAGAGTCCGATCCACATCCATTGTCGCAGTTTTCTCTTGCTTCCTCGGTTCCTTAGAGGCAGAGGAATCGATTTTGACTTGTTTTGCTTCAGAAACTGTGATGATGGCTTGTGGGATTTCTTGCTTTGTTGACTCTCCTCCGCGCTTTGCTTCTTTGGAATTTCAATCTCCCTTGGGGTTTCGATTACAGTTTCTGATGTCTCAACTGGGTTTTCTCCTGTCTCTTCTGATGTAATAACCCCCTTTCTTCTCTCCTTCTTCCTTAGTTTCTTTTCTCGTTCCTACAACACAATAGAGAGAATTGTTCATCAGATCAATGGTAATGCTAATCATTCTTTGGGATCATGGCATGAGAAATGTGCTTTTATATTTGTGAATAGCTTACCTTCTCCCTTTCTTCAGCTTCCTTCTGAGCCTTGAGAGCAGCTCTTGCTTTTGCCTTTTCTTCTCTCTTCTTCTTCCTCTCCATTGCTTCTTTCGCTTTTGCTATCTCCTCCAACCGATGCTGCTCCTTCACCTTCGCTGCTTCCTTTTGTTTTCTCTTCTCCTCTTCTTTCTTAATCAACTCCTCTTCCTCTTTAGTTAACTTAGGTGGCTCTTCTTCTTCCTTTGTTGCCGGCTTCTCTGTCTCCTCTTTTTCAGAAACCACTTCCTTGACAATCGGTGGAGGCTGGTCTGGCTTGACGGTCTTTTTAGTTTTAGCGGCCTGACTCTTCTGCTCGGCGGGCTTCACAACAGGTTTCGCAACAGCCTTTTCGCTGCTTTCAACTTTTGAACCTTCATATTTAACAACCTTCTCTTGTTGTGCTGACACTGGTGGAGCTGTCTCATGTTTCTCTGCTCTGTCACTTGAAGTTCTAAATTTGTCCGTTCTTGTAGCATAAGTGATCCGGGGTGGTTCCTCGTCAGGGCCAAGAGAGCGTCCATCTAGGGTTCCTAGTCTTCTAAAGGTACTCCTTGTGTTGCATCTTACATAGTAGTTACGGAACTCCTCGTTGTTGTTCCACATATTCATGAAATTCTCCACCTGTTTAAAGACTATAATGAGTGCAAAATCGACACACAGGTCTTAAAATCATTGTAGAAACTTGGCTTTTGCTTATACCTGGTCAGAACAAAGGCTTTGCAGGGCTGCTCTGTCTTTCTTCAAAGCCATTTCACTTGCTGCCCTTGAATCGTCTCTGTACTTGAAGAAATATTTGTTCTGCAATACGGCAAAAAATTTACAAAAGAGAAGGATTAATCTAAAACATAGATTCAAGCATTTGTAAGTTTATGTCCGGTTCCAGATGCTCTTTGGGTACCTTTTCTCGTTGTTGTTTCTTCAAATTTTGCAGGTGCGCAAATGCTTCCTGTCGAACAGCATCAGCAGCTCTAAACTGTTCTTGAAGTTTATTCTGCACTTCCCATTCCTCATCACACTTCTTTTTAGCAGCTTTTGCGACTGCTTCGACTTTTGAGAGATCGCTTCTGAGCACGTCTAGTTCCTTCCTCAACACCTGTTGTCACCAGAAACGTCACATAATGCACTGTGTAAATGATATTCGCAAAGAAAGGATGACGCGACTAAGTCATCCTAATGGACGTTATGTATATAGAAGGAAATAAAGTCCTTTCAACCACAAAATAGGTTGAATCAATGTAGAGAGACAAGAACGGGTATCAACTAAAAAAATCCATACTTCGAAATTGTGTAGAGAGTAGTGTACCTTCAAACGCTCTTCTGTTTTCTCTTTATCATCTAATGCTTGCTTAACTTCATCCTTGGTACCCATACTCGAAGATATCTGACCACGGAGTTGCTTCAACTGCTTTATTTCACGAATGAATCCTTTTTCTTCACTCAGAGATAAAGTTTCATGCTGTATCATGTGTTCCATATTAAGCACCTGATTGGAGGCAGAGAAATGAGATAGATTAGCATAATCAAGTTTGACAAGCAAATGACTTGAACAAGGCTTCAAAAAAATGTGATCACAGGGAGCCTCACCCTCGAATCAATATCGTCAATAGACGCAGCACTCTTAACCCGGCTAATCACGGACTGAAGGGCCTCAATTTCCTGCCGTTTTGAATGCATTGCTTTTCTTGCAGATCTCTCTTCTGCCAACGCCGCCTTGTAACTGATATCATAGTCCTTGCATGTTGCCTAGAAATAACAATTTCAACAAATGTCAGAGCCAAATTTAGTATAAGATGATTTGCCTTATGACATATCCCAAAAGCATCTCTTACGCGTATCTTTTGGATGTCCGCTCTAAGAGCATCCCGACTCTGTGTTTTTTGATCAACCTGCGCTTCAGCATGCTTGAGTTGCTCCGCTAACTTTTCGTCATCATATCTTGGAACTCTTGGCAGAAAGTAAAACGGTCTTCTCTCTATCTCTGCCACTATATTGTGTCCTTCAGAGCCTTCTACTTTATCATCTGTTCTAGCAGCAGCATCTCCTGAACACCACAATTTAGACATACAGTCAACTCCAACTTTCTCATCTTTAACAAGAGAAGTACATAGCCTAATTTCAGTTTCAATTAACTTATTACCTTCTTTGTTTTCAGCAGGTTGGCTGTCCACGCAGTCTTTGGCACCTTTATGGATGGTATCAGTAGATGTAGCCACTTTAGACTCAAGATCCTGTGCACAGGTCTCCGTTTCAGATGCAACTGAGGCATTAGCGCCACTTGCTTCCTCCCTAGAATCTTCCTCTTCGCTTACCTTTACTATATCATTGATGACAAGAGGAGATTTTGTGCTGTCAAAGCTCTTAGAATTGGAATCGACTTCTTCATCTGTCTTTATCACAGATCTTTCTTTGATGTCCGATTTTTCCACCTCAGAAACTTCTTCAGATGGTGTATCCTCACACACATCAACAGGAGTGGTCTTCGTCACATTCACTTCTGAACCACCATTGTCTTCTCTATTTATTTCACCATCTACAATAGCGGATGCAACAACATGAGGTTCAGTGCTTTCTTTAACCGATTGCTCAGCTTCAGATTTCGTCGCAATAGTGCCCGTTTCGTCAGCCGCTTCTTCTGCTGAGCTTTCTGCCAATTCAGAGACAGCGGTTTTGGAATCCAACAAGCTCGATGGTCCGTTGATGTTTGTAGAGATAGCCTCAGCACTCTCATGTGATACATTCCCAGTAAGATCCCCTGTAGGTGACTCTTTCGCTTCCTCAGCAGAGGTTAGACAAACATCACCACCAATAGTTAAGTTGTTTTCTTGAACTTTCTCAATTGGAGCATGTTTCTCATTCACGTCCGTAACTTCTTCCGACTGAGCACTACAATCATCTTGAATCTTCTGGTTCGTGTCAACTCCATGATCCTCTGAGAAACCTTGACTCTTGGTATCATCGTTTAGAATTACACTTGTGTCATTCCCAGAAGGCGCATCGTCATGGGATGGAAGGTTTTCAACAATCTCAGGCACCTCATCACGTTCTGATTCCTGCTGGTTGGTACAAGACAAGCCATCAGAAACAAGAGCCTCTGAATCACTATCTTTGGCGGTAATAACAGCATCACCGCTCTCTTCTAAAGCAGGAGCGTCAAGAATTTCCTGAACTTCAGATGCTATGTGTTGTTCTCCATCTTGATCACAAGCAGGTTCGCTGGCATCTTGAGATTCTTGATGAGTATCCATACTCTCATCAGACACGGAGGCATCAGCAGCTCCAGTTTCAGATTGCAACTTGCTGTTTTCAACAAAATCAATGTCCTGAATCGCTTCAGATTCCGATATGCTATTACCATTTTCATCAACACCATCTTTGCCAGAAGTGTGGGATTCCAAGCTGACGGCAGTGAGAGTTTGACTCTCAGCCGGGACATCACCACTTACCTCCGGTACAGTAGCATCCACGGTTCCAGAGTCTGGCAACACATCACCATCGGAAGCATTGACCTTTTCCACCTCTGAAGTGAATGGAGCATCAACAGTTTTCTCCAACTCAGATTCTAATTGAGGGTGACCGTTTTCAACAGAAACAGAGTCCAAAACTGCTACAGATTCTGATCCAGTGCGATCATTCACAGATTCAGATCCATTGATGGTAAAAGCTGGATCTGTTAGCGTAGGTTGTCCCAAAACCTTAGCGCTCACCAACTCGGACTCACTTCCCTCAGCTGAATCAACTGGGTGCTTTGCCACATCCTCCTGTTGTAGATCTTCAGAAACATCCACATCTAGATCAGATTTTTCTTGCGGTTCGATCCCGTCCCCTTGAGGTTCCTCCACATCTGTTTTACTCTCAGATTCGATCTTATCCAGCAAATCCGAAAGATCCTCCGCGTTATTCTTTTGCGGATCCCTGGGTCCAACTTCAGAATCCTCAACTTGTTCCACTTCCTCTGTAGATTCCAATTTACCATCATTCCCAATTTCAAGATGCCCATTCCCAGGATGCTTCTGGTCGACACTTTTTTCAAGAGGATCCTCGATTTCTGACCCAGCGACTTCCTCTGGTCCATCAATTGCACTTTCATTTTCAGTCTTTTCCAGGGTTTGACTATCTTGGGAGACTCCCAAAACATCATCGGCGGAACTTATCGCCTCCCCGGAATCCAGATCCTTTTGATCTTTCTCCACATTGGCATCAGCCGGCTTGAGAGAACCAGAATCATCTCCCACGGTGTCGTTTTCGGTTATGAAAACGTAGGAGCCATCGGTATCCTCCTTGTCGTTCCCGTTGCCATTATTGCCGCCATGGCTGATCCCATTCCCAACGTCCTCTTTGGTGGCGGGAACTACTGTCTCCTGTTTATTCTCAGTCGCATTCTCGATACCAACCTTCACCGACACCTCTCCTTGGTCTCTCTCCACCTCCACCGGCATTTTCACAGCTTCCACCGACGAATCACGGACGAGAAAAGCTAATCACACGCGTATGAATAAATCAGATCAAACGAAATTGCAACCAGATCTAGCAAAAATTACCGGAAAATACGCGTCACGAAATCGACCAGAAAACAAACCGACATGGACGGAGATCAGAGTAAGTTCCCGGAAAAACCGATTCAACTAACCTCGAGATCAGGCTTGTCGCCGGAGATTTTGAATGCTGAGAGAGTCGGATCGGCGGTTGAGACAATGCCGGCGATTGATATCGAATAATTTTTGTGAAATTTTGGAGCTAGCAAGAGAGTTCGACGAGAGAGAAGCAAGAGAGAGAGAGAGAGAGATGAAGAAGAAAACAGCTGGCTCAAGGGAGGGGAATAAGGACGAGAAGGGAACGTCGAGAAGCCTCTTTGCTGAACAGAGGGCTTCTTTAACCAGATTTTGAGTTTAATTTTGTTATCTTTCTATTTCTCAATTAACCAATGGCCTTTGTGTTTTTCGCATTTGAATTAGCAAAAGGGGAAGGACTAAAGCAGTTTAATTACTACTGTCGTAGTTTTTTAACTTATAAAATTAATAGATATTTTGGAAATATTAAAATTAATAGATATAGCGTAGATAATACTATAAGTATAACTACGTAAATTTGGATATACCTTAATCCAAATACTGTTAAGATTGATAACTTCAAGATCTATTTATGATTATCATATGATAATTACTACTATTAAAAAGATGTTTTAGATGAATATGAAGTTTATCCAAATTATTATTATTGAAAAATAGTAAGATTTGAATTTTAATTATTTATAATTATCTAAAAATTTGATGGAAAAAAACTTTGATATTTATGAGGTTTTTGATAACAACATTATCATCGTGATATCATAAATTGTCTTATTTTGTACAATCGGATAATGCAATGATTTTTTTAAAAAAAAGGTGAAAAAGAGAATTCAACTAGGAAACGTAATCAGAAATTTTTATTTTCGTATGATAAAAGTGCAATTATCTGTCCAACTAATAAAATTAATGTACTAGAAGATCATATAACAACCAAAAAGAACGGTGTACAGAGTAAATATAATCTTGCACTGTAATTTTTCCAGTGCAGTAGTTATTTTGGGTAAAAATCATCAACCTCAACCTATCAAGCAACTTTTTTTTTTTTTAAATGACTTGTTAAACTGTCTACATATATGTATTAATAAAATATTCGCAAGATAAGTATTTGCAAGTGTTGAAAATTTCTTATGGCTATAAGAAAAATTATAAAAAAATGATTAAATAAAATTTCTTACAGTCACAACACGAATTAATTGGTTTCAGAAAAATTATAAAAAAATAGGAAAATATGAGATTAAAATGCTGAAAAACATGATGCTCTTATGTGAGTTTTAAATGTGATTTTAATATGAATTTTTTTACCTGTGGGGTCTACTTAATAGGATGACACACAACTTTACATCACCCGTAACTATGTTTTTGTCTACAAGTTATATCTTTTGGTGTGCCTTGCGGTAATATATCATTCATTTATTCGTGGTTTAATTAACACTTTTATAATAATTAGCTGGACTTCGAGAAGAAAAATGATCATCGTAGTAAAGAAAAGATTACAAATTACCATTATTTATAATGTTCGGGTTGGGTCGGATAAAGCCGCGCGTGAGGGGCGATGGGACCCGCTGTTACCAAAACGGATATGCGCTTTCTGTTTCCACACGGAAAACGACGTTCTTCTTCTTAGGAGTTACAGACTCTCTCTCGCTCATGAATTATTTGATTGCTGATGTTTCCCAAAACAAAATTATAATACTCTTTTTTTTTAAAATTTCCTTTATCGGTTATTGCTTTTTTAATAATTCAACTATATTTTGATACTTTTAAAAGAAAAAATGTTCTATATCATTCATGGTCCATTCTATTTAAATAATCTACATTGAAACTGCATATGGCAACATACTTTAAATGTAGGTGCCAAATTATGATAAATAGCCTAACCATTGAATTCCTAGGCATTTAATTAATGGTCATAATAATATCATTCATGGTCCATCCTATTTTCAAATAGGCTGTAGATGGGAATTTTTCCTTTTCAACCTCGCTTTGGAAAACGATGTGCTTACTAAAACTATAACAATATAAACTATGGACATACGGTGGTAAAATACAATTCATATACACCAGCCACATTATGACACTTAGTCTGCTAATGTATTATTATGACGCTAATCTTTAGTTAAAAAAACAAAACATTATGACGCTAGCTTGTTTAATTTTGGCTATTTGATAGTTGACGAACAAACAAATCTTATTCGTACATAACTATAGAATTGAAAAACACGTTTACGGATACGACTTGGTACTCGCTATTACTAGTTTGGTAGATTTAGATTGACAATAAAGTGAGTAGCCGGTAAAATTAAACAATGTACCAACTTTAGTTAATTGGTCAAAGAGACAGCTATACAGAAATAATAATTTAGCATGTGCTATATAGTAATAGTAATACAGGATCAATAGCTGAAATGACACTTTTGGAGAAAAACTAATCTCATATGGTTTTATTTATAATATATTTTTGTTTTTTTGTTTTAAATCAAAACGTAAGAAATATCTTTTAAATCCTTATTGAATTAGAAATATTTCACAGCTCAACCATTTAAACTCTCTAATTCAACTAGAATCTATTTATTTTTTTTCTTTCTTTTAATTATTATCTCATCTTCTTCGTCGGTTCTTATCTATTTTTTTTTTCATTTCATTGATTCAATCGAAAGAGGAGGAGACGATGAATTTCAATCTTACTACGAACTCGTCACGGATCTGAAGTCTCTCCTCGACACAGACGACAGCCTCTCCTCAATGGCTTCATCGTTTCTCCGCTGCTTCTCCGCCGCCATGGATGCGCGCTTCTGCTCTGATGTCTCTTCCCTTTCCTTAATCTTCAGTTTCTCAACATAACAGCCTCGGCCTCTACTTGCTCTCTCTCACTAAGGTTTTCCATTTTTCTCTTCGTTCTTTGTTGAATTGTATTTTCTGATATTTTTTCTGTACTCTTTTAAAGTTTAGTCCTGTCATTTCTATAGATTCGTGTGAGTTTCTTGGCACATCTCTTATACTGTAAGCTATGCTGCTGTGTCGAGTTTCTTTATTGAATTCTCCGCTTGTTTTTTTAGATTTAGTTCAGCAATGGCTGTTGTAGCAATTTCAGGGCTCTAAATTCTGCAACTTAATTAATTTTTATGATTCTCCCTAGCTTAGGTTTCAATGAATGATGATGTGTGAATTTGTTTTTTGTCCTGACGAGATTCATATTCTTTATGCAGTCTTGCGATGACATATTTGAGCCGAAGCTGGAAGAGCTCATTAATCAGTTGAAGGAAGATGGTGAAGACATGGATGCATAGCTAACTGACCATTTAACTAATCGATTTTCCTCTCTGTCTTCACCATATGATCTATTAAATTTCTTTATTGACATACGAGATTAGCTGCTCACTTGCTTAAGGTCTTTTTTCCTTGTTTTCATCATGTTTGAGTCTTATTAGCTACCGTCTCCTTTTTTGTAGGAATACTTGGGAGCCTTGATTCAGGAGTTGTGCAAGATGATCAGATTATGTTGGATCCGAACAGCAACTTGGGAATGTTTGTTGGCGGTTGCATTTTGGCATTTCACTTTCTATTGTTCGAGGTATTGTGCTTTTTACATTTTTGTTTTTCTTGTTTTATCCAGCTTAAGATCCTATAGTAAGTGTTTGGTTTTTATTTAAAGTTTTGCATGATTTTTTGGAGAGTACAGTTTTCCTTCTGTTTGCAGCATGATCATGTTTGTCGTGTGATTGCTAGCCAACATATTCAAAAGGCAAAAAAATTCAGTCAGTTTCATTGAGTGGAACAAGCAGAATCCAAGTTACATGGCCACCATTATCATGGACAGTGCTAAAATCGTGGTGTTCAACATTAATTTTGCTAGTCTTTCAATGTTGGAGCTTCAGTAACATCAAGCTATAGAATTTTTTATTTGGATTTTTGTGAAAACTATGAAAAATATAATGTTTGTGAGGTACAACTGAAATAAATATAGTTTGACTGAGTTCGATTGAGTGAGTTTTACGGTTCAACTGAATTTTATTAAGTTCAACTGGATTTTATTAAGTACAACGGATGACACAAGTAACAAGATACAACTGAAATACATGGTTCGACTGAGTGAGTTTTATGGTTCAACTGGGTTTTATTAAGTTCAACTGGATTTTTTTAAGTACAACGGACGACACAAGTAACAAGGTACAACTGAAATACATGGTTCAACTGAGTGAGTTTTATGGTTCAATTGGGTTTTGTTAAGTTCAACTGGATTTTATTAGGTACAACGAATGACACAAGTAACAAGGTACAACTAAAATACATGGTTCGAGTGAGTGAGTTTTATGGTTCAACTGGGTTTTTATTAAGTTCAACTGATGACAAATTATGGTTTTTCATAATTGTTTAATTTGTTTTTTAATAAAAATTGAAGCATTTTCTCTCTCCTATCCTCTCTCGGAATCGTCTCTCTCATCTCCTCTCTGGGAATCGTCTCTCTCGTTTCCTCTTTCAGAATCGTCTCTCTCATCTCCTCTCTCGGAATCGTCTCTCTCGTCTCCTCTCTCGGAATAGTCTCTCTCTCCTAATCTCTCTCTCTCTCTCTCTCTCTCTCTCTCTCTCTAAGTCGAAGAAACAAAAAAATAAAATTAGGGTTTTGAAACATTTGGGAAAGTGAACTTTTTGAAAATAAAATTAAAATATTGCAAATTCTTCCTGCTGGCGGAAAACTGAAAATTTATTAAATTTTCCAAAATAAATTGAAGTTAGTTGTCCTCAAGCAAGCAGTTGAACCAAATTCCTAATAGTTGTACTTTTGTAATTTTATTGTATTTCTAGTTGAATCTTTCCCTAAACTATTATGGTGTAGTTGTACAAATGATTTTGAACCATTAAACATCATTTTCAACGTTTTCATAGTATAATGTATGAAGAATTTAATATTTTGATTTTTTTAATCCTAAAAGGCTTAACAATATTGATATCTTCCTTATATTTTAAGGGGTGGTTGATGTGAAAACATGATATTGTATCAAAATAAAAAAAAATTAATATTCTCTATATTAGTAATTATTTCCTTATAGTTGAAAATGTGTTTATAGATCTTAATTAGTTGATTCACATCACTTGTAGCTTTAATAATTGTTTAGTTCACTTCTAAAGTTGATATTAGTTGTACCCAGTTGCACTCAGTTGCACCTGCTGGTGCAATTTCAAGAAAAACACAAAATTATTAATAATTATACCTAGTTGCACCGGGTGGTGCGATTTCGAGAAAGGCAAACGCACAAACGTTAATATTTGTACCCAGTTGAACCTAAAAGTGTGAATCAGAGATAACAAACACATAATCGTTAATAGTTGTACCATGTTGAACCTATAAGTGCGAATTCTAGAAAGACGAACATGTAATTGTTCATACGTGTACTCAGTTGTACTTGGTAGTGCAAATCAGAGAATGAGAAACACATAAACGTTAATAGTTGTACCCAGTTGAACCTAGAAATGCGAATTTGACAAAATAAAACTCAGAATTATTCATACTTGTACCTAGTTAAACCTGGTCATACAAATTCGCCAAACTGAAACACATATAGATTCATAGATGTACATAGTCTAACATGGTTGTACAAAACCGAGAACTACAAAACACACACACACAAATCAAACTGCACTGCAAAACAGATGCTATTAATCGTGGGATGCCTTTCCTTCCACGAGAGCATATATGCATCTTTTTGTATACTCTTAACACTGAAATCATCCGATTTCTTAAACCTTGCAGCTTGTAAATACCATTTACAGCCTTGAGTCTTCTGGCGGCATTCTAGAATAAGTTACTCTATATCTGACTTATAAGTATGGACCCCAAAACAGTTCTTATGTGCTGCTCTGTTAACCATATCTTCCTACATATCTTATCTACTAATGTCGAGTAAGTTATCTTCTCTAATGATAAGTTCGTAAATGGTATATCATATGTGGAATTACTTGTAAACCATTTCAACTCCCCTTCATCATATAGCATAACTCCCTCCATAATCAAAATATATGTTTGTGTGGTTGGTGCTCATGCTCTTCTGAAAATATAAAGAAAATAGTTGATCAGTTGAACTCAATTGAACTCAACTGAACACAAAGTACCACAGTTATACCAGTTGAACTCAGCTGAACTACATTGAACTCAGTTGTACCAGTTGAACTACACCTCTCATTTGTACCACTTGTACCAGTTAAACCCAATTAAACTCAGTTGTACCAGTGCAACTATACCTCACATTTGTACCAGTTATACTAGTTGAACTCAGTTGAACTAAAGTGAACTCATTTTACCAGTTGAACTACACCTCTCATTTGTACTAATTGAACTCAACTGAACTAAATTGAACTCAGTTGTACCAGTTGAACTATAGCTCTTATTTGTACCAGTTGAACTTAAGTTTTCAGTTGTTCCAGTTCGCTCTTAGTTGTACCAGTTGTACCATTTTTCCTATCAAAAGTCTGGGAATTTCGAGCTCGAGTTTCGTTGTTCTGCATATGAATCTGATTAACATAACCACGTTCTTCTCACAAATTACCGAACCTATGGCTTAATCTATCCAGAATACATTGTTACCAACCCAGATCCCTGATTTTTCAAATCTAAAGCCTTAATTTTACACTCTAATTGAAAAAGAAGAAATAACCTTCAAAATTGAGATCTTCAACAATGGCAGAAAGAGGACTGGAATTCTGGGTCAGACGAAGTGGAGAAAGAGTCGATCTAGGTTGGACAAAAAGAATGACGGGAGAAGAAGCTCAGGGAAGGAGCTTGGAAACCAGAAGAAAGCCCGTGTGAGAAGAGGGAGGAGGAGCTCTCGCGGGGATGATGGAGCTGCGGTGGAGGAATCGATGATTCAATTTTTTTTTTTTTCAAATTTTAATTTTATTTAATTTTATTTGTTTTATTTTTACTAATTTACTTTTACTTGATTAATTTTTTTAATTTTGACTAAGAACTAATTTGTAATATCACATCTCATTTAAATGAGAGAGTGGCATTAGATCATGTGATGACAGCCTAAATTAATTTTTCTGTAAAAATAGCATTTGAGCACTTCGCTCAGTAATACACAAGTAACATAACAATATATGCCGCAACACGAGCTAAATTTTAGTTTTGATTTTACTGGGAGATCTAGTTGTTGGAAGCTTTGAAATTTTCCTTAATAAGTTTGAATATTTTACTAATTAATGGAGAAAACTCGATCTTATTGTTTCTTCACGGTTGTTTAGTTTTCTGAAAATCTGTATTTATACAGGTCAATGCATGAAACGATGAGGGTGAGTTTTATAGGTTGGTGGCTTGTCAGTTGTCACGTTGCGATTAATCTTTGGACCTTTTAAATTCTCTTTCATATTTATTTATGCAGCAACTAATAATATTGACAAGGAAATACGAGAAATTCGGTTCATCATAACATGGGTCACTCAATATACATATCAACATGTTACTTTTTTGTCACTTTGTCCTATATAAATAAATACGTGCAACTTCTTTGAATTTTGTGGCAGATTAATGACAATTTTTTGATCGTTATATATAAACTGATTAACAGTGACAACAATGGAGACTTGTATGCTATTGGTAAAAGTGAAATGCAGCTGTAAAATATTTGGCAGAAAGAAACAAAAAGCCATTGTTGTTTATATTAAAACCTTGGTATATAAAGCACAGCTAAATTTGCCATAAATATATCCGGCATAACTTTAAAGATAATGGAACCACTCACTATGTCACATGATCATGCTTATGCTACGTGGATTTTCAACATTTAGCCTTTTTGGAACTTTTTGATTTTTCACTTCGCAACATGTCACACGCTTACATATGTGATGCGTGATAAGTGCTTCTCTCTGTATTTGAACTTCTTATTTAGTTCATATTTCTCAATCCAACTTTTCTTTTATACTAAAGAATCATTAACCGAAAAAATAAATATTGATCTTACTCTCTAACAAAATATTGTTACATTTCCACAGAAGAGTTTATTATAATCATAAACTCTACTTAGATCTATTGAGCTCCTTTGACAAAATAACTAAAGATATTTTTAGATATTTATTTGGCCCGACCAGTTTTCACATGATCACACATGAACCTTCGTCTCATATGCATGTGCCTCTTTTACTAATCTAAGTTTGCATTCAAAGTAATCAGCACCCATGTCATTGTCACTATTTAAAGTCTTCCCATTCCTTTTACATTATCTCACACACACATACATACACTAAATATGTGTATACATATTTGTCCACGATTATTTTTGTGAGGAATTAATATTTGGAGTTTTTGACCATTTATATTATTATTGTAATGAAGTCTCTGATATATTCCCAACTTAACAAAAACACAAAGCTGAAGTTTTTTGATAATCGTTTTCTAATTGCGTTGAGCATATATATAGCCCAGCCCAATAAATTTAACTTACATTGTTTATAAGCCCAGTTCAGATCCAAAATCAATATCGGATCCGTATTTATTGAAAACGACATCGTTATTAGGTTTGCCACCTCTTATTCTAGCTTATGGCGGTTGCTCGCTGATAGTAGGCCTTCGCACTTCGCAGTCGAGTAGGAAATACCGAAATATATATCGATCTATAGGAGACACAGGACGTCATAACGAAGAAACCTAAATCTCCCATTAGGGTTTCTACCAGTAGATTCATTCGTCGCAGAGAGTTGAGCTAAGCAGAGATTTCGTTGCTGT